ATTTGGTGTTAAAAGAAATTGGTTCAATGAAAACTGGTGTAAGAAATAATCTGCAACCACATCAGAGATAATAACTGTAAACCAATACTTATACCACGTGTAACAGGAGCTGAACACTAGGTGGAAATCTCTCTGTCCACCTTAAAAAAATAAATTACCAATACTAATTTGTTTCACCTAATTCTCTACACATGGACACTCCGAGTGTTGGGATCGCTTGACAGCCATAATGCAGTACTGAGACTAGGCATGTATCAACTATTGCGAGGGCCGTTTCAGAGAGGTTTGAGTCAATGTGTCCAACAAGGCTATAGATAACATAACCATTCTATGGAAGCATCGCTACAATTACCTGTTTGATCAAAGAAATTGTGACATATCAAATAAACAGAGAATACTACACTTATTCTCGTTAGAAAGTTCACGAGTTTCGTAAAAATGGTTTCTAACGGGAATGAGTGTGGTATTTTATTTATTACCCACGTTAAATATATATTTAATTGTAAATACATAACAACTTTCGTTCGTTGACAGACCAAACTGAAACCGGTTGCAAAATCTGGTTGCGCATGGATATTGATATATGCCCAAATATGGGCATTGTTGACATTTCTATGCATACGCATTAACAACATACGCCTGCAGTTGTGTTTGCAAACAAAACAGCGCCGACGCACAAGATTCTTTTGAAAGAAATTCTTCAACTTATGGTAATTCAAGCGCCATGTTAGTACGAAGGACACCTACATGAAAATTTGAAAAGCCACATTCGCGCCGCGCTTTGAATATCGGACTGACAGTCGGTCACTCGCACTGCCGGTGTCCCGTCTGTGCGATCAAAATGGTTTGGTTTCCTTGCTCTATCAGCTGAATTTATATCATGTTCTTATCGTTTTGGAAGAGGGAAATCAGAGTGTTCGCCAAAGACATTCATGTTAACTGTACCACCCTATACTGAAGACGTGAAGATCAACAAACTCAAGTCTGCTTGCATGTCAGTGACAGCTTCGAACGATCGAAGGGCAAGGTCACCACCGGATTAAGAAAAGACAACCATGATCTAGGCCTACTCACAGCGTTTTACGCTAGAGATAGGGAATGTTATTGTTCACATTTGGGATGTTTGGGGCCACAAAATCAGAAGTCAGGCACAATTCCACGGAGTTTTCGAATGGTTTGTATCAGAACTGTTCACTTTTAATGATCTGGTCGTGCAGTCGTGAAGAATCTACGTTCATTCATGAACAACGCCTCCCGTAACAGCGCCACAAAATACGCGTCGAAGGGGACACTGATGGCACAACCGGATCATCCCAAGTGAGTCTAAATATCTGTCCAGAAAGTTTAAACAGACTTCATTTCACCACGCTTATCCTTTTACGTAAAATCGAATTGAAAGTTGCGAAAGTGGTCGGGTGCGTCACGCTCACGGGGAACCTCGCTCTACTGATCGGTAGTCGTACATTGTAAATGGATAGAGCTCGATTATATAATGTCTGTAGAAGCTCTATGCATAACTTATATATAATGCAAACCAAATTTGATGCGTGTGACTATTTTGTTTGGTTTAATAAAGTGTTTGTAAATATCTCTCGTTCTCATTAATTTCTTCAGTTCTGCCTTGTAGTTGCAAAATGAATGACGTCTCGCGATTTTTTATGAATGAAAAAAGTAGTCCCGGTGTGACAGAGGTCACGGTTATCCAATAAAAACGAATAAAACAAGGTCAACCTTGTACGACACACGTGTGACGTACGGATTTAGTATCTTACCACCTGTATCTTCACCACATGGGTAAAAATGCCGCATATCAGGCCAGTATGTGAACCAAGGAAGAAATCTGCCACAAATACGTATCAGTCCTGTCAACATTTGAGTTGACCTCTAAAACCTGAAAACGTGTCCATTCCTTTTTGGTACTGGATTCCAGAGATCCATAAATTCAGTACAAGGAGAGATCCTTTGCTGGGTTCAGCAAATGTACCACCACATGTTATATATGTATATATATTGAGCATGCATCAGCGTGAGGACAGTTGCGCTCTACAAGTGACATCACATCACATCATCACATCACATCGCGTCACGTCACGCCACGCCACGTCACGTCACGTCATCACATCACGTCACGTCACGTCACGTCACATCATCACATCACATCATATACACTATTGGGCCAGCAAATGTACCAACAAATCCCTTTCTTATGATTAACAAAAACCATTAATACAATCAAAGAAGTTTCACTCCGTGATCCATTGGACATGTGTCACTGATCGTGGTGACCACAGACATACTTATATCTACGAGGGGTGTTCATTAAAGATTTCCTCTAAACCATTTAGGGTTATCATATTTGGCTGAAATTTCACATGTGTAATGATACATGTATCTATTGGTTATGTCTGGATTTGCAGCACCGAACTATTAATCTTACCACTTTTACAGGTGTGATGATCGAGTAGGGTGTGACAATGGAGCCAGGAGAATACCGAGCAGTGATTAGGTATTTATATTTGAAAGGTCGCACACCAAAAGAAACTTTCGATGAAATGAAAGCAACTTATGGGGAAGATGCCCCATCATATGACGCTGTTAAACACTGGCATCGCCAGTTCAAGTGTGGTCGGACATCTGTGGAAACAGCTGCCATTCCGGGTCGCCCCCATTCAGCCATTGATGAGGACACTTTCCATCAAGTGGAGACCGCCATTTTGGCAGACCGACGTTTAACTGTTCGCCAGTTAGCACAAGATGTCAAGATCAGTGTAGGGTCTGTGGAAAAACATCATCCATGACAATTTGAACATGCATAAGGTGTCTGCACGATGGATTCCCAGGTTGCTCACACCTTTCCAAAAGCAGGAACTAGTCAATTGCTCAAAGGATCTATTGGACATGTGCCAAAAAAAACGGGCAAACCTTTTTGACAGACTTATCACACAAGATGAAACATGGGTCCATCACTATGATCCTGAGACTAAAGTTCAGTCGATGCAATGGAAGCATGTGGAGTCACCACCCCCAAAGAAGGCACGTGTCCAACCCTCTGCAGGCAAGGTCATGCTCACGGTGTTTGGGACCAGCAGGGAGTAGTGATGATGGATTTCTTGGCAAAGGGTACCACAACTACAGGAGTTTATTATGCTTCACTGCTGCGGAAATTGCGGGACGCTATCAAGCTTAAGAAATGAAATGAAAGTCTGACAACTGGTAGTCTAGGACACGTACTTCGAGTACCCCTTTGGCAAGTGTAAATTGGCACAGCTCCCATGACCAAAAGCTATGAATAAACAATACACAAACCCAATTGCAAGTGTGGGTTCGAATCCCGGACGTGATTCAACCCAAAAAAGTACGATACTCTGTACTTTACGAAGAAAGTGTTTTCCCAAATATAACATTTGTTACATTTGACCACTTTCTGTGTATTGTGTATTCACGCATTGTATTAAGTTAGTGTTCATAGTTATTAGTTTGTATGTCCTCTAATTCGTATATCTATGTATTTACCAACTAGTATTGTATTAATTAAATAAATTTACTTGTTCCTGTGTTTGGGAAACAGTTATTTTCTGTATCAAAAAGTAGACAGACATGACACTCAAAAGTTGTGGGGGCACGCTTATCCCAGTCGTCTGAGGCGCTGCAATTCGCTGTACAGAGTTAGGTCCCTTTGGCACGCCAGGAACCTATGATTGTGGGTTCGAATCCCGGTTCGCCATGATTATGACTTTAGGTTTGTCAACACCATACCCGTGCTCGTGCAAGACAATGCTCCAGTACACTACTCTCATGTTGCCCAGACAGAAGCGCGGTCCTGTGGCTATGAAATCCTTCCAATCACTTCCTCCTTACTCACCTGACCTTGCACCATCTGACTTCCACCTCTTTCCAACCATAAAGTCATTTTTGAAGGGAAAACGTTTCACAGATGATGAAACACTGATTTCTGAAGTCAAGTCCTGGTTTGAGACGCAAAATGAGGGCTTTTACAAGCGAGGTCTCTATAATTGCATAAAACGATGGGAGAAGTGTGTAACTCTTGGTGGTTCCTATGTGGATTATGAAGACTAATACCTATGCCAAGTTTCATTCCACTAGGTCCATCGGAAGTGGGACAGGGGAAATCTTTAATGAACACCCCTCCTACATATTTCCAAAAGTTCATGACACTTTGTCATCTGAAGTTTACTGAGAAAACAGTATGTGAAATCCTGGACTTTGCAACTGGACATTTGTTGCTATTTAGGCAAAAATTAGGCATCCCCATTGGGCACCATATTTATGCTCCCATATGAATCGAAAATAATTAAAACAAAGGGAATTTGATGACGTTATGTCATTTATCGGTCAGCCAATTCCCTTCCACTGATTTACCCGCCTGAACTAAAAGTATAAGTAAGCTGGGACACCGTCTCATTTGTTTCATATTTAGGCATAAAAAATCGCAACACAGCCACAAGACTGTATGAAAAGAGGAATGACTTGAACTTTCCAATAATCAACTTTCCCTTCATGTCGAGCAATGTTCCAGCAGCTCCCGCTTTTCTGTGAAAATTTCAGGGAACGTTATACGACTCTCGCCCAAAGTTTGTTGAATTAGGATTATAACTTTCACGGCCTCCGTCAAGCTTTCCAAATGTTTAATGGTAGATATGTGGAGGACATTTCCAAATTTGACACATCGGTGACAAAAATTATGGCAATATGTTCCTGTGTTTTTCAGATGAACAATTAACTGGCCTTTGCATGTGTTTGTGACGGGTGCCACTTGTGGGGCAGGATACGCTCCCCTTTTCGAGAAGCCCTGGAAGCATCACTGTTTGATAGTAACTCATAAACGCATGCTCATAATTTTGTCTTACTCGTTCAAAGGACTCCACTTTCAGCAAAGATTTTGTTTTGATTATGGAAATAATTGTGTCGCTTTTGATAATATGATTATGGAAAGAGTTTTGTCGCTTTTATTCTCTCACTTTGTGGACTTATAATTTCAGGAGCCTTTCTCATCCCCTTCGTTATTTTTCTGGTTCTGTGCGGCCTTCCTCTCTTCTTCTTGGAGGTGTCTCTTGGTCAATTTTCTGGGAAGAGTGCCCTACACATCTGGGCACTGTGTCCTCTAATGAAAGGTGAGTGGATATGTCTTCAGCTACATCTGCTAAAACTGATATCAGCCGAACTATACAGTAAACTACGTTTATAACGAACACGCTTATAACGAACTGACGGATATAACGAACTTACTTTTTTGTCCAAACTATTTGCTGTAGTTATGCTGTACAATGTATATATGCTTATAACGAACTACGGTTATAACGAACTAAAATTAGAGGTCCCTTTGAGTTCGTTATAACCGTAGTTTACAGTATTTATAAAAACATCCGGCAACAATGTATATTTTGTGGTAGCCAATTTGTTTTGTTATCAAAAGTCTGAGTATAAATATTTTATTCAAGTTTTTTTGGGGGGAGTATTTATTTCTTTGGGTAAGATCCCAATAAACTAATAAAGAATTTACTTCATTTGGGGAAAGCCCCGTGAAAATCCGGGTTGGAATTGATCTTCAACAACCCATGCTTGTCGACTAGAAGAGAGACTAACGGGATCATGACTTGGCATGTCAACGTATCCAAACTGCGTAGATCGATGCTCATGATGCTCACTGGATTGTCTGGTCCAGAGTCAAATATTTACAGGCGGCCGTCATACAGCTGGAATATTGCTTAGAGCGGCGATAAACCACGAATAAACAAATGTTTTGGGAAATATATTTAATCTCCCTGTGGCAGGTGAGAGGAGTTCCGGTTTTGGGGTGGATTTCGCTTTATTTCCTGTTTATTATAATTTATTGTTAAAAGGTCTTGGAATTGGAATGGTTCTTCTCTCTGGCGTAACCTGCGCATACTTTACTACCGTCCTTGCCTGGTCCATCTACTACTTGGTGCGGTCCTGTTCACCCGCCCTTCCTTGGTCAACATGTGGGAACTGGTGGAATACTGATATGTGTGTAACCAGCATCAGTGCTCTGCAAAACCAAACTGTTTCCCCCCTTCCCAACAGAACGTGTCTAGATGACAAGGCCAATGTCACTGAAGCAGGCGTTGCGACGTTGTGTTCCTACATTAATAACGAAAATATTGATGTCAGTGACGCTACACTATGGTCCAATACGACACTCTCTCACACAGCATCTGAAGAATTTTGGCAGTAAGATGCGCATAAATTTTTGAATTATCCAATAAGGTTCTTACTTATAATATCAAGAAACGCAATACTATAATGGCATCACATTGTTCATTTTGGTGCGATCGTCACATAAGTGAACGTTTACAATGCTCGTTTTGAACAGTATTTCGGATATATACACAAAGAAAAAGGTTAAGCACACCCTAATATACTTCACTATTGTTTGGTCCCAATATTTGTTACAGTCATGAAGGATATAATTACGGGAAGAATTATGATTTCTCGAGATGATGTAATCAGTCCTGCGTGATGAAAGCTGACGCGCCATGCATGATATGCCAGTGCAGCATGCTACCCTCGAGTATCTCTATAAGCAGTATATCCAAACGTTAAAATTGCTTTCTTAAGCTCGGGTTTAAACAGTTATTCCATGACATTGTGTGACCATGGCACAAAGGCGATTATCAAACGCCACAAGATGGCAAATAATCGGCATGCATAACGCAGGAATGTCTTGTAATGCCATTGGTCGGTATCATCACACTGTCATAAGCCGTTTAGTCGAGAAACATGCTCAGATCGGTGATGTACAGGACCGTCCCAGATCCGGAAGACCTCCTGTGACGACACATCGCGAAGACAGGAACCTTCTCCGTCTCATACGCCGAGAACCCTCAAGTTTTTAACAAGTACTCGCCTGAAACAGCTGTGGTAGCCCAATCGTCGTTTCAGCACCAGAACCGTCACCAGAACCGCCCTGAAAGCAGAAAGACTGAAGGCTAGACGAGTCATAAAGTGTCCCTTGTTGAGAGATCTCCACAAAGCTACTCGTTTAGCATGGTGTATTGCGCGACAAAACTGGAATCTGGGAACTTGGAGACGGATCCATTGGTCAGACGAAAGTCGCTTTCTGCTCGACGTCACTGATTGGAGGCACCGGAACACGGCCTTACACCCCAAGGAACATTAAACCGACCGCTGCATACGGCGGGGGCTCGGTAATAGTTGGGGAGTGTATCTCTCATGATTGCAGGTTGGGTTTGCTCACCATTAGGGCCAACTTAACAGGGGCTCAGTACATCCGGGACGTTTTGAGGCCAGTCGTCGTTTCTTCATTTTGACAGCAACCCTCTTGCTACTCGACCTCAGTACATGGATGACAATGCCAGGCCTCATGCAGTCGTGGATTACATAAGGACCAATGCAATAACGACTCTTCCCTTGCCAGCAATGAGCCCAGATTTGAACCCCCTTGAACATGTTTGGGATATTCTGGGGCCGCGCATACAGGCACGAGTTCCTCCTGTACAAGATGTATGCCAATTGGAAGCAGCATTGCATCAGGAGTGGTTGACCCATCAACAGATCCAACGTCTGACTGGAGGCATGAGACGTAGGGTGGATTTGTCATCCGGGCACGTGGCGGCTATACCCGCTACTGATCTGTTTCACGTGAGTCATGTCAAGTAGAGACTTTAAGGAACATTTTCACATGAAACATCAAACGTAGCACGTTTACTTAATCTTGCAGCTCTATACTTTTTGGGGTATTGTCTAAGGTCAAAAACAGCACCTGTGTTACCATGATGTTTTTGTCAGTGAATTTCAATCACAACTCACCAATATCTTCTTTATTTGTTGTCAATGTTTGTTCTATCCGATGACATTGGTATCGCCCAGCTCCTGTGGTCATTCATCCAATGCCATGATTTTTGCCATTTGTCATGGTTCAGAAATAGGGGTGTGCTTAACTTTTTTTCTTTGTGTATATAACAGAGGAGGAAAAGCCGTTCGAATTGAAGCAGGTCTTAGACGTTTACCACTTTGGTAAAACCATTTCAGAGTTTCTCTACTGACACTAACAAAACATAGCAGTTTTGAGTAAAAAACTTCTTTCAATCAAAAATAACTGATTTTAAAAGAACATGTTTCAAATACGGTGGTAAAATCTAATCCAAACTAATATGCTTGTTTCAATTCAAAAGACATGCGTTTGTATTATTGATGCCTTCCACATAACTTCGCATCATAAACCATCAAACATGTGTTCTGAAAGTTGTATTATAAATATCACATATTTCCTACTTATGGATCGGATTAGAAACTTATTTAATGTGTTTTCTTGAAGCAGTATTATAATTGAACATACAGCGGTGACACATGTTACTGGTTTAGTTTGCAAATGTTAGTATAAATCACTTTCTATTCTCGAAATCTATTGTAATTAACTGTTGCATATCATGCACGTGTTTATGGTAGGCCATCGGCTGCATTTACAAGATGTCACTCACTGTCTTTCATACTTCTCCCCGACAGATACAACACCCTGGGTATTTCCGGTGGGCTGGCGGAAGTCGGGTACATCCAGTGGCACCTGGCTCTGTGTCTTCTTGCGGCCTGGACGATCATCTTCCTGTCAGTAATCAAAGGGATTCATTCAGTTGGAAAGGTCACGGAATGAGTATAATTCTTTTATTTGTATGATTTCATATTTCCTTAAAGGATATACGGGGGGCACGGGTGGCCCAGTCGTCTAAGGCGCCGCGATTCGCTGTGCAGAGTTGCGTCCCTTGGGCACGCCAGAAACCTATGATTGTGGGTTCGAATCCCGGTTCGCCCCGATTATGTTTCTAGGTTTGTCAGCACCATACCCGTGCTCGTGGGTTTCACCGAAGTGGTAAACGTCTGGGACCTGCATCACTTCGGGCTTTCCTCCCACATTAAGCTGACACGCCGCGATATAACTGGAATACTGTTAAAAGCGGCGTTAAACCAAACTCACTCACTCACTCACTTAAAGGATATACTCTTCAAAAAAGAAGCGTATATATGATATTGATATACATATGTGAAAGACTTTTGGACGATATGTGAAATATGAATATCAGAATCATCAAAATGCAGCAACGACCAGTAACCCATGCGTAACCTTAAATAAACATCGTGAATAGGCCTATACCAATGGGGTGGAGGGTGGGCGGGGTTGCAAAATGTTATCTGTTAGCAACTGTCCAATTGCGAAGTCAAGCCACGACATACTGGAGTACAACGGAACATCGTCATCGGGCAGTCGGTTGTAGCTAAGGTATTTAACGTGTCCAATAGCACTATACTTAGACTTTGGTATTGGCGCCATCAGAAGGACACGTATAATAACCGACCCAGGTCAGGTTCACGTCATTTGCGACCCGTGAAGATCCGGGGTAGAATAGGTCTTCAGCAACCCATGCTTGCCGTAAAAGGCTACTATGCTTGTCGTAAAAGGCGATAAACGGGATCGGGTGGTCAGGCTCACTGACTTGGTTGATGCATGTCATCGATCCCAATTGCTTGGATCGATGCTCATGATATCAATCACTGGATTGTCTGGTCCAGACTCGATTATTTACAGACCGCCGTCATATAGCTGGAATATTGCTGAGTGCGGCGTAAAACAACAAACCATCCATCACGCCATTTGCGGCCAGGGCGTGCAACAGCATCTTCTTTGACAGCTGCAGTTCAAGGATTGCGAAGGGTATCTGTCCAGACAGCGAGACAGCCTGTCAGGGGTATTGTTTTGAGGCGTCAACATCGTCAACTGCGACGTCAGTGGCGTTAAGCACGTACATCACAGCCTAACCATTGATGGAGAACTGTTTGGTTCAGCCACGGGTCAAGATGGGCGCCTCGTCGAGCTGATGGGACGAGCCAGGATGTATCGATGTCGCCATGAACGTTTTGCAGACAACTTCATAAGGGAGATGCAGATATGACGGAAGCAGCGTAATGATGTGGGTGGTTATCTCCCACACAGATAGAACAAAACTACTGCAAATACACGGCAGCATAACATGTCAACATGATAATGTTAGACCGCATACAGCACGTGTAACAGAACCATTCCTACGGTCCTCTCAAAATCGATTTGACCCCGGACCTTCCGCTCTCCGGGCGGACCCTCTACCACAACACCACGGAGGCGTTGTCCTGAAGCATAGATATTGCAACAGCTTGCATACTGTATGCACGACAGGCCCAGTGGGTTAGCATCCCCCACTGTGTGATACGTACTCTCATTTCACAATGGGCTGGAGTTGCAAGGCAGAACTTGTCGCTCGTGGCTTACGCACGAGATATTGAGTTCTCGTGACCTTGACTTTTGTCATTTTCCACGTAATGTCTTCCACTATTGTCCTGTTTGTAATTTCATCACTCGTATCATTTCAGATCTTTCCAAACCCAGAATCTAGTTATGCGTTTCTTTTTGTAGGAGTATTTTCATAATGTTGATTTATCTTTGATATACCTGTGTTCTAACGTAGTCCTTAGAGAGATGGGTCCAACACAACGTAGATCGGTGCTTGTAATAGACCAGAAGACCTGCTATGAAACCAAACATTATTAAAGCGATTCTGGGATTCGAACCAACGACCAGTGGATCCTCGCACAACCAAGGGGCGCAACTGTGCACAAGTCTGCGAACGAGCGTCGGTTTATACTACCATCCTCTAAGAATTACAATGTCTCCGAAAATTGCATTTTTTACGACTGCTATACGTAACAAAGAAAATATTGGACTTCAATTATTGACTCCGGGTACAAACACACATTGACTACAAGCCTCATACAGTGTCAGCGATGATACGAATTCCAGGTGGTGTACGTGACACCGACGATCACAGTAACTATCAGTGTCACGTCTACAGATGTTGTACGTGACGGCGACGATCACAGTAACTATCAGTGTCACGTCTACAGATGGTGTACGTGACACCGACGATCACAGTAACTATCAGTGTCACGTCTACAGGTGGTGTACGTGACGCCGACGATGACAGTAACTATCAGTGTCACGTCTACAGGTGGTGTACGTGACGGCGACAATCACAGTAACTATCAGTGTCACGTCTACAGATGGTGTACGTGACGGCGACGATCACAGTAACTATCAGTGTCACGTCTACAGGTGGTGTACGTGACACCGACGATCACAGTAACTATCAGTGTCACGTCTACAGGTGGTGTACGTGACGGCGACGATCACAGTAACTATCAGTGTCACGTCTACAGGTGGTGTACGTGACACCGACGATCACAGTAACTATCAGTGTCACGTCTACAGATGGTGTACGTGACGGCGACGATCACAGTAACTATCAGTGTCACGTCTACAGGTGGTGTACGTGACACCGACGATCACAGTAACTATCAGTGTCACGTCTACAGGTGGTGTACGTGACGGTGACGATCACAGTAACTATCAGTGTCACGTCTACAGGTGATGTACGTGCCACCGACGATGACAGTAACTATCAGTGTCACGTCTACAGGTGGTGTACGTGACGGCGACGATCACAGTAACTATCAGTGTCACGTCTACAGGTGGTGTACGTGACGGCGACGATCACAGTAACTATCAGTGTCACGTCTACAGGTGATGTACGTGACACCGACGATGACAGTAACTATCAGTGTCACGTCTACAGGTGGTGGACGTGACGGCGACGATCACAGTAACTATCAGTGTCACGTCTACAGGTGGTGTACGTGACGGCGACGATCACAGTAACTATCAGTGTCACGTCTACAGGTGGTGTACGTGACACCGACGATCACAGTAACCATCAGTGTCACGTCTACAGGTGGTGTACGTGACGGCGACGATCACAGTAACTATCAGTGTCACGTCTACAGGTGATGTACGTGACACCGACGATCACAGTAACTATCAGTGTCACGTCTACAGGTGGTGGACGTGACGGCGACGATCACAGTAACTATCAGTGTCACGTCTACAGGTGGTGTACGTGACGGTGACGATCACAGTAACTATCAGTGTCACGTCTACAGGTGATGTACGTGACACCGACGATGACAGTAACTATCAGTTTCACGTCTACAGGTGGTGGACGTGACGGCGACGATCACAGTAACTATCAGTGTCACGTCTACAGGTGGTGTACGTGACGGCGACGATCACAGTAACTATCAGTGTCACGTCTACAGGTGGTGTACGTGACACCGACGATCACAGTAACTATCAGTGTCACGTCTACAGATGGTGTACGTGACACCGACGATCACAGTAACTATCAGTGTCACGTCTACAGGTGGTGTACGTGACACCGACGATGACAGTAACTATCAGTGTCACGTCTACAGGTGGTGGACGTGACGGCGACGATCACAGTAACTATCAGTGTCACGTCTACAGGTGGTGTACGTGACGGCGACGATCACAGTAACTATCAGTGTCACGTCTACAGATGTTGTACGTGACGGCGACGATCACAGTAACTATCAGTGTCACGTCTACAGATGGTGTACGTGACACCGACGATCACAGTAACTATCAGTGTCACGTCTACAGGTGGTGTACGTGACGCCGACGATGACAGTAACTATCAGTGTCACGTCTACAGGTGGTGTACGTGACGGCGACAATCACAGTAACTATCAGTGTCACGTCTACAGATGGTGTACGTGACGGCGACGATCACAGTAACTATCAGTGTCACGTCTACAGGTGGTGTACGTGACGGCGACGATCACAGTAACTATCAGTGTCACGTCTACAGGTGGTGTACGTGACGGCGACGATACCATACATACTGCTGGTCATCCTCCTGGTGCAAGGTCTCCTGCTCCCTGGGGGCAAGGAGGGCGTTCTCGTCTACCTAACCCCGGACTTCTCGCGGCTCACAGATATACAGGTACAGGCTTACAGTCCTTCTGATAATACAGGTACAGGCTTACAGTCCTTCTGATAATACAGGTACAGGCTTACAATCTTTCTGATAATACAGGTACAGGCTTACAGTCCTTCTGATAATACAGGTACAGGCTTACAGTCCTTCTGATAATACAGGTACAGGCTTACAATCTTTCTGATAATACAGGTACAGGCTTACAGTCCTTCTGATAATACAGGTACAGGCTTACAGTCCTTCTGATAATACAGGTACAGGCTTACAGTCCTTCTGATAATACAGGTACAGACAAACAGTCCTGATAATACAGGTACAGGCATACAGTCCTTCTGACAATACAGATACAGGCTTACAGTCCTTCTGATAATACAGGTACAGGCTTACAGCCATTCTGATAATACAGGTACAGGCTTACAGTCCTTCTGATAATACAGGTACAGGCTTACAGCCATTCTGATAATACAGGTACAGGCTTACAGTCCTTCTGATAATACAGGTACAGGCTTACAGCCTTTCTGATAATACAGGTACAGGCTTACAGTCCTTCTGATAATACAGGTACAGGCTTACAATCTTTCTGATAATACAGGTACAGGCTTACAGTCCTTCTGATAATACAGGTACAGGCTTACAGTCCTTCTGATAATACAGGTACAGGCTTACAATCTTTCTGATAATACAGGTACAGGCTTACAGTCCTTCTGATAATACAGGTACAGGCTTACAATCTTTCTGATAATACAGGTACAGGCTTACAGTCCTTCTGATAATACAGGTACAGGCTTACAGTCCTTCTGATAATACAGGTACAGGCTTACAGTCCTTCTGATAATACAGGTACAGACAAACAGTCCTGATAATACAGGTACAGACATACAGTCCTTCTGACAATACAGATACAGGCTTACAGTCCTTCTGATAATACAGGTACAGGCTTACAGCCATTCTGATAATACAGGTACAGGCTTACAGTCCTTCTGATAATACAGGTACAGGCTTACAGTCCTTCTGATAATACAGATACAGGCTTACAGTCCTTCTGATAATACAGGTACAGGCTTACAGCCATTCTGATAATACAGGTACAGGCTTACAGTCCTTCTGATAATACAGGTACAGGCTTACAGTCCTTCTGATAATACAGGTACAGGCTTACAGCCATTCTGATAATACAGGTACAGGCTTACAGTCATTCTGATAATACAGGTACAGGCTTACAGCCATTCTGATAATACAGGTACAGGCTTACAGCCATTCTGATAATACAGGTACAGGCTTACAGTCCTTCTGATAATACAGGTACAGGCTTACAGTCCTTCTGATAATACAGGTACAGGCTTACAGCCATTCTGATAATACAGATACAGGCTTACAGTCCTTCTGATAATACAGGTACAGGCTTACAGCCATTCTGATAATACAGGTACAGGCTTACAGTCCTTCTGATAATACAGGTACAGGCTTACAGCCATTCTGATAATACAGATACAGGCTTACAGTCCTTCTGATAATACAGGTACAGGCTTACAGTCCTTCTGATAATACAGATACAGGCTTACAGTCCTTCTGATAATACAGGTACAGGCTTACAGCCATTCTGATAATACAGGTACAGGCTTACAGTCCTTCTGATAATACAGGTACAGGCTTACAGCCATTCTGATAAAACAGGTACAGGCTTACAGTCCTTCTGATAATACAGGTACAGGCTTACAGTCCTTCTGCTCATACAGGTACAGGCATACAGTCCAGATAATACAGGTACAGGCTTACAGTCCTTCTAATAATACAGGTACATGCTTACAGTCCTTCTGATAATACAGATACAGGATTACAGTCCTACTGATAATACAGGTACAGGCTTACAGTCCTGATAATAAAGGTTCAGGCTTACAGCCATTCTGATAATACAGGTACAGGCTTACAGTCCTGATAATACAGGTACAGGCTTACAGTCCTTCTGCTAATACAGGTACATGCATACAGTCCTTCTGATAATACAGGCACTGGCTTACAGTCCTTCTGATAATACAGGTACAGGCTTACAATCTTTCTGATAATACAGGTACAGGCTTACAGTCCTGATAATACAGGTACAGGCTTACAGTCCTTCTGCTAATACAGGTACATGCATACAGTCCTTCTGATAATGTAAGTCATGCCTTACAGTCCTTCTGATAATACAGATACAGGCTTACAGTCCTACGGATAATACAGGTACAGGCTTACAGTCCTTCTGATAATACAGACACGGGATTACAGTCCTTCTAATAATACAGGTACAGGCTTACAGTCCAGATAATACAGATACAGGATTACAGTCCTTCTGATAATACAGATACAGGATTACAGTCCAGATAATACAGGTACAGGCTTACAGTCCTTCTGCTAATACAGGTACATGCATACAGTCCTTCTGATAATACAGGCACTGGCTTACAGTCCTTCTGATAATACAGGTACAGGCTTACAATCTTTCTGATAATACAGGTACAGGCTTACAGTCCTGATAATACAGGTACAGGCTTACAGTCCTTCTGCTAATACAGGTACATGCATACAGTCCTGATAATGTAGGTCATGCCTTACAGTCCTTCTGATAATACAGATACAGGCTTACAGTCCTACGGATAATACAGGTACAGGCTTACAGTCCTTCTGATAATACAGACACAGGATTACAGTCCTTCTAATAATACAGGTACAGGCTTACAGTCCAGATAATACAGATACAGGATTACAGTCCTTCTGATAATACAGATACAGGATTACAGTCCTACTGATAATACAGGTACTGGCTTACAGTCCTTCTGATAATACAGGTACAGGCTTACAGTCCTTCTGATAATACAGGTACAGGCTTACAGTCCAGATAATACAGGTACCGGCTTACAGTCCTGATAATACAGGTACAGGCTTACAGTCCTTCTGCTAATTCAGGTACATGCATACAGTCCTTCTGATAATACAGGTACAGGCTTACAGTCCTTCTGATAATACAGATACAGGATTACAGTCCTTCTAATAATACAGGTACAGGCTTACAGTCCAGATAATACAGGTACAGGCTTACAGTCCTTCTGATAATACAGGTACAGGCTTACAGTCCAGATAATACAGGTACTGGCTTACAGTCCTTCTGATAATACAGATACAGGATTACAGTCCAGATAATACAGGTACAGGATTACAGTCCTACTGATAATAAAGGTACAGGATTACAGTCCTTCTGATAATACAGATACAGGATTACAGTCCTACTGATAATACAGGTACAGGCTTACAGTCCTTCTGATAATACAGGTACAGGCTTACAGTCCTTCTGATAATACAGGTACAGGCTTACAGTCCAGATAATACAGGTACAGGCTTACAGTCCAGATAATACAGGTACAGGCTTACAGTCCTTCTGATAATACAGGTACAGGCTTACAGTCCTTCTGATAATACAGATACAGGATTACAGTCCTTCTAATAATACAGGTACAGGCTTACAGTCCTTCTGATAATACAGATACACGCATGCTGTCCTGATAATACAGGTGCACGCATACAGTCCTGATAATACAGGTACATGCAGACAGTCCTGATAATACAGGTACAGGCTTACAGTCCTTCTGATAATACAGGAACAGGCATACAGTCCTTCTGATAATACAGATACAGGCTTACAGTCCTTCTGATAATACAGATACAGGATTACAGTCCTTCTAATAATACAGGTACAGGCTTACAGTCCAGATAATACAGGTACAGGCTTACAATCTTTCTGATAATACAGGTACAGGCTTACAATCTTTCTGATAATACAGGTACAGGCTTACAGTCCAGATAATACAGGTGCAGGCTTACAGTCCTTCTGATAATACAGATACAGGATTACAGTCCAGATAATACAGGTACAGGCTTACAGTCCTTCTGATAATACAGATACAGGCTAACAGTCCTTCTGATAATACAGATACACGCATGCTGTCCTGATAATACAGGTGCACGCATACAGTCCTGATAATACAGGTACATGCAGACAGTCCTGATATACAGGTACTGGCTTACAGTCCTTCTGATAATACAGGAACAGGCATACAGTCCTTCTGATAATACAGGCACAGGCAGACAATCCTTCTGATAATACAGGTACAAGCATACAGTCCTTCTGATAATACAGGTACACGCATACAGTCCTGATAATACAGGTACACGCATACAGGCCTGATAATAATACAGGTACACGCATACAGTCCTGATAATACAGGTACAGGCTTACAGTCCTTCTGATAATACAGGTACACGCATACAGTCCTTCCGATATGCAGGTACACGCATACAGTCCTGATAATACAGGTACACGCATACAGTCCTTCTGATAATACAGGTACACGCATACAGTCCTTCTAATAATACAGGTACCCGCATACAGACCTTCCGATATGCAGGTACACGCATACAGTCCTGCTAATACAGGTACAGGCATACAGACATTCTGATAATACGGGTACACGCATACAGTCCTTCTGATAATACAGGTACACACATACAGTCCTTCTGATAATACAGGTACAGGCAGACAGTCCTTCTAATAATACAGGTACACGCATACAGTCCTTCAGATAATACAGGTACAAGCATACAGTCCTTCTAATAATACAGGTACAAGCATTCAGTCCTTCTGATAATACAGGTACACACATAGACTCCTTCTGATAACCACTGAACGTAAACGCTAAAGAAGCAAAGAAACGCTATGTATTACATAATTTCACATTAATTTCAGAAAACTCAATATCCAATGCCGGGTTCGGATCCACACGTAGGTACAATGTGTGAAGCCCATTTCTGGCGTCCCCCGACATGATATTGTGGGAAGATTGTTAAATGCTGCTTAAAACCACTCACACGCTCTCTCATTCATATCCATCGAGTGAGTGAGTTGAGATTTACGCAACTTCAAGCAATATTCCTACAATATCACCACCACCAAACATGGGGTTCATACATAGTACCGTGGGACGAACAAACACTTAAACCACTTGCCTGCCCCACAGCCTCTAACATTCAATAAAACGTTCTGTAGATATATGCATGCTTCTCAATAGAAGTTAAGAACTACCAGATTCTTTCATATTACTATTGTTAATCTGCAGTGGCATTATAGATAAACTATAGTAATAGGAAAGAATCAGGTGGTCCTTAGCTTCTTTTGAGTTGTATATTAGTGACAATTAAGGATCATGACATGTATACTCTTCAAAATAAGAAACGCAAAACGCACATTTTTGGCGGACCAAACGGTGCAAAATGAAGAGGTTTAATGTGTTATAGTGTCAGTGACAAATGTCCCGGATCAAAATGATCACAACAAGAACATGCAAACCATTAGTCGGATAAACGCACCCAGTGCATTACAAAATAGGCCATTGAGCTGTACGTACTGCACGTGCAGCAGCACTATGAACGGTAGCAAACTTCAGCTTTTAAGCTTTTGAGCTAACTAGCGTTCACCTGTCGGGAACAGACTATAATCCCCCAGCCCTTATCCCCTTAATCCTCCCGAATTTCAGCTTTGAGCTGACTCGGAAGACCCGTCTCAAAAACTTGTCTTAAAGGTTGGATGAAACTGAATTCCAAGCTGTGGTTTTAGGTGTGGCTGGAGGCGTGTCTACAAGTGTTTTATTCCCTTGGTCCTGCTTGGGGCGGCCTCATCACCATGGCCAGCTACAATGATTTCCACAACAACTGCCTCAGGTAACTACCTCCTATTGTACGTCTAGTATTTGGAAAATGCAGGATGATAGTAAGCTCCCCAAACATTCACAGTGTTTGTTATCCAAAAAACATTAAAACACTCTCGTATGACTATGTGTTGCTTTAGAAAACGTACAACTTTATGGGTAGCCTGGTGGTTAAAGCGTTTGCTCGTCACGCCGAAGACCCGGGTTCGATTCCCGACATGGGTACAATGTGTGAAGCCTATTTGTCCCCCGCCGTGGAATTGCTGGAGTATTGCTAAAAGCGGCGTAAAACCTCAGATATTGTGGTGAAGCAACTGAACTGAAATAGAGGTCTTGAATAGAAATCGACATACAGTAAAATACGTTTCTAACGGACACGCTTATAACGAACTGACTGATATTACGAACTTAATTTTTGTTCCATGACATTTCCTGTTTAGATGTTGTATATATGCTTATAACGAACTACGGTTATAACGAACTAAAATAGGTGGTCCATTTGAGTTCATTATACGTTGTACCACCTCCACACGTGTTACTTGTACCGCCTCGACACGTGTTACTTGTACCTTCCCTACATGTTTTACTTGTACCTCCTCTACACGTGTTACTTGTACCACCTCTACACGTGTTACTTGTACCACATCTACACGTGTTACTTGTACCTCCCCTACATGTTTTACTTGTACCTCCTCTACACGTGTTACTTGTACCACCTCTACACGTGTTACTTGTACCTTCTCTACATGTTTTACTTGTACCTCCTCTACACGTGTGACTTGTACCATCTCTACACGTGTTACCTGTACCTTCTCTACACTTGTTACTTGTACCACCTCTACAAGTGTGGCTTGTACCATATCTACACGTGTTACTTGTACCTCCTCTACACTTGCTACTTGTACCATCTCTACACGTGTTACTTGTACCACCTCTACACTTGCTACTTGTAGTGCCTCTACTCGTGTTACTTGTACCGCCTCTACACGTGTGACTTGTACCATCTCTACACGTGTTACTTGTACCATCTCTACACGTGTTACTTGTACCTCTTCTACGCGTGTTACTCGTACCTTCTCTACATGTGTAACGTGTACCATAGCTACACTACACGTGTTACTTGTACCTTCTCTACACGTTTAACTTGTACCATATCTACACGTGTTACTTGTACCATATCTACACGTGTTACTTGTACCTCCTCTACGTGTGTTACATGTACCATTTAGAGGGGGCGGGGCAATATATTTTTTTATCCGTTAAGGACCATAGGAACAATATGAAAGGTGTTATCCTCACTTATCAAGATATGTATCTTGCGAATTTCGTAAATGAAGATTCATTCTAATAATATGAAATGTCCTCGGTTTCGCTGAAATTATGGCCTATTTGAGATTTGGCTTTGAATAAAGTGAGACACGGGACTGAGACTGTATGAGAAGGAACACACATTTGACAATTACGTTCGGCTCATGACAAGTCGTAGAATATATTTCATGAAGAAATGGACCATAACAACTGCTTAACGAGACCTAAGAAGCACAATAAAATATCATTGTTATCCTGGAAAGGATGAAGGGCGGTAGCACAACCAGCAAACGCAGATTGTAAGGGCTCCCAAGGAGGGACTCTTTCGTCATACCTACCTCGCATGGGGCATGGTTGATTAATGTCATCGATCCCAATGGCGTTGGTCGATGCTCATGATGTCTATCATTGGATTGTCTGGTCAAGACTCGATTATTTACAGACCGCCGTCATATAGCTGGAGGCCCAGTCGTCTAAGGCGCCGCGATTCGCTGTGCAGAGGTGCGTCCCTTGGGCACGCCAGAAACCTATGATTGTGGGTTCGAATCTCGGTTCGCCCCGATTATGTTTCTAGGTTTGTCAGCACCATACCCGTGCTCGTGGGTTTCACCGAAGTGGTAAACGTCTGAGACTCGCATCACTTGGGGCTTTAATTTCCTCCCACATTAAGCTGACACGCCGTGATATAACTGGAATACTGTTAAAAGCGGCGTTAAACCAAACTCACTCACTCATATAGCTGGAATATTGTTGAGTGCGGCGTTAAACAAGACAAAAACAAAAAACAAACCTCGCATGAGACTAAAGCAATGCTGACATTGTCTAAATTCTCTCTCACTCATCACACAGTGCTTCTCCACATGCAACAGAAAAACGGAATCGACAACGTAAATTGTATGCACAGCGTCAATAGTCTGTCTATGTAATCTCTCAGTCTTATCTTACGAATAATTCTGGGCGGTCGGGTAGCCTAGTGGCTAAAGTGTTCGCTTGTCACGCCGAAGACCCGGGTTCGATTCCCGACATGGGTACAATGTGTGAAGCCCATTTCTGGTGTCCCCCGCCGTGATATTGCTGGAATATTGCTAAAAGCGGCGTAAAACCATACTCATTCATTCACGAATAATTCTGCATTTCAGAGACGCAATAATTGCGACATTCGTCAGCGAAGGAACCAGCATGTTTGGCGGTCTCGTGGTCTTCTCCATCCTGGGGTTTATGTCCAAAAAGACAGGAATTCCTGTGTTAGAGGTCGTCTCCTCAGGTACATGGACATGTTTATCTGGCTGCCATCAAATGTTTTAGCTGTTCCCCCTGACAAGCTTAACAGCTGCTTAAGGCCTCAAATAACATAGCCTGTATACGTGAGCATCACCACATTAATTGTTTCATCAAATGCCTTTGCATGTGTTTGTGACGTGTATCACCTTTTCGCGAACACCTGGTATCATCACTTTTTGATTGTGATTCATAAACATATGCTCATGATATTGTCGGAGTCAAACAATCGAGTCTGTATGTAGCAGAGATTTCTTGTGAATATGGAAGGGTTTTAACGTTTTAATTTTCCCACATGATGAAAAGACAGGTTTTACCATACTCGAACAGTACATTACACATGTAGGCATTGCCTCGTTTTGAATGGATAACCGTGACCCTCACGTGATCAACGAAAGGTCAAGCTGACATGGTGTGCAACAATTTAACACTTTAACACACATGATAAGTACGTCAAACACTTAACGTGATGTGGGCGGAAACGTTGCTATGCATTCTGATTTAATTAGAACTAGATTCTGCATGGCGTTATGTAAACAATATAAAATAGTTTGCACCATCTAGACTTCCTTTGTTTGCCGAGGATGGGCATAGTTTGCATAAAAGATCACTCGAATAGGAACGTTTTGTATTATAGAGATAAACATGATATTTGGCTAGACAGTATAACTACCCGATCAATTATATACCCTATGTCAATAATATTCATCTCATTTAAATCAAATCTTTTACTCCCATTCATTACTCTCTCTCTCTCTCTGTCACGATCTTACAAATCGTCAATATAACATCAGGTCAGGTTAACACTGAAGAAACTTTGACCGCACAATAAAAGGAAGGAAGAGTGAATATTTTCGCCAATCAGATATCAGCTTTCTAAAACAATCCGACCTAGTTGAGTTCTATAAATTGTCATTGAAACGATGCGATACGATTCTAACAAATTAAAATGTGGCTGCCATGGCGCTGATGAACGTACAGTATCCGTGATTCCATAATATAGCGCAATATTAAGATACTTCATTCGGAACTGCCTGATTACGTTCATTTTAGGGATAACAAATCAGATCTGATAAACGTGGCAAGATTCAGAACCGCGCCCATTCACTGATTGCACAGTTTACGTGACGTGACCTCTCATCCAGGTTCTGTCACGTCTTGACAGAAAGAGCTTTGAAATCGGAGAAATATTGAGAAGGCACGAATTCAATCGTTTACTTAAAACTGTCTCTGTCCAAATATCATTCCAGGACCCGGATTAGGCTACGTCACTTACCCAGAAGCCCTCACTCATCTTCCGATCCCCAGGCTGTGGAGCTTCCTGTTCTTCGCCATGCTCGTCTTTGTTGCCATTGACACTATAGTATGTATATCTGGTGTTAGTATGCATCAACAGGTGACTGATTAAACATGAACTGCTGTAAAGTCGAACATGTAAGACCTAACAAAGTCCTAAATTCGGATATTTACACACAGGCACGCACCCACGCACGCGCACACACACACACACACACACATACACACACACGCACGCACACACACACACAAACACATACATTAACACAAACATACACGGTAAGTGACTATTATATCTACAGTTATTCATTAGTCACGAAGGGGGCACGGGTGGCCCAGTCGTCTAAGGCTCCCTTGGACATGCCAGAACCTATGGTCGTGTGTGCACTGTGCTCGTGGGTTTCACCAAAGTGGTAAACATCTGAGACCTGCATCACTTCGGGTTTTCTCCCCACATCAAACTGACACGCCGTGACATAACTGAAATACTGTTCAAAGAGGCGTTAAACCCAATTCACGCACTCACTCATAATTCATGGATGTATATGTAGCGTATTTTCCCTGCAGTTCTCGATGGTAGAGACGTGTATCTCCGCTGTGGTGGACCATTTCCCCTCCTTAATGAGGCGCCGCCTTGCTGTCACAGTCGCCTACTGTTGTCTGTCATACTTCACCGGGCTCGTCTTTACAACACAGGTGAAACAAGCAACGGAACACATGGAAGTCCATGTGAAAAATATCAAGCTGCTGATTTCAACTGATAACAGCCTGATTTGCATGCATTTCATCTTCTGTCAATCAGTTGAAACATGTTTAAATGTCTGTTTCAGGGAGAATGGTACGCCTTTACACTTATATATGTTTCCTTTGCCTTTCTACCTGTATGTTTCGATCCATCTCATCCCACATGTGCTCGATTGGTGAGAGATCAGGGGAGCGAGCCGGCCAGGGGATGACATTCTCATTCCTGAACAAGTCGAGCAATATGAGGCCGGGCGTTGTCATGTTGAAAGGTTATGCCTGGGCCATGACGACGCAAAAACGGTAGAACAACAGGGCCGATGATCTCGTCGCGGTAGCGCTGTCTATTGAGATTTCCCTCTACCACTATCAAACGGGTCCTCTGTCTTGCTGTAATCCCAACCCATACCATAACGCTGCCGCCCCCCGAACTGATCTTCTTCCATGACGCAATAATTGACGTAACGTTCACCTCGACGTCGGTACACTCGAATCCGTCCATCGCTGTGGCTGAGGAGAAAACGAGATTCGTCAGTGAATAGAACTTGTCCCCACTGCATGGCCGTCCAGCGTAGACGCTGTCTGCACTACTGTAGACGTGCTTGACGGTTGTTTCCTGTCAAAATGGGACGTCTGGCGGGTCTTCTGGCGACATTCTCTGCACATCTGACGTACGGTTTGCTTCTTGCAGACACTGTTGCTGTCTGGAATCGATTTCGTAGGTGTGTTGTTCGAATCCAGTTGTCTTGTCGATTATTGGTTACGCGTGGCCTGCCTCTCCGGGGATGGTCTCCGACTGCATTCGTCTGTTGCCAACATTGCCATAAACACCAAGTGGTGTTTTTGTGGTCTTTAAATTTTCTTGCAACATCACGTTGACTCGATCCTGCTTCAAGCATACCAATGGCTCGCAGACGCTCATTTTCGGACAGGCGTGGCATTTCGTAATGTTGAATAATTTCGTAATTTGGTTGCTTTTCTCAGTGGTTGTTGTCAGCACGATGCTAAACAATGCATATGTAATCCCGTTAACGCACATGTTTTTATACCAATTCTTGGGTAGTGAAATGCAAGGGGCTTGCATAAAAGTCACCTTTTGAATGGAATGCATGCTTTTCTGTAGCAGTTGCGTTTTTGTGACTTGATTCCATACATGTACTACAATATTGAAAACAAAACTTTACTTGTTTGAAAAATATTGGTGTTACAGGAACTTTTGATGTTGAGTATATGATTGCTTTACCTTCATGCCGGTATTTGTTTCAGGGAGGAATGTACATGTTTCAACTGGTAGACTGGTACCTTTCCTTCATCTTCCTGTTGAAGGCGGCGTTTCTTGAGTGCGTGGTCATTGCCTGGGTCTACGGTAAAATCACCATTTCTTTGAACAATTGTAGTCGGGTTCGTGCAATGGACTCTGCTTGAACATAGCTTTATTTTCATTATGCTTCTATTGAGGTGAAGGTGAGGTGAGGGGTTTAACGTCACGTCCAAGATTATTGCACTTATATAGCGACATGCATGCACGTGTATGTGTGGCTGCTTGTACTAATCCGGACTAATGCCGATTTATAGTGCTAGCTCACTGAGATACCATGCCGCAGTTTAACATGAATACCCCCCTCAGACACAGTATACTGACTCCGAGCCGACCAGTCCTTGTTTTAGCCCCTTAATGCCGAGCGCCAGACAGGGTAACAACAAGTACCATCTTTTAAAGTCTTTTGGTATGACGCGGCTGGGGATCGAACCCCGGGCCTTCCGCACCCCAGGCGGACGCTCTACCATTAAACCACGGAGGCGGTCTCTTCTATTGAGAGATACCTGCTTAATGCCTTCCATTAATACAATCGTATGTGTATAAGTGTTGACTGTCTAGATATGTTTGATTTGTTTGTTTGTTGTTTAACGCCGCACTCAGTAATATTCCAGCTATATGACGGCGGTCTGCAAATAATCGAGTCTGGACCAGACAATCCTGTGATTGACATCATGAGCATCGATTCACGCAATTAGGATACGATGACATGCATCAACCAAGTCAGCGAGCCTGACCACCCGATCCCGTGTGTCGCCTCTTACGACAAGCATAGAATATGTTTGAATGTGAATTAGTTTTTATTTATATATATATCCAGGCATACGAGAGTTTTGTGCAGACATCAAGATGATGATAGGACGGGAGCCGCCATTTTTTTTCAAGCTCACCTGGTGTTTCATCACTCCCGCCCTACTTCTGGTGAGACACAGATAATGTATGTTGTTTTATGCCGCTGTCAGCAGTGTACCAACTACATCACAGCCGATGCAATTATGTAGAAACAAACACAAATATCATGGCCGATGCAATTCCCTATTTTGACTTTATGTTCCCATGTTCTTTCTGGTAAACGATTGACTTGCCTTTGTATGTATTTGTGGGTGACAGGTGCCACTGGTGGCGTACGATACGTTCACCTGTTCGCTAACACCTGGTATAATCCCTATTTGATAGTAATTCATTAGCACAATGTCGTGCTTGTGATATAGTCGAAATCGTACAATGGACTTTCATTTTAATAGAGATCTTTTATGATTATGGAAATTGTTTTTTCGGGTGCCCCATTCTTAACAGTAGTTGTCTACATCGGTGCTGTACCCCCTCAGGATTATAGAACCAGCTCAGGATTATGGGACCAAGATGGCGGCACATCCGTTTCCGGTCACGTGACCTGCGCAGTGCATGATGGGTACCTGCGCGCGCCTCCAAGAGGGCGGCCCATCCGTGTCCGGGGAGGAGGGGGAAAACCCGGAGAAGCTCCCGTAAAAGGGGGAACAGGATCGACATTGAAAGAAGCGCGTCAAAAATCTTTTGTGGTTGTTGTGGTTGTTGTTGTTCTACACATAGACGTGGTGGTGGTGGTGGTGGTGAAGGGAGGGAGGGAGGGAGGGAGGGTGGGGGGGTGGGTTCACGGTGTGTGGGGGGTTGGAGGGTCGTCAAAGCAAAGGAGGAAAGTTGTCTTTCGGGAGAGATGGGTGGCCCTGAAAAGGGCCGTTGGAAAACAAACTGGAAACTGGAAACGACAGGAAACGGCAGTGCGTTGCGTTTTGGACCAACCAGGAAGCAGCCAATTTCGATCCGGTTCTTCCCCTATAACAAAAACAAGCGTGGATTCGAGTGGGTCAGTGTCACTTGTAAAATTGATGTGATAAAATCAAGAATGGCTGAAACAAAGAAGAGTGGTACGACGACGCGTGGCGAAGATGTGGTGATGGATAGTACAGATACTCGTGGATGTTGGAGTAAGAGTCATGCCGAGGATGCGGTGTCACTGCTCAGTCAAACGCCATCGCAATATTATCTACGCTTTGAAAGAAGGCTCGCTTCGTTTGAGGCGTGGCCCACGCAAATGTATCAGACTGCTGAAGAGATGGCCCATGCGGGCTTTGTCTACACTCAGGGTGCCGATGGTGTGTGCTGTTTCCAATGTGGGGTGCGGCTGAGACAATGGGCACCCCACGACAATCCTTGGGCGGCACATCACAAGTGGTCCCCAGACTGCGATTACCTCAAGCTAACCGGTCTGGTGAAACACCAGAAGCAGCTACAACTACACTATCTCTGCGAAGAGAAACAGAGGTACACGAATGACGTAGCACAGCCGGCTGCCTAGGAGAACGTTTCCCGTGTCCTGCGTTCCCGTTCAAGTTCCCGTTCAAGTTCCTGTTAAAATGTTTTTCTTTTCTTCGTTGGACCCACAAGTGGACAGCAGCAGAAAAGTTTTTCTTCCCCAAAACGGCCCTTTTCAGGGCCACCCATCTCACCCAAAAGACAATTTTCATCCTTTGCTTTGCCAACCCCAACCCCTCCAAAACAAAGAACCCACACCCTCCCCTAGACCTCTTGGAAGCACACGTCTAAAAATAAAAATAAATAGATATAAATAGATATAGATCAATAGATCAATAGAGACACGTAGTACACCACGTCAAACATCACGTGTGCATGAAAACACGCGTCACAGTACGCCTGTCGACCTACACGAGTGTCAACACCTCGGTATCCTTAAATAATAATAATAATAATAATAATAATAATAATTTGAAAACACACACACAGGGCACGACGTTTGCATGACAACACATAAAGTACATGACGTTCACATCGCGACACGAAGTCCATGACGTGTGCAAACGTCACGCAGGTGTATCGATCTTTCTCTATTCATCTCAATACTACATCCATGGTTGTAGTCGCACACACACACACACACACACACACACACACACAGGACACCACGTTTTGCCTGACAACACGCTATTCTATACATCAACGTCAACGTCTGTTTGAAGACATACACACTCACACACATACAAACATGACATTCCGATTGGCATGGGGGGATGACACAACGTACATCACGTAGGCATTCCCACGTTCATGTCTACCTATGAAGGTCCACCTTCCTTTAGCATTCAGACGACCGTCTACCTAAAAAATACCAAGGCTACCCAAGAAGAAAAAACCGGATCGAAATCGGACCAATCCGAAGCCTGGGTTGTCGACCAATCAGAAGCGGCGCTCGGACCAGGCGGGGCTCTGATTGGCCGAACCGGGGTTGTGCTTTCTCTCCGATGGTAAAATCCATTTCCTATGGAAAAGAAACACAAGGGTCGGTCCGTTTTGGAAAACCGAGGTGCTGACCAGGCACCGGAACGAGCCAATCGGAGCTGCTGCCTGGCGAACCAATCAGGTAGCAGGGTGTCAGTGCCTCTCCTATAAAACAAGAGTGAATTCGAGTGGGTCAGTGTCACTTGTAAAATTGATTCATCATCATGAGCAACAACAACAGCAACAACACCAGCAACAACATCAAGTCTGAAAACTGGGATCTAGAGATCGCCAGAGTGACGCAACCTTTGCCAGGGTGGAAAGAAGCATCACCACCACCACCACCATGGTCTCCACCGTGGCAATGCAATAGATGTCAAGGGGGTCTGCCCGTGTAGCTCTTGGTACAAAGGTATGGGATGGCACTTTCAAGTGTGTGTACTGCGACACCGTCCTGAAGGACACCTACGTGCGTCGGTTAACGCACACCAGTAGGTGTCCTGTCAGGAGACAAATGAAAGTCCACCCGTGCCTTTGCACCATGGCGTGCACCTGCATGTAAACATCAAAACGGCCTTTTTCAGGGCCACCCATCTCTCCCGAAAGACAACTTTCCTCCTTTGCTTTGACGACCCTCCAACCCCCCACACACCGTGAACCCACCCACCCCCCACCCCCACCACCCACCTCCCTCCCTTGACCACCACCACCACCACGTCTATGTGTAGAACAACAACAACAACAACAACAACCACAAAAGATTTTTGACGCGCTTCTTTCAATGTCGATCCTGTTCCCCTTTTTACGGGCGCTTCTGCGGGTTTTCCCCCTCCTCCCCGGACACGGAGGTGCCGCCCTCTTGAATGCGTACGCCACCGGACACGGATGCGGCGCCATCTTGAATGCGCACGCCATCGGAAACGGATGGGCCGCCCTCTTGGAGGCGCGCGCAGGTACCCATCATGCACTGCGCAGGTCACGTGACCGGAAACGGATGTGCTGCCATCTTGGTCCCATAATCCTGAGCTGGTACCATAATCCTGAGGGGGTACAGCACCGATGTGTACTCTTAACATTTGCGAAAAGTTGTGTTAAACCCACTCACTTTTCTCACACACAGTTTTGAAAACACACGGATCAGCTTGTATCCATGTCCATTTATGAAACGTATCCCTTCAACATAAATTCAAAATAGTACCGTACAGGGGTGGCCCAGTCATCTAAGGCGCCGAAATTCGCTGTGCAGAGTTGCTTCCCTTGGGCACCCTAGTAACCTATGATCGTCGGTTCGAATCCCGGTTCGCCTCGATTATGTTTCTAGGTTTGTCAGCACCATACCCGTGCTCGTGGGTTTCGTGGTTAACGTCTGAGACCTGCATCACTTCGGGCTTTCCTCCCACATTAAGCTTACACGCCGTGATATAACTGGAATACTGTTAAAAGCGGTGTTAAACCCAACGCACTTACTCAAAATAGCACAATGACATACATATAACGATATCTTCCTAGACCGCCTTCATATTCATCCTCACGACGTACAAGCCACCGACCTATGGGAAGTACAAGTACCCGGAATACGCCACTACCATTGGTTGGTTCCTGACAGCCATTCCCGTCATCCCCTTCGTTGTCATGGCAATAAAGGCATTGAGCGAGGCTAAGGGAACGTTTTTACAGGTTTGTAACAAAGATGTAAGGGTAACCAATGTAATACATTGAATACATTCAACTGAGACTCGTATGCCACCTCCACTAAGCACTTCAACCACCAATAGGTTATATATAGTATTAAGATGATGAGGACATGGGTGATCTGCAGAGTTGCGTCCCTTGGGCACGCCAGTAACTTATGACTGGGGGTTCGAATCCCGGTTCGCCCCGATTATGTTTCTAGGTTTGTCAGCACCATACCCGTGCTCGTGGGTTTCACCGAAGTGGTAAACGTGTGAGACCTGCATCACTTCGGGCTTTCCTCCCACATTGAGCTGACACGCCTTGATATAACTGGAACACTGTTCAAAGTGGTGTTCAACCCAAGTCACTCACTCACTCACTCACTCACTCACTCACACAGTGATCTAAGTGCAAACGACTTTCCTTAGTCTATGTTAATGAACCGCGCAAAGATCGCTTTGTGGAGCGCGGCTCAATAGGCAGACATACATTATATACACTGGTAACAATAAAACATGTGCGAGCCATTATTCAGAAACATTTAATGGCTGAAATATTGCCACCACGATGTCAATTATTACACACCCATGTTCTGTCGAAACATTCCGATCGTTGAGGGAGGTGAGGTGCAATGGGGTTTAACCCCCTAGATGCCATTTGGCACAGCGATAGTACACAGGCTATTTTTATGTGGCAGCCAGAGGGTTAAGTGAGTTGAGTTCAACGTCCGGTTATATAACGGCGTGTCAGCTTGATGTGGGAGGAGGAGACCCACAGTGCTCACTGCTGACAGACCAAGATTATTGCACTTACACTCTTCAAAAAAGGAAACGCACATGTAGATTTTAAGTAAATTTATTGTACCTAATAAAGTCGATACATTTAATTTATTATCATAAATACAAATATGAAATTTTGGAACTCGATAATCACATGTTGTCGTTGTAAAAAGGCATTGAAAACTGTTCATTGTCATGTCACAGAAGGCAACAAGGTTGCGCTGAACTCAGCATCTCGTGTGACCGCCCCGGGCAGCAATCACGGCTCTGCATCTCCTCGGCACTGACTGGATAAGTGAATGAATTCTGTCCTGCGGAATTCTGCGCCATTCTGCTTGTAACGCGTTGGCCAGTTGTGGGAGTGTCTGCGGCGTGTTCTGACGTTGACGTACACGTCGATCGAGTTTATCTCTGAGATGTTCGATTGGGTTGAGATCTGGAGATCTCGACGGTCAGGACAAGTCGTTGATGTTGGTATTATGAAGGTTGTCTACCGTGACACGAGCTGTGTGCGGTAGAGTGTTGTCCTGTTGAAACAGCACCCTCTGGCGGTCAATGATTGGAAGAAGGTGAGGTTGAAGAATGTGATTCATGTAGCGATTTGCTGTCAAATTTCCCTGAACCACAACCAAGTCAGATCTCGTGGTGTAGGATATGACCACCATGACACTACCGCCACCGAATTTGTCGAATTCACGTACACAATGTTGGGCAAAATGCTCATTTCGACAACGATAAACACGTTGTCTTCCATCTCGCCGGTGAAGAAGAAATCGTGATTCATCGCTAAACCACACGCTTCTCCAGTTTCTCAAATTCCAAGGCTGTGGCATTGCGATCACGTAGGTGGAACAGTCGAATGTAGAGATCCTGTGCAGGGGTGGTAACACTTGGTCTGCAATGGAATTGAACTGTGTGTATCGGTCACAAAGGCGGCAAATGGTGCTGTGGTGGGCGTTGAAGTGGCGTGCAACAGAAGACTACGATTCCCCTCTTTGGATACGCCCTATGGCGATGTCCCGATCGGCAGCGCTAAGTCTCGGCATTTTCGAACTTGAAAAATGTTGACAATTGAATGACAAATCATTAGCTTATGTTTGCCTTTTTATAATCACTACCACGAGTTACGAATGTCATAACTTGCACATGCATTTTGCTTTACTGCTTTCCTCCATGACATTTTTTAACACTTGTGAAAACAATGCCTTTTAAGAAATTGCAAATCGACAATGACTGCGTTTTGACGCACCGTTTCTCGAATATCAGGTCACTAACATTTTTCAATAACATATATCCGATTTAAATACCGGACTTTTTGTGTAGTCAGGTTTAGTGAACTACATACTACCTGTGCGTTTCTTTTTTGTAGAGTGTATATAGCGACGTGCATGGACGTGTGTGTGACTGCTTGTACTCGTCCGAACTGAAGCTGATGTTATAGTGCTAGCCCACTGAGACGCTATGCCGCAGTTTAACATGAACACCCCACTCAGGCACAGTATACCGACTCCGAGTCGACCAGTCCTTGTTTTAGCCCCTTTATGCCGTGCGCCAAGCAGGGTATCAACAAGTACCATCTTTTGACGTCTTTTGGTATGACGCGGTCGGAGATCGAACCTCGAACATTCCGCTCTCCGGGTGGACGCTCCACCACTAAACCACGGAGGCGGTCGAAATGGGGGTTAACGTGCGTTTATGACTGTTGTACTTGTATAGCAACGTGCATGCGTGTGCGTGTGTGTGTGTGTGTGTTTGGCTGCCTGTACTCGTCCAGACTGGTGCCAGCTTCTATAGTGCCAGCCCACTGAGATACCACAGTTTTAACATGAATATCCCACTCAGACAAAAGGTAATGACTCCGATCCGACAAGACTCTCCCTAACATAAATACTGTCCTTCCTATTTCTAGCGCTTACGTGCGTCCCTAACCCCCGAGGCCGCCTGGTGTCCCTCGGAGAGAACCCAAAGAGAGTTGTTCTTGGCGAAGAGGCTGGTGGAAAAAGAAGGACGGGGACAAGCATCCGAAGAAGGCGAGACCAGTGTATGAATTATTCGTCGCCACCCTTTTCGTCAACCCGTCCGGAAATGGTTTTGGAGCAAAGGTGTTGAATGCATTTTTGACCGACTCTTGAGGACTGTGTGCTGTGCAGAGTGGGTTTCAATCCTGGTTCGCCCCGATTATGTAAAACCAAAGTCTCTCAAACTATTCTGATAGCATATACGGTATGTCTTCCGTTGTTCCTTATTCGTGGGAACCAAGCACGCACTAATACGTATTCTACTCAACGTTTGATAGGGATAATCAGGTATGTCATGTAAAATGTGTACACTTCATATAGTTGTGTGTATCAACGAGATCAAAATATATCTATCAAAAATGGAACAGTATTTATTGCATCTTACCTCTTATACCAGTTAGTTATCTCATCTCGTTCTACAATATTGTTGTTGTTGGTTTGTTGTTTAACGCCGCACTCAGCAATATTCCAGCTATGTGACGGCGGTCTGTAAATGATCGAGTCTGGACCAGACAATCCAGTGATTGATATCATGAGCATCGATCCACGCAATTGGGATCGATGACATGCATCAACCAAGTCAGCGAGCCTGACCACCCGATCCCGTTAGTCGCCTTTTACGACAAGCATAGTCACCTTTTACAGCAAGCATGGGTTGCTGAAGACCTCATCTACCCCGGAATCTTCACGGGTCCGTTCTACAATAACCAGCCCCTAACGTACATATACCTCGCAGAGGAAACTTAAATCCTTAACTGAAGAATGGACCCTGGATCTTCTCAGACGCTGTGATATGTCCCGCGCATGCGCGTCGTCAGGTCTCATCCGCTTGTCCAATTTTGGTGTTTTTGGTGTTTCATTCTGCTGTCCTTCTCCTGATAGTTAACATATTACAAGCCCGCGTACTTCTACCTGCGTCGTGACCTGTGCGAGTTGTGCTATTATTTCACGCTGAACCAGGTATTAAATGACAGGGAGTGTTCCTCTGCCCACAAAAATGTGAACCCCTTGTGGACAATATCGTTTGGGGGCATCTACATCCTCTCGCCTAAATTAAACATAGGCAGATCGCACGCACGCACGCACGCACGCACAAACACTGAGAGAGGATTTTTAAATTTTGGACCCCACTCTTTTAAAAATGCTGGATAAGATCAATGTTGGACTCCTCGGTAAAGGCGATGATGACCTTGCAAAATGACTGCAATATTTTGGCGTTTTGTAAATTGCTTGTGTGAAAATTTCAGTTATTTTACATATTGACTGTAACATATACAGCCCTATTCCGGGTCAGAATAGGTCCCCAGCAGCCTGTGCCTGTCGTACTGAGCAACTTAATGGATCAGGTGGTCAGGCTCGGTGATTTGGTTGTCTGGTCCGGATTATTTACATACGGCTGTAATGTAGCTGGAATACTGCAGCATTAAACAACAGGAGTGATCAGATGACATATCCCCCCGATCCGGTGCAATGCGGCTATTTATACCCCACATTTGGTTCACTGCCATTGGATACCTTCAGTTCCGAGAGGAAAACAATAATGCCGTTCACAATGAATCAATTACCCAAATCATCAAAGGCACCAGTTCATCACTAGACTGATCTGTATGGCAAGTTTCATCCAGAAATATTCAACGCTTTTGGAGTTCTGCTCCGGAAACAGAAAACGTTACGGATGGCTCTGCTGATCGCTATATCCTCCCGAAATGGGGGGGGGGAGGTTGCATGCAAACAAATCATAAAATATAAAGATTATATCTCTGTGGAAACGCTTGTATTATAACTTTTTAACAAAGTCGATATTAATAGACGCGTGGGTATTGTGAAGTTTCTTGGCATCATATCTGTGTATGTCGACGTCAGCCTACCAAGTGAACTGGGTTTTGTCGATGGGACTTCTGCGTCCATCTCACAAAACATAATTTGCGGCTAGTTTGAGATATAATTAACAAAAGGCTGGAATTTATTTACCATGTTATATTAGGACTGGGTCATGTTTGGATTTTAAATTGCCACTGCGCTTGTTGGAGCCTACTAATAATTCGTCACCACTCGCCCCTTTCCGTCGCCGACAAGAAGACTCGTCCCCAAATCGATGAATGTTATGAGATATACGACAAACAAATCAGAAGGCGCGTATGATTTCAGGTACTTCGGTCAAAGAATCCCTCAGTAATATTCTATCTATTTTTAACATGTTTTGCATTTACCCAAGATACAGTTAAATATATTCAATCATACTATATAATACCGTAAGTGCCGATGTGTATTCAATAGCATTTGAATATACAATGTATGATATACGTGGAAACAATACGTGAATCATTACGCAACGAGTTGACAACCCAGTTGGCCACGAGAAGGACACGAGTCGTTGGTCGGCTTGTCCCGAATAACACGAGTTGGTCATGAATTCCTACTTATATGTTTCATCCGTCACTAACACTTGGGGGCACGCCAGAAACCTATGATTGTGGGTTCGAATCTCCGATTATGTTTCTAGGTTTGTCAGCACCATACCCGTGCTCGTGCGTTTCACCGAAGTGGTAAACGTCTGAGACCTGCATCACTTTGGGCTTTCCTCCCACATTAAGCTGACAGCGGTGATATAACTGGAATACTGTTAAACCCCACTCACTCACTAACACTGCATAATAGATGCTTCTATAACTTTGTACTGTACAACAGCAAATAATGAATAAACTGGTGTGTGAAGATGCTGTTTAATTTCTTCAACCCATTCAATGCGGCGTAGGGCGAGATTAAGGTCTCTGGACTACCTATATCAAACAAAATTAGGCTTTGGTAACTTAGGTTTCATGTGCAACATTTAGCAAGAAAGGTTTATGTCTCAAAGTTGAATTTGGCCATATTCCCTGTATGATTTAACGTCAGAAAAGGACCTCTGTAAATCACATGAGATCACAAAAAGACAATTGTGGATTGGGTGGTCCCAAGCCGTACATAGATATATATAGATGTATGTATATATAGATATACAGTAAACTACGGTTATAACGAACACGCTTATAACGAACTAACGGATATAACGAACTAACTTTTTAGTCCCGACTATATGCTGTAGTTATGCTGTATATATGCTTATAACGAATTACGGTTATAACAAACTAAAATTAGTAGTCCCTTTTTAGTTCGTTATAACCGTAGTTTACTGTATATAGGTATATAATATATATACGTCTTTGGGTGGTTAAACTCTCTCTGCTAATGTGTTTTCTTTCACACAAGACCTGTGAAGATCTGGCATAGAATAGGTCTTCAGCCTATTGTATTAAATTCAGACTGAAAAAGGGATGGGTCTAGGCTGTCAGAACATAGTGCAGAGAAGGGGGTGAGACTGGAATGGGGGTGAATGTTTTATTAAATATTCCAGCTATACAACAGTTGTCTGTAAATAATCTGGACCAGACAATCCAGTGATTGACCTAACGAGCATCGATCCATGCAATACGAGGACATGCATCAACCAAGTCAGCAAGCCTGACCACCCTGTTAGTCGCCTTTTACGGCAAGCATGGGTTGCTGAAGACCTGTTCTACCCCACATCTTCACGGGTCTCCATTACTGTGTAAAATGGTGTGTGCTTGTTCAACACCACACTCAGCAAAATCTCAGGTTCGTGAGGACAGCCTGTAATAAACATCAGACAATCTAGTGATTGATATTGTGAGCAACGACACACACCATCAGGGTACGATGACATGCCATCAATCAAGTCTGACCCCCCGATCTATTTGTAAAATGGCATGTCACCAAGATGGGTAAACAACACAAACAACACCAGCACTTTTCAGCTTTATTTTCTTCACAAAGCAACAGTACACTTTGCAAAAGCTTATATGTCATGACATATAACAAACATTATACTGTCAAATGTACCCCAGACAGTCATATCTGATACTTGTTCCAGCACATCACACGGTTTACTCAGCCCATACACAGCTTCTTCTGATTGTCTGAATATGTATCAGGTAACCCATTGTCATTCAATATAATGGCCCTGTTTTATAGATATAGGGGCCGGGAACCAATATATGTCAGAAAAAGAGCATGTTTTTTTCACCAGGCCATTGGACACCCTGCAGGTCATGGAAGGTCAAGGACACTACAATCTTTCATGGTTTCATATCTTTCAATTACCTTTGCTATTTCAACATTTTTGGACAAATAAGTCTTAATACATAAGGCTAAAAAAAATTAACAGTCATGGTTCTTATGCAACGCTCGCATCATCATAAAGTCTGCCGCACGTTTTCGGTTTTATTTCCATTTTCAAAAAAAAAAAAAATTTTTTTTAAATATTCCGCTTCTCAAACACACGACCCCGGCAGTCGAATGCTACAATACTTAAGAACAACATGATTTCCCCGAAATTATTGTAATCAAAATTTGGTTACATACTAGCATGAACAACCAACAACAACAAAAAATTGCCCGCCCGCACAATAATTTCAAAAGCCATTGCCTGAGAACGAATTCTATTTTTTTTTTAAGCCTTATGCTTTCTACATTTTGAGCACCAACAGAAGCAATGTGCAATGGATAAATCTCAGAATGGTTTGTTGTGACCCTTCTGTACCTCTACACACTGAGGTGCGGGAATCCTGAAATTCTCTGCAAGGCCTTTACAATGACTGTGAACAAAGCCCTAAAGTAAGTAGAGTGTTCTTAAGCCTCATGGGAATCCATGCGAACCCTGCATCACAATAAACACATACACAGTCCCAGCTGAGAACACAGCCTGGCGTTAGTTAGTCCACCTTTGCAAGGAAATTTGCCACTGAGTGGCATGACTCAAAATGTGACATGAGTCACCCTTTGCCTGGACAATTGCCACTAATAATGAGATAAACGCACAGTCTGATGTTAGTCCATCTTTGCCAGGACAATGGCCACTCGAGATGGGATGTACACCTGAAAATAGGACAAATACATCATACATATATGAATAACATCCAAATTGTGAATGACTGATCCAGAACTAATGGCTTTGTCTATATTTTCCTACAAGCTACAATACCGTAAATCTTGAAGTTAACGCGAGTGTGAATTAAATGTAAAAAATGTGAGTGGTCTTTGTTCGCATTAATGAAACTTCGCATTTTTGTCTCAAAAATCAACAATCAAACGGCCTCAATGCACACTTTGGATAGCGGAAATACCAAACAAGGTTTATTGAGCAGCAGTTAACAATGTTATTAAAAGAATAGGAATTACGCAATAGGCATCTGGTGAGTTATCACTGCTACTCATTTGTATGAAACTAGGCATCGTAGACCACTCCAATCTGTGAACTGCTGTTGGTTCATTTAGTTTATTGCCTTTGAACTTCCTTAATGCCAGTCAACAGAATAAACATATAAACTGCGTGTTGTGTTCAGGAAAACACTGTTAATTGTTATCACAGAAGTGCTTTACTCAGTGCTAATAAGCAGTACTATTTGCTGTTTGATTGGATTAAGGTAAAGATATGCATCATTCCACTGAGGATAGGGTGGGGGGAGTCGCATTGATATTGAGTCGCAATCTTGGCTAGGGGTCAGCAACTTTAAGATGATACATCAATTTTTAGGTTGCAAAGAATATGGTCGAAAAAACAAATTTGCATCAGGATAGAAGCTACTATGTTGTGCTATTTTATCTAATCTTACATTGCTTTCTGGCACATGTTTTCTAAGGCCAACTGTATTATGATTTTTATCTTAATACTCAAATGGTGTACCAAGCTTCCAGTAAGGCAGGAAAAGGTCAAATGTTTGCAGAACTCTGGGCCTGGTTGCACAACAACCTGGTTATCTCAGCTGCCATGAAGTCTGTGTTAGCTGGCTGTTAAATCTAACGGGGGCACAGGTGGCCCAGTCACTGTGCAGAGTTGCGTCCCTTGGGTACGCCAGAAACCTATGATTGTGGGTTCGGATCCCGGTTCGCCCCGATTATGTTTCTAGGTTTGTCAGCACTATACCCGTGCTCATGGGTTTCACCAAAGTGGTAAACGTCTGAGACCTGCATCACTTCGGGCTTTCCTCCCACATTAAGCTGACATGCCGTGATATAACTGGAATACTGTTAAAAGCGGTGTGAAACCCAACTCACTCACTCACTCACTCACTCACTCACTGTTAAATCTAACATGGGGGTTAGTATGTTTCTGAAAGATTGGTTATTTTGTGTCTGAAGATTGTGCTAATAGTCCTAAGCAAGAGTCAAGCAAAAGTTCCGGTAAACACAAAACATCACCTCCCAAGATTATCTGATGAAAGAGATGCCTTTTGGGTTTAAATGGCAAAATAGTGAAAATTATATGAATGGATCACTAAAAATTAGTGATGACACCAGGGGTTTGCGAAAAGGGTATTCATGTCCTGCTCTACCTGTAGCACCCGTCACTCCCACAATTTGTGTAAAATAGTAAGTGTTTGTTGACTGACGCCACACAGCAGTACTCCTCCCATAAGACAGCGGGATGTAAACAAACCAGACAATCAAGTGATGTACCAGAAATCCGGTCACATGACTGTGCATTTACTAATTTTGTTGAAACTAAAAATATAAGCTCAGCTCACAATTGTCCACACATTAACATAAAAAGCCATAAAAAAATTACCAATGGACCAGATAGGTCCATTAGGGGTGAGGTGAAATGGGTTCTCACGTTGCGTCCAAGATTATTGCACTTAAATAGCGACGTGCATGCACGTGTATGTGTGTGTGGCTGCTTGGACTAGTCAGGACTGATGCCGATGTTATAGTGCTGGCCCACAGAGATACCATGCCGCAGTTTAACATGAATACCCCACTCAGACACAGTATACTGACTCCGACCCGACCAGTCCTTGCTTTAGCCCAGACAGGGTAACAACAAGTACCATCTTTTATCGTCTTTGGTATGACACGGCCGGGGATTGAACCCCGGACCTTCTGCTCTCAGGACGAACGCTCTACCACTATACCACGAGGGCATTCTAGGTCCAGACACAACAGCTTTTGGCACAGACTGTAAACATTAATATGTATAAGGACAGGCATGTTAGATACCCTTTAAAGTTAACCCACCTCAATTAAGTTAAACAAACCACACCTCACAAGCCGACTGGAAGTCTGAGGCAACTTACATAGGTATGATGAGGGCGTTCATTCCACGGCTCATCCTTGGTGAAGAAGTCTGTGTCGTGGTTGAGACGCTTGTGACCACCATACTGTTCGGCATCTGAGTCGAGCACTATCCTGTATGTGACCAAGGTCAAGGGCAAACAAGGGCAGAGAATATGCTGATGAACATGAAGTTAGAGATGTATACATCCGATTCTATGAGATGTTGTACTAAGGTCTGTTCATTCATTCATTCATTCATTCATTCATTCATTCATTCATTCATTCATTCATTCGACCCGTGAAGATCCGGGCTGGAATAGGTCTTCAGCAACCCATGCTTGCCCCAAAAGGTGACTATGCTCGTCGTAAGAGGCGACTAACGGGATCGGGTGGTCAGGCTCGCTGACTTGGTTGATGCATGTCACCGATCCCAACTGCATTGATCGATGTTCATGATGTCAATCACAGGATTGTCTGGTCCAGACTCGATTATTTATAGACAGCCGTCATATAGCTGGAATATTACTGAGTGCGGCTTTAAACAAAATTCATTCATTCATTCATTCATTCATTCATTCATTCATTCATTCATGTAAGGAATGTTCTACTGACACTGAAGCTTGATGCGAAAGGTAGTTCATGGTACAATATAGGCCAGGTGATGCCTCTTGCATACATGGAGGCACAGGTATTTTGCAGAGTTGCATCCCTTAGCTGTGCCAGGAACCTATTGTGGGTTCGAATCTACAAACTTCTTTAAAGAATGAGAAAGGATATCTTCCCGGAGCTCCAACACCGATCTTGTAGTCCGTGTAGCTCTTGTCATGATGGAAGTTGAAGATGAAAACAAGACAATCTGCCCTGTCGAACACCATCACCTTGTCACCTTCATGCTTACAGCTCACGTAATTCTGAAAAACAAAACGTTCATCCATATCTGGGTGGGGCAATCATTTTTTTTGTGGCAACAGAACTTTCATTCCAGTCATCACACAGAGTCAAACAATGTATCTTGAACAAGCAAACAGCGTTATCACTATCCCCCGCCATCAGGCACATAAGAATTTTGTTTGTTTATATAAATGTGAATACAAAATGAAAAAGTGAGTGAGAGAGTATGGTTTTATGCCGCTTTTAGCAATATTCCAGCAATATCACGGCGGGGGACACCAGAAATGGGCTTCACACATTGTACCCATGTCGGGAATTGAACCCGGGTCTTCGGCGTGACGAGCTAACGCTTAAACCACTAGGCTACCCGACCGCCCCTAAACTGAAAAAAGTCCTAAAAACCTCAAAGGGAGATAGACACTTAGGCTACTTTATGTCATCAAAAAGATTGCTGAAATGTGAAATTGATACACACAAAAGGCGCCTCCTCTGAAGGAAAACCCTCAGTCTTGATAAGTATCTCTTAGATAAGCTCACTTTAATAGTTTCTGAGAAAACTTGTACCCATTGCACACACTATGCACCAAGGGCCATAACTCTTTAAAGAAATAATTTACGGGACCAATTTTCAAACTCAGTCTTGACAAGTAACTCTTTTATAAACTCGCAAAGTTTCATTCATATAACAATATTAGTTTCCTAGAAAATATGTCCCCATTTCAAGCAATATGTATTAAGTTGAAAAGCACAGAGCAAGGGCCCTAACTCTATGAAGAAATAATTGACAGGACCTACTTTCGAACTCAGTCTTGACAAGTAACTCTTAGATAAGCATGCAAGCTTTCGTTTGAGTAACTTCAGTAGTTTCTGTGAAAATTTGTCCCAGTTGCACACAGTATGCAGTTAGTAGAAAAGCACGGAGCAAGGGCCATAATTCTCAACAACAAAAATAAGGGGACAAATTTTCAAAATCAGTCTTCAAAAGTATGTCTTAGATAAACTTGCAAAGTTTCAATCATGTAACGTCAGAAGTTATTGAGAATACCTGTTCCCGTTACACACAATATACATTAAGTTAAAAAAGACGGAGCAAGGGCCCTAACTCTGTAAAGAAATAATTGACGAGACCAACTTTCGATCTCTTAGATGAACTTGCAAAGTTTCATTCATGTAACAATAGTAGTTTCTGAGAAAATTTGTCCCCATTTCAAGCAGTACACATTTAGTTGAAAAGCACGGAGCAAGGGCCCTAACTCTATGAAGAAATAATTGATAGGACAAACTTTTGAAATCAGTCTTGACAAGTATCTCTCAGATAAGTAGCAAAGTTTCCTTCATGTAACATCAGTAGTTTCTGAAGAAAACTTTCTACAATTTCACACAGTAAGCATGGAGCAAGGGTTGTAACGACTGACTGACGGACAGACACGATGGGAGATAATAATATAGCTGTGTCTTATATCTTATTCAGTCACAATCAGTCAAGCAACACCATCAGTCAAGCATCACCATCCATCAAGGATCACCATCCGTCAAGCATCACCATCAGTCAGTCAAGCATCACCATCAATCAAGCATCACCATCAATCAAGCATCACCATCAGTCAAGTATCACCATCAATCAAGCATCACCATCAGTCAAGCATCACCATCAGTCAAGTATCACCATCAGTCAAGCAACACCATCAGTCAAGCATCACCATCCATCAAGGATCACCATCCGTCAAGCATCACCATCAATCAAGCATCACCATCAGTCAAGTATCACCATCAGTCAAGCATCACCATCAGTCAAGCATCACCATCCATCAAGCATCACCATCAGTCAAGCATCATCATCAGTCAAGCATCACAATCAGTCAGTCAAGAATCAACATCAGTCAAGTATCACCATCAGTCAAGCATCACCATCAGTCAAGCATCACCATCCATCAAGCATCACCATCAGTCAAGCATCACCATCAGTCAAGCATCACCATCAGTCAAGCATCACCATCTATCAAGCATCACCATCAGTCAAGCATCACCATCAGTCAAGTATCACCATCCATCAAGCATCACCATCCATCAAGCATCACCATCAGTCAAGTATCACCATCAGTCAAGCATCACCATTCATCAAGCATCACCATCCATCCAGCATCACCATCAGTCAAGCATCATCATCAGGCAAGCATTACCATCAGTCAAGCATCACCATCAGTCAAGCATCACCATCAGTCAAGCATCACCATCAGTCAAGTATCATCATCAGTCAAGCATCTCCATCAGTCAAGTATCATCATCAGTCAAGTATCTCCATCAGTCAAGCATCACCATCAGTCAAGCATCACCATCAGTCAAGCATCACCATCAGTCAAGTATCATCATCAGTCAAGCATCTCCATCAGTCAAGCATCACCATCAGTCAAGCATCACCATCAGTCAAGTATCACCATCCATCAAGCATCACCATCCATCAAGCATCACCATCAGTCAAGAATCACCATCAGTCAAGCATCATCATCAGTCAAGCATCACCATCAGTCAAGCATCATAATCCATCAAGCATCACCATCAGTAAAGCATCACCATCCATCAAGCATCACCATCAGTCGAGCATCACCATTTGTCAAAACATCCCCATCAAGCATCACCATCAGTCAGGCATCACCATCAGTCAAGCATCACCATCCATCAAGCTTCACCATCCATCAAGCATCACCATCAGTCAAGCATCACCATCAGTCAAGCATCACCATCAGTCAAGCATCACCATCCATCAAGCATCTCCATCCATCAAGCATCACCATCCATCAAGCATCACCATCCGTCAAGCATCACCATCCATCAAGCATCATCATCCATCAAGCATCATCATCCATCAAGCATCACCATCCATCAAGCTTCACCATCCATCAAGCTTCACCATCCGTCAAGCATCACCATCAGTCAAGCATCACCATCAGTCAAGCATCACCATCCGTCAAGCATCTCCATCCATCAAGCATCACCATCCATCAACCATCACCATCAGTCAAGCATCACCATCCATCAAGCATCACCATCTGTCAAGCATCTCCATCAGTCAAGCATCACCATCAGTCAAGCACCACCATCAGTCAAGCATCACCATCAGTCAAGCATCACCATCAGTCAAGCATCACCATCAGTCAAGCATCACCATCCGTCAAGCATCTCCATCAGTCAAGCATGACAATCAGTCAGCATCACCATCAGTCAAGCATCACCATCAGTCAAGCATCACCATCCATCAAGCATCACCATCCATCAAGTATCACCATCCGTCAAGCCTCACCATCCATCAAGCATCTCCATCCATCAAGCATCACCATCCGTCAAGCATCACCATCCGTCAAGCATCACCATCAGTCAAGGATCACCTCAGTCAAGCATCACAATCAGTCAAGCATCACCATCCGTCAAGCATCACCATCCGTCAAGCATCACCATCTGTCAAAACATCCCCATCAAGCATCACCATCAGTCAAGCATCACCATCCGTCAAGCATCTCCATCAGTCAAGCATCACCATCAGTCAAGCATCACCATCAGTCAAGTATCACCATCCATCAAGCATCACCATCCATCAAGCATCACCATCAGTCAAGAATCACCATCAGTCAAGCATCATCATCAGTCAAGCATCACCATCAGTCAAGCATCATAATCCATCAAGCATCACCATCAGTAAAGCATCACCATCCATCAAGCATCACCATCAGTCGAGCATCACCATTTGTCAAAACATCCCCATCAAGCATCACCATCAGTCAGGCATCACCATCAGTCAAGCATCACCATCCATCAAGCTTCACCATCCATCAAGCATCACCATCAGTCAAGCATCACCATCAGTCAAGCATCACCATCAGTCAAGCATCACCATCCATCAAGCATCTCCATCCATCAAGCATCACCATCCATCAAGCATCACCATCCGTCAAGCATCACCATCCATCAAGCATCATCATCCATCAAGCATCATCATCCATCAAGCATCACCATCCATCAAGCTTCACCATCCATCAAGCTTCACCATCCGTCAAGCATCACCATCAGTCAAGCATCACCATCAGTCAAGCATCACCATCCGTCAAGCATCTCCATCCATCAAGCATCACCATCCATCAACCATCACCATCAGTCAAGCATCACCATCCATCAAGCATCACCATCTGTCAAGCATCTCCATCAGTCAAGCATCACCATCAGTCAAGCACCACCATCAGTCAAGCATCACCATCAGTCAAGCATCACCATCAGTCAAGCATCACCATCAGTCAAGCATCACCATCCGTCAAGCATCTCCATCAGTCAAGCATGACAATCAGTCAGCATCACCATCAGTCAAGCATCACCATCAGTCAAGCATCACCATCCATCAAGCATCACCATCCATCAAGTATCACCATCCGTCAAGCCTCACCATCCATCAAGCATCTCCATCCATCAAGCATCACCATCCGTCAAGCATCACCATCCGTCAAGCATCACCATCAGTCAAGGATCACCTCAGTCAAGCATCACAATCAGTCAAGCATCACCATCCGTCAAGCATCACCATCCGTCAAGCATCACCATCTGTCAAAACATCCCCATCAAGCATCACCATCAGTCAAGCATCACCATCCGTCAAGCATCTCCATCAGTCAAGCATCACCATCAGTCAAGCATCTCCATCAGTCAAGCATCACCATCAGTCAAGGGTCACAGTTGTCTAGGGTATCGTCAAGCATCTCAATCAGTCAAGCATCACCATCCGTCAAGCATCTCCATCAGTCAAGCATCACCATCCGTCAAGCATCTCCATCAGTCAAGCATCACCATCAGTCAAGCATCACCATCAGTCAAGCATCACCATCAGTCAAGGGTCACAGTTGTCTAGGGTATCGTCAAGCATCACCATTAGTCACCTGAGAATGACTGAGCCAACCATACTTCTGTTCCAGGTGGATCATGTCACGGTCAAAGTTGTTGAGGAACTGATACTTCAAAACCTTGTCATCTACCAGGTTCCACTGTCTACGGCAGTAGTGGAAGCTCTCGTTATTGCCGACACGGGGGAAGTCCAGCCACTCCGGATGTCCCCACTCGTTGCCTGGAGACAAAGGCACAATACATAGGTGCAATATACAGAAATGCCGTATGGTCAAAGTGCAAAGGTCAAATTAGGGTCAAATTTTAAAATGTCTCAAAACACAGAACATATATGTTGAACTCCACTACTAACTTCACTTTTACCAAATTTAATGACATTTTAAACAAAATGAAAAAATGCCAAAAATAGACTTGTTCAATGTGGCTGCCTTTTTGATACCCCTTTGCACATCCATGTTTCACAATGACATCAAACATGACTTTGAAAGACATGGTACCAACTTTCATGTTGTAGGATTTGTTATGACTGATCATCTGGTTTCTGAACTCACTTACTCGCCATCACAGATCATCTGATTTCTAAACTCACTCACTCAGTACCACTGATATCCGGTTTCTAAACTCACTCACTCACTCAGTGCCACTGATATCAGGTTTCTAAACTCACTCACTCACTCCCCACCACCAATATCTGGTTTCTAAACTCACTCACTCACTCACTCAGTACCACTGATATCCGGTTTCTAAACTCACTCACTCACTCACTCAGTACCACAGATATCCGGTTTCTAAACTCACTCACTCGTCATCACTGATCATCTGGTTTCTAAACTCACTCACTCACCATCACTGATCATCTGATTTCTAACCTCACTCACTCACTCCCCACCACTGATATCTGGTTTCTAAACTCACTCACTCACTCACTCAGTACCACTGTTATCCGGTTTCTAAACTCACTCACTCACTCACTCAGTACCACTGTTATCCGGTTTCTAAACTCACTCACTCACTCACTCACTCAGTACCACTGATATCCGGTTTCTAAACTCACTCACTCGCCATCACTGATCATCTGGTTTCTAAACTCACTCACTCACCATCACTGATATCTGGTTTCTAACCTCACTCACTCCCCACCACTGATATCTGGTTTCTAACCTCACTCACTCGCCATCATTGATATCTGGTTTCTAAACTCACTCACTCACTCACCATCACTGATATCTGGTTTCTAAACTCAATCACTCCCCACCACTGATATCCGGTTTCTAAACTCACTCACTCGCCATCACTGATCATCTGGTTTATAACCTCACTCACTCACCATCACTGATATCCGGTTTCTAAACTCACTCACTCACCATCACTGATATCTGGCTTATAAACTCACTCACTCACTCACCATCACTGATACCTGGTTTGTGAACTCACTCACTCACTCGCCATCACTGATCATCTGGTTTCTAAACTCACTCACTCACCATCACTGATATCTGGTTTCTAAATTCACTCACTCACTATCACTGATCATCTGGTTTATAACCTCACTCACTCACTCCCCACCACTGATCATCTGGTTTCTAAACTCACTCACCATCACTGATATCTGGTTTCTAAACTCACTCACTCACTATCACTGATCATCTGGTTTATAACCTCACTCACTCACTCCCCACCACTTATCATCTGGTTTATAACCTCACTCACTCACTCCCCACCACTGATATCAGGTTTCTAAACTCACTCACTCACCATCACTGATCATCTGGTTTATAACCTCACTCACTCACTCCCCACCACTGATATCAGGTTTCTAAACTCACTCACTCACCATCACTGATCATCTGGTTTATAACCTCACTCACTCACTCCCCACCACTGATATCAGGTTTCTAAACTCACTCACTCACCATCACTGATCATCTGGTTTATAACCTCACTCACTCACTCCCCACCACTGATATCTGGTTTCTAAACTCACTCACTATCACTGATCATCTGGTTTCTAACCTCACTCACTCACTCACCATCACTGATCATCTCGTTTCTAACCTCACTCACTCCCCATCACTGATATCTGGTTTATAAACTAACTCCCCATCACTGATCATCTGGTTTATAAACTCAATCACTCACTCACTCAGTACCACTGATCATCTGGTTTCTAACCTCACTCACTCCCCATCACTGATATCTGGTTTCTAAACTCACTCACTCACCATCACTGATATCTGGTTTCTAAACTCACTCACTCACCATCACTGATATCTGGTTTCTAAACTCACTCACTCACTCACCATCACTGATCATCTGGTTTCTAACCTCACTCACTCACCATCACTGATACCTGGTTTATAAACTCACTCACTCACCATCACTGATATCTGGTTTATAAACTCACTCACTCACTCACCATCACTGATATCTGGTTTGTGAACTCACTCACTCACTCACCATCACTGATCATCTGTTTTTTTCACTCACTCACTCACCTCACTCATCATCTGGTTTCTTGACTCATGAGACACTTTAAACACAGTTTCTAATCACACTCACCAATGAAATTCAAATAACCTTCTCCACCCAGTCCAATCGTTATCAGTCGGATCATCTTGTGTAAGGCAATTCCTCGATCAACAATATGGTTCGGCTCTGAAATGGTGGACATATGTGTGTACATTTCCTTGTCCATCAGCCAGAATGCCAGCGACTTGTCCCCCACCAGTGCCTGGTCGTGGCTCTCTGCGTAGGCGATACACTTCTCCCCGTAACGTCGGTTCACCAGTGTGTGGGCCATGTCACCGATTTTCCAGTCTTCGTCGCTGCTCTCTTTCAAATACTGAAACAAGCAACCAAGATTATTGTTCGCTGGGAGAGAAATGTTTTTGTTTTCAAGTGTACCAGGTAGCACTGACTAACACATTCAGGTGGGACTCTTTGTTCCAACAAGAAGAATCCATGTAGAAATTGATGAATGTCGTTTCACCATAATGTAGCGGTTTGATTGGTTGTAGTTACTTGATATCAGTATAATATCTACATCACAACACTGCTGAATGCAATAACCAGAAGTTGTTATCCATAAAGTTGCATGTTTTTTCATTAGGTAGTGGCCATGAAAGGAATCAAACCACAGACTTTCTGAACTGAGGTTGGATGCCTTGTCCACATGACCAAGGAGGTTAACATTGTCAGCAATCACAATTGCGTAGATTGATGCTCATGATGTCAATCACTGGATTGTCTGATCCAGACTCGATTATTTACAGACTGCCATCATATAGCTGGAACATTACTGAGTGTGGCGTTAAACAACACACAAACAAACAAAGGAACTGTACGTTACTGTTACCTTGATCCACATGTCTGGAAGAGCCATGGCCAATCGGTAGTCAAATCCCCCACCCCCTTCCTCCACGGGACGGCACAGCGTCGGCATCCCAGACACTTCCTGTGGACACACATCAATCACACGGGTACAATATTGATCAAATATATCTTAAACCTTAAACAAGAAGTTATTATTTCTTTACCAGATAATCAGATTCACAGCACGACCCCTGGCATTGCAGACCCATCTCTTACGTAGTTTGTTTCTTTATTGTCTGGTAATTTCACTTCCCCTCTTTGGGCAATATCTCACCTCAGCTACACAAGATATATCTCACCTCAGCCACACAACATATCTCACCTCAGCTACACAGGAGAGAAAGCTTCTTCGCAGAATATATCCCACCTCAGCTACACAAGGTATATCTCACCTCAGCTACACAACATATCTCACCTCAGCTACACAGGAGAGAAAGCTTCTTCACAGAATATATCTCACCTCAGCTACACGAGGTATATCTCACCTCAGCTACACAACATATCTCACCTCAGCTACACAGGAGAGAAAGCTTCTTCACAGAATATATCTCACCTCAGCTACACAAGGTATATCTCACCTCAGCTACACAACATATCTCACCTCAGCTACACAGGAGAGAAAGCTTCTTCGCAGAATATATCCCACCTCAGCTACACAAGGTATATCTCACCTCAGCTACACAACATATCTCACCTCAGCTACACAGGAGAGAAAGCTTCTTCACAGAATATATCTCACCTCAGCTACACAAGATATATCTCAAATCAGCTACACAACATATATCTCACCCCAGCTACACAGGAGATATAGCTTCTTCACAGGATATATCTCACCTCATCTACTATTGAAGGCTATATCTCACCTCAGTTACTGTCAAAGGCTATATCTCACCTCAGTTACTGTTAAAGGCTATATCACATCCCAGCTACAATTAAAGGCTATATCACATCTCAGCTACAATTAAAGGCTATATCACACCTCAGGTAGTATTGAAGGCTCTATCTCACCTCAGCTACTCTTCAAGGGCATATCTCACTTCAGTTACTGTGAAAGGCAATACCTCACCTCAGCTTTTAGACAATACCTCACCTCAGCAACTGTTATAGGCTCTATCTCACCTCGGCTAATGTTAAAGGCTCTATCTCACCTCAGCTACTGTTAAAGGCTCTATCTCACCTCAGCTACTGTTATAGGCTCTATCTCACCTCGGCTACTGTTAAAGGCTCTATCTCACCTCAGCTACTGTCAAAGGCTATATCTCACCTCAGTTACTGTTAAAGGCTATATCACCTCAGCAACTGTTATAGGCTCTATCTCACATCGGCTACTGTTAAAGGCTCTATCTCACCTCAGCTACTGTTAAAGGCTCTATCTCACCTCAGCTACTATTATAGGCTCTATCTCACCTCGGCTACTGTTAAAGGCTCTATCTCACCTCAGCTACTGTTAAAGGCTCTATCTCAACTCAGCTACTGTTAAAGGCTCTATCTCACCTGAGCTACTTCAAAGGCTCTATCCCACCTCAGCTACTGTTATTGGCTCTATCTCACCTCAGCTACTGTTAAAGGCTCTATCTCACCTCAGCTACTGTTAAAGGCTCTATCTCAACTCAGCTACAATAAAAGGCTCTATCTCACCTCAGTTACTGTTAAAGGCTCTATCTCACCTCAGCTACTGTTATAGGCTCTATCTCACCTCGGCTACTGTTAAAGGCTCTATCTCACCTCAGCTACTGTTAAAGGCTCTATCTCACCTCAGCTACTGTTAAAGGCTCTATCTCACCTCAGCTACTTCAAAGGCTCTATCTCACCTCAGCTACTGTTAAAGTGAGTGAGTTGGGTTTAACATCGCTTTTAACATTATTCCAGTTATATAACGGCATGTCATTTTAACGTGGGAGGAAAGCCCGAAGTGATGCAGGTCTCAGACGTTTACCACTTTGGTGAAACCCACAAGCACAGGTATGGTGCTGACAAACCTAGAAACATAATCGGGGTGAACCGGGATTCGAACCCACAATCTTAGGTTTCTGGCGTTCCCATGGAATCGCAGTGCCTTAGCGACTGGGCCACCCATGCCCCCGCTCTATCACACCTCAGCTACTGTTATAGGCTCCATCTCACTTCAGCTTTGTTAAAGGCTCTATCTCACCTCAGCTACTGTTAAAGGCTCTATCTCACCTCAGCTACTGTTAAAGGCTCTATCTCACCTCAGCTACAATAAAAGGCTCTCTCTTACTTCAGCTACTGTTAAAGATTCTCTCTCACCTCAGGTACTGTTAAAGGCTCTATCTCACCTCAGCTACTGTTAAAGGCTCTATCTTACCTCAGCCACTGTCAAAGGCTATATCACACCTCAGCTACTGTCAAAGGCTCTGTCTCACCTCAGCTACTGTTATAGGCTCCATCTCACCTCAGCTCTGTTAAAGATTCTCCCTCACCTCAGCTACTGTTATAGGCTCTATCTCACCTCAGCTACTGTTAAAGGCTCTATCTTACCTCAGCCACTGTCAAAGGCTATATCACACCTCAGCTACTGTTAAAGGCTCTATCTCACTTCAGGTACTGTTAAAGGCTCTATCTCAACTCAGCTACTGTCAAAGGCTATATCACACCTCAGCTACTGTCAAAGGCTATATCACACCTCAGCTACTGTCAAAGGCTATATCACACCTCAGCTACTGTCAAAGGCTATATCACACCTCAGTTACTGTTATAGGCTCCATCTCACCTCAGCTACAATAAAAGGCTCTATCTCACTTCAGCTACTGTTAAAGGCTATATCTCACCTCAGCTATTGTGATGATGAATGGATAAAGAGAATGCAACATATAGTTGGCCAGCATCAGGTACACCAGTGACTCTGTGTCTGTGTTCATACCAAAGTATTCCATGTAATGGCCGGTGAATCCATGGCCTGAAAACAAACAAGAAAAGTAGTCCAGAATTTGATAGATAAAACTTGACAACAGTGTTACAAAGCTTTGCCACGTCATCATTGCAGTGCTTCAAAAGAGACTGAAATGAGGATCACAATGTCCGACCCTGTACCCTGACGAAAAGAATCCTCCTTATGCCATCAGCAACTGGCTTGGGCTGGCCCAGACTCCATTATTTACCCAAAACAGTTGTAAAACTGGAAAATTGCTAAATTTAGCATTCAACAACACTCACTCACCCAGGTTTGATTAGAGCCAGGTCACATCTTCCCAAGGCAAGAGAGTTAACTGACTATAAAAGTCCAGTTTCCACCCTTGCCGAACTAGTCTGGTATTATTGAGTTACATTTTGGCTGGGCTAACGCATCTATGCATAGTCCAATCAAAATCGTGAAACGAAATCGAAATCAAGTTTGTAAACTGTTGTGCTGATTTCAGTTAATTGCAGGATTTGTAAAGCATGTGCACCGCCAACTCGTTGTCAACAGATATTTTCTAAATCTTTTCATGATTTTAATCAAGGTGCTCACGTGATTTGATGCACTCTGCGATGTAAGACCCATTTTATCACAATATAGATCTTGATTATCGGTCAGATCGTCTTGTCTTGGTGCCGCTAAGATCGAGCCCAGGAATTCCAGCCTAGTCAGCAATGGTGGAAACTGGACTTTTAAAGTCAGTTATCTGACTTGCCTCGGGAAGATGCGTCACCATGATATATCTGAGCTAATGCTGCAGCCTTCACGCGAGTCGACTGAAATGTGCTGAGGATGAGTAAAAATCTAATGATGGTAGTCCCAATTGACTAGTGGCATTGGAGAGCCATAATTCGGAAGCTATCCAATGTTTCAATTTTGCTACAAATTGGAACTGAATAAAACCGACAGAAAATGTAAACAGTAAAACACACTTGTAAACACTTGTCTCCTTCAAGGAGGACAAGTTACACACTCTGAAGACAAGTAAATAATCCCCTGGACCAGGCTTAAACATAACAACGTATTTCTAACATTGTTGGATGTTGTGCAAACCAACGTTCATTCAACCATTCATCTGATTTTGAAAACAAAACAAACTGGAACTGGAATGTGAGTGAGTGAGTGAGTGAGTATGGTTTTACGCCGCTTTTAGCAATATTCCAGCAATATCACGGCAGGGGACATCAGAAATGGGCTTCTCGGCGTGATGAGCGAACGCTTTAACCACTAGGCTACCCGACAGCCCCACTGAAACTGGAAAGATGCTGATCAACAATGAACAGTTAAAGAGCATTCACTCACTCACTCACTCAGCAGAATGCCTTACCCATCCCGTGTGTGTGGTACAACATGGATGTGACACCATCAAATCGGAACCCATCGAAACTGAACTGCTCGATCCAATACCTTAGATTTGACAGCAAGAATCGCAGCACCTCCCACCTGAAAATACACAAGAGTTAAAATCTTTAGAGGCCAGGTGCTTGGCATGGCTGACATGCCTGAAGCAAGGACTGTTCAACAACGATCATTGCATTACAAATGATGTATGTTCGTATGAGGTTATGAATAATCTTAGCACTGAGATGGATTTGGGGAACAGCTAGAAGGCATACCAGGTCGCTTTATACAGGGAGTATAGGATTTTGGGTCGATTTTGAAGGCGTGTACAGGGGGGGTCGTCTTATACGTGGGGTCGTCTTATACGTGGCGGCGCCTTATACGTGGGGTCGCCTTATACGTGGGGTCGCCTTATACACAGCGATATACTGTAAGTCTTGTTCATTAAAATATCTAGAAGTTTAATGAAAGTACAAATCATTCATTTGTCTGAACTATAAATATTACTGTACAAGGGCCCTTGGTCCACTTGCACAAAGTAATCTTATCGCTACGACTATTGTAAGCCTATGTTACAGAATGGGAGTTACGATCATCTTAGCTCCTTAATGCCGAGCACCAGGCAGGGTAACAACATGTATGTGTCCAGGGTTCAAACTGATCTTCCGCTCTCCAGGCAGATGCCAATCCACTACACCACCACGGAGGCAGTTCCTGAAACTAGAACTTACTCTGTGTAGTTGAATAGTCTGGAGTCCCACAGATCATGAGTGCCACGCCCACCATCATGGAAGAAGCATGCATTAGAGCCGTCAAACAGATTCAATCCATCAACTACATTCTTGGAAGCATGGCTGTGTACAACGTCGAGCAAGACCACGATGCCATGGGAGTGGGCGACGTCAACCAGTTCCTTCAGATCCTCAGGAGATCCGTAACGACTGCAAGGCACAATTGTCATCTGTCAGTTACACCAGTCGCTGCACAATGTTTGTTTGTTTGTTTGTTTGTTTGTTTGTTTGTTTGTTGTTGTTTAACGCCCTGCTCTTCCAGGCATGTGGATCAAGGTAACAGTAACATACAGTTCCTTTGTTTGTTTGTGTGTTGTTAAAGTCCTATTCTAAAGCCTTTCTGATTGGTAGACCTGGCAAATTTGATTCACAGCATTCAAACAGCACTTATTTTGCATGTGAATAGAAACATTACACTTTGAAAATCAACATCACAGTTAATGATTACCATGAATTACATAGAAACAATGCAGTAACTACAATTACTAACGTGAACATACAACAGACTGATATATATAATGGAGCATAAATAATGATAACGGAAACATTTTTAAAAAAATCCTTAGTCCTCAGTTCTCAGATATTTTATTTTACAACAATCAGCATACCCATATGAAAGTTTATTTTTCTACTTCACGACAAAACCTAGTAAAACCTACCACAAACTCACTCAAAATCTAAGTAACAGCTTTGACTTGATTTTCTTCCCAAATTAGCTGGAGAGTGATGGCCCTTTGACCGCATGGACGTAATCCAACTTACCTGGAGGCTGCAAAGAAGCTTGTGATCTGATAGCCGAAACTGGCATAGTAGGCATGTTCCATGACAGCCATCAGCTGAATAGCATTGTACCCTGCAATTAGGCAACACACATTCAACAAGCATTCATAACAAGACAATAGGATGACCATAGTTAAACCTTAACATTTGGCCATAATTTATTAATTGTTAGATTTTCACTCCGGCACCTCACTACGACACAGAAATGGGATGGTGAAGTTATGGTGGTGAAGAGGGCCAGGGAACTGATAATAAAAATACATAGGAGATGGGATACACTGGTTAACAGAAGATGGGTTTTACCCTGCTCTTAGCACTATTCCAAAATACTGTCAACAGCACAGGACACAAAGAGCGGGCTTTACACATTGTCAACAGCAGGCACCAAGAATGGGCTTTACACATTGACAACAGCAGACACCAAGAATGGGCTTTACACATTGACAACAGCAGACACCAAGAATGGGCTTTACACATTGACAACAGCACAGGACACCAAGAATGGGCTCTACACATTGACAACAGCAGAGGACACCAAGAATGGGCTTTCAACATTGTCAACAGCAGAGGACACCAAGAATGGGCTTTACACATTGACAACAGCAGTTGACAAAAATAATGGTCTTCAAACATTGACAACAGCAGAGGACACCAAACATGGTCTAGGGCATACAGTGAGATCAGTTCAAGATGGAGTTTCTGGATGCCCCTGGTACACAATTCAATCACTGAAAGTACAGTTACCTAAGTCAGCGATTCTTGGGATGACATTCTGAGTGAATTCCTTGTATGTCGCCACTTTGCCTTCCCATGATGCAATGCCAACATGTGATTCATAGATGCGGAGGCGGTCTGGTTTGAACGGTCGAGGATGTTTCGGTACATAAATCTGCAAATACGAAATTGAAAGATACAAACTGGGAAAAACATGTGTTTATCACGGTATACCAGCTGCTAGGTGTTCCAATCTCTCACTGAGGGGGCCCCAGTACACGTTCACATCTCTCACTGAGGGGGCCCAAGCCGAATGTTTACACCTCTCACTGAGGGGGCCACAGTACACATATTTACACCTCTCACTGAGGGGCCCCAGTACACATGTTCACACCTCTCACCGAGGGGGTCCCAGTACACATATTTACACCTCTCACTGAGAGGGCTCCAGTACACATGTTTACACCTCTCACTGAGGGGGCCCCAGTACACATGTTTACACCTTTCACTGAGGGGGCCCCAGTACACATGTTAACACCTCTCACTGAGGGGGCCACAGTACACATGTTAACACCTCTCACTGAGGGGGCCACAGTACACATGTTTACACCTCTCACTGAGGGGGCCCCAGTACACATGTTCACACCTCTTACTGAGGGGGCCACAGTACACATGTTAACACCTCTCACTGAGGGGGCCACAGTACACATGTTAACACCTCTCACTGAGGGGGCCACAGTACACATGTTAACACCTCTCACTGAGGGGGCCACAGTACACATGTTAACACCTATCACTGAGGGGCCCCAGTACACATGTTAACACCTCTCACTGAGGGGGCCACAGTACACATGTTCACACCTATCACTGAGGGGGCCACAGTACACATGTTCACATCTTTCACTGAGGGGGCCCCAGTACACATGTTCACACCTCTTACTGAGGGGGCCACAGTACACATGTTTACACCTCTCACTGAGGGGGCCCCAGTACACATGTTCACACCTCTCACTGAGGGGGCCCCAGTACACATGTTCACACCTCTCACTGAGGGGGCCACAGTACACATGTTAACACCTCTCACTGAGGGGCCCCAGTACATATGTTAACACCTCTCACTGAGGGGGTCCCAGTACACATATTTACACCTCTCACTGAGGGGGCCCCAGTACACATGTTCACACCTCTCACTGAGGGGGCCACAGTACACATGTTCACACCTCTCACTGAGGGGGCCCCAGTACACATGTTTACACCTCTCACTGAGGGGGCCACAGTACACATGTTTACACCTCTCACTGAGGGGCCCCAGTACACATGTTCACACCTCTCACTGGGGGGGTCCCAGTACACATGTTTACACCTCTCACTGAGGGGCCCCAGTACACATGTTAACACCTCTCACTGAGGGGGCCACAGTACACATGTTCACACCTCTCACTGAGGGGGCCCCAGTACACATGTTCACACCTATCACTGAGGGGGCCACAGTACACATGTTCACATCTTTCACTGAGGGGGCCCCAGTACACATGTTCACATCTTTCACTGAGGGGGCCCCAGTACACATGTTCACACCTCTTACTGAGGGGGCCACAGTACACATGTTTACACCTCTCACTGAGGGGGCCACAGTACACATGTTCACACCTATCACTGAGGGGGCCACAGTACACATGTTCACACCTATCACTGAGGGGGCCACAGTACACATGTTCACATCTTTCACTGAGGGGGCCCCAGTACACATGTTCACACCTCTTACTGAGGGGGCCACAGTACACATGTTTACACCTCTCACTGAGGGGGCCCCAGTACACATGTTCACACCTCTCACTGAGGGGGCCCCAGTACACATGTTCACACCTCTCACTGAGGGGGCCACAGTACACATGTTAACACCTCTCACTGAGGGGCCCCAGTACATATGTTAACACCTCTCACTGAGGGGGTCCCAGTACACATATTTACACCTCTCACTGAGGGGGCCCCAGTACACATGTTCACACCTCTCACTGAGGGGGCCACAGTACACATGTTCACACCTCTCACTGAGGGGGCCCCAGTACACATGTTTACACCTCTCACTGAGGGGGCCACAGTACACATGTTTACACCTCTCACTGAGGGGCCCCAGTACACATGTTCACACCTCTCACTGGGGGGGTCCCAGTACACATGTTTACACCTCTCACTGAGGGGCCCCAGTACACATGTTCACACCTCTCACTGAGGGGGCCACAGTACACATGTTCACACCTCTCACTGAGGGGGCCCCAGTACACATGTTTACACCTCTCACTGAGGGGGCCACAGTACACATGTTTACACCTCTCACTGAGGGGCCCCAGTACACATGTTCACACCTCTCACTGGGGGGGTCCCAGTACACATGTTTACACCTCTCACTGAGGGGCCCCAGTACACATGTTCACACCTCTCACTGGGGGGGTCCCAGTACACATGTTAACACCTCTCACTGAGAGGCCCCAGTACACATGTTTACACCTCTCACTGAGGGGCCCCAGTACACATGTTAACACCTCTCACTGAGGGGGGTCCCAGTACACATGTTTACACCTCTCACTGAGGGGGGTCCCAGTACACATGTTAACACCTCTCACTGAGGGGGGTCCCAGTACACATGTTTACACCTCTCACTGGGGGGGTCCCAGTACACATGTTAACACCTCTCACTGATGGGGCCCTGTTCACCCCTACCTCACTCTGAGGGGGGTCCCAGTACACATGTTCACATCTCTCACCGAGGGGGGGGGCACAGTACACATGTTCACATCTCTCACTGATGGGGCTCTGTTCACACCTACCTCACTCTGAGGGGGGTCCCAGTACACATGTTCGTAGATGGCCACCTCCTTCGGTCTGTCCACTCGGGAAGCCCACGGGCAGATTCTGTCCACAACTTCTCCACTCTTTGTTCTAATGCCCAACTTGAAACAAACAGGGGGAGATATATACCGTATACCATATAAATAGAACCATGTGACCAGGGCAGAAGAAAAGCTTAGTTTCAACTCAGTTAAACTTATGAATACTTTTAACATGGTAATGAATCTCTGTGTATTATCTTAATAGAGGACACCTGAAATCTTGTCTTAAACAACAGGGGGCTCTTATTAGAACTGGACAGTTAAAACAAACATGGGACAAACATCTGTATCAAAGCCACCAGAAATTATCAAGTCTGGGTCAGACAATCACATGATTGACATCATGAGCATCGATCTGTGCAGTTGGGATACGATGACATGTATCCTGGGCATTAAATATGAACATAGTCTTGTTATTGGGAGTAAACATACTGTGTTTTCAATGTAGAGCTAGGTTACCTGTAGATTAACCACGCTAAATTTAATATAGAGCCGAACATCGCAGCATGAGGTTTCAAATGGTAAATTTAGCGTAGTTGAATCTACAGGTAACCTAACTCTACATTGAAAGCACAGTATGTTTATCTCCCTTCTACCATATGACTAAATATAACGTGAATTCTTTGGTGTTGGCAAACTGCGAGTGAAGCAGCCTCGGTTGAGTCCAATGTTTTGAGGGGATTGTTGTTCTGAATTATAGAACCCCCAACAACAGCCTTTAAACAAAATATGGCACTCCATATGCTCAAGCAGTTCTACACCGTATGTCATTATAATGACATCATATGGCTACTTGTGACACAAAAGATATGACATCACAGTCGTATATAGAGAAACGCCAAATTCCATGCTCTCTGTTGCACCATAACTCAAAAATACATTGTCTTTGCAGATTTCTTTTGTGTTTTCTGCACGAAATGTACTGCCACACATCCTTTGAATATTGTAGTAACCGCAACTTTGCAACTTTGCATTTTGTAACCTATATTCGTACATATAAATCTAATATGTCTACCAACAATGACTGAAGGAAGTACTTTTCTATGAATATTAGCTCCCGCAGTGATGCAGCCGTCAAACCAGCTGTTTCAATCAGAAGGGGTTTATTGTGATTTGACAACCTCTAATTGACCAATCAGAATCGAGTATTGTTATGGTAGAACAATGCTTAATGCTTAAGACTGTAATAACTGTTAGAAAACCTTTAATCGTAGGTATTCATTAAATATACTTTAATACATAATGTGATAAAATAAAATACCTTTTGCAATGTTCAACATCACATAAATATGAAACCTCAAATACTTTCAAAAAATGTTACATTGGGGATGTTCTCAGAAAAGTACAGATTCTCGTACTTTTTTGGGTTGAGTCCCATCCGAGATTCGAACCCACACTGCAAGAGTGAGGCACCTAATCGTCAGCACACAAAGTCAGCAATTAAACCCACTCAGCCATCGTGGCAATGAAAGTCCAACAACTGACTGGTACAAATACTTTATCACATATACCAAAACATTCAATAATTATCTCTACTCAAACAATGTTAATCTAAGTGCCATGTAAGACTTAATTTGGGGTGCCCAAGTATCAATGTAAACTAACCATAAACCCTATAATTCAACTATAAAAACATTATCCTAAACTAACACTTCAACACTTACTCACATGTACCTCTTTATACAATTTGTCTAGACAGCGCCCTAAATATCTAGAGCTAACGTCTAAAATAATAGCTAGGTTCAAAGGCTTGACATCTTAAAGTTACAAATAGTTATAATAACATTCACATAAATGTTAATCCCTAATATGGACAGTCCACACAACCTAATCTTGTTGTGATTGGTCAACTTACCCAAGCCAGTGGTACAATACGTATATGTTAGTATAAATATCGGTCCGGAAGAAGTGTCTTCAGACTTGCTCTCGCCTTCCTAGGTAAATGCTCGGTCCCTGGGAAGTCTATGTATGCTCACCATTGTTGTATATATTTGTTAGCTACCTATATATATGATGTTCATGCAAATACATCTGTGTATATTGTATTAGTTGTCCTTGTTCTAAATGGCTAAACTACCCCTCTTGGTCTGAACAAAATACATGCATTAACTAAGTCAGTTGGCCTGACCGCCTGATCCCGTTAGTCACCTCTAGGCTCTAGGCTGAAGGCCTAATGGAACCCAGATCGTCACAGAGCATGACACGAGGGAGAAACTGGGGAGCTATTACGCCTTGAAATATCCTCCCCACCTCATCTGGGGAGTGGGTGGATTGTTTGTTTGTTTGTCAGCAATATTCCAGCTATATGACAGTGGTCTGTAAATAATCGAGTCTGGAACAGACAATCCCGTGATTGACATCATGAGCATTGATCCACGCAATTGGGATATGATGACATGCATCAACAAAGTCAGCGAGTCTGACCACCCAATCCCAATTGCCGCCTCTTACGACAAGCATAGTCGCCTTTTACAGCAAGCATGGGTTGCTGAAGACCTATTCTACCCCGGATCTTCATGGGTTAACCGACTTGTACAAATACTTTGTCACATATATCAAAACATTCAATAATTATCTCTACTGAAACAATGTGAATCTAAGTGCCAAGTGAGACTTAATCTTCACGGGTACCATCTGGGAGGGATTAAGTGACAGCCCACTCACCTTCAGCCTGCAGAGGTGTTTGATGGGACAGGACCCGTCCGCATTGGGGGGAATGTGCAGCTCCCACTTGCCATAGTCCAGCTTCTTGAAGGAATATTTCTCTTCAATCTTCCAGTCATCTGCAATGTTATGATTATGTGTCTCAACCAACATGAGTATATTTTGTGAGTGTCCATAATAATCTGACAGAGGATGTTTATCTCACAAATATGAATGTGGAACCGGTCATTATTTACTTGTGATTCCACATAAAAGTATATTTATTATCCATAGGGGCATAGATATAGTTAATAATTTACTCTGCAATTCTCACGGAGCACAATAACAATTATTCCACCGCTTTTCATTGGTTGCGAAGAATCCCATAACATCGACATGGTCATGTGAACACATTGTCGCAAATAATTGAAAATTAGCCAAGGCCTGGAAACTAGGGCTGCAACGAATACACTAAGAGGCGAATACAATTCGTATCATGAATATAGGGTAATGAATACAAATAGCCATTCACGAATACAATAACAAGTCAGCAGTTGATGTATAATTTGTTGTAATCAGTGAAACAATAACAACATAAATTATTTGACATGGTTTGTTAATTATTAATATATTATACATTTATACACTGCTCTTACCCAGGAACTAGTATCTGCACAAATGCGACAATGACCAGTGACCACAATACTGTCAAATTAAATATTATGAGAGTGTTGTCTTTTGAAGACATCTATGCATATAATATGTTCTTATGGATATTTTTAGGTACAGGGTATGTAAATGCACATGACTGCATATTCATAAATATTCTATTTTTGTGGCCACGAATAACGAATTCAATTCATGAATGGATACGGTTGGATTCACCGAATACGCAAGTGAATCGTAACAGCCCTACTGGAAACTTACAACATTAATTTGCTCCGGAAAGCTAATCAGTTATTACTTGTTACAGCAATGTTACAGCAATGTTACAGCAGTCTGAATACATTCCAGTCTGGACCAGACAAACCAGTGATCAACACTGACCTATATATACAACAAATTATTTCACACTGATTCGTTTTGTATATATGTTTGTTTGTTTTGCACTCAGCAATATTCCAGATATATGACGGCGGTCTGTAAAATAAATCGAGTCTGGACCAGACCATCCAGTAATTGATCAAATGAGCATCGATCCACGCAATTTGGATCGATGACATGTATCAACCAAGTCAGCGAGCCTGACAACCCGATCCTGTTAGTGGCCTCTTACGACAAGCATAGTCACCTCTTTCGACGAGCACAGTCACCTCCAGAAGACCTATTCTATCCCGGATCTTCAAGGTTCAAGTAACATACAGTGTGCAATATATATGTACAGTGTGTAATATGTAAAGTGTATCACCCTCTTCACAGGTCTTTTCACATATGTACAAGATGTAACCAGACATTGTTGAGGAGAGAACTATTAGTCATTACAAAGGACTTTAATGCCACATTGAAAAGTATTTCAATTAAATCATGGCATGACCGCTTCATGTCCAAGGAAAATCCCGATGTAATGCCAGTCTTAGACGTTTACAAACTTGGTAAAAACACAAGAAATGGTATGGTGCGGACAAAGCTAGAAACATCATCAGGACAAACTAGGATTTGAACCCAAGACCATTGGTTTCATGCATGCCTTAGGGGCACATTTCTGTACAGTGAACAGCATCGCCTCAGTACAAAATTACATTAGTCTTAGGCTTGCCATCTTCCTGAGGCAAGGGACTAACTGACCATAAAAGTCAAGTTTCCACCCTTCAAACTGAGTCGGATTATGGAGTTATATTTTGGCTGGACTAACAAGTCTATGCATAGTCAAATCAAACTCACATAACAAAATCGACATCCGGTTCGTAAATTGCCATGCAGATTTCACTAGATTGCTAGATTTACAAAGCATGTGTATCGCCAACTCAACGTCAACTTATACTTTCCAAATCTTTGCATGTTTCTTATCAAGGTGCTCACATGATTTGATGCACTTCACGAAGTAAGACCCATTTTGCCAAAATACAGATTTTGAATATCGATCAGATCATCTTGATTGGACGACGCCATTTTGTTTGAAGCAAATGCAAGTGATATCAGAGGTGGAATCTGATTGGTCAATATGAGGGACATAGAAGGGGCATAACTCACAATAGCCATGATTGAGCCCATAAATTCCAGCCCAGTTCAGCAAGGGTGGAAACTGGACTTTTACAGCCCTTGCCTCAGGAAGATGTGTGAACAACAAACCACACATCATCATGATCATGGTCACACACATCAGCCACAGAGCGACAACTACAAACCATTTTGTCCATGTTTGGATTCTGGAGTGATTTTCAAAAGCTAATTTATGAGATTTGGCAAGAACAGCTGGGGCTAGCATAACCTTGCTGTCTATCACAACATCACAATGCTGAATTGATTGCAAGATACTATTTGAACATGTCTAAATTAACTGATGCTGTAAGTGAAACACATCCTGTCTGATAGCAGCTAAGTCTTGTCAACACATCCTGTCTGATAGCAGCTAAGTCTTGTCAGCCTGGGCCCACTTGCATAAAGCGATCTTGGCGCTACGACTATTGTAAGCCTATGTTAAAGAATGGGAGTATCATCTTAGCGCTAAGATCGCTTTGTGCAAGTGGGCCAAGGACATACAGAACATGGGAAGGTTCAAGCCCAAATGGTGCATGTTAAGTATTGTGATATATATCGTATCGTGACATAAGTACTGGTATTGCAATACATAGTACATCATGCATGAATGAGTTTCGTTTTACACATTTAGCAACATTCCAGCACGATCACGGCCGGGGACACCAGAAATTGGCTCCACATATTGTACAAAAGAAACCCAGGTCTTCGGCATGACAAGCAAACGCATTAACCACTAGGCTACCCCACTGCCCCTATTACATCATGAGGGATGTGTATCTTGACACCCCTAATCCTAAGACATACAGTGAACTGAGAATGTTGTGTTTAAACTCACTGAAGTCTCCTCGAAGATAGATCGCCTCTGCTGCGGGGGCCCATTCAAACATATTGATGGAGTTATCTTCCCCTCGATGAATTCCATATTTCTGATACGCACGCGAGAATTTCTCCAGACCATCTTCATTTTCATCTATCCGCTTCACTAAGTCCTGGAAACAGCCATATCTGAAAAGGTAGTGAAGGGTTGGGAAATATGTACAGAGAAAAGAGCAAGGGAACAAATAGTTAACTATACATAATAAGTATAGCTTGAAGGGTCATTGTCGGCGCGAGTTTTACAGATACGTACCTCACTTACGCTTCTGTATACAGAAATGTACCCTAGCAAAAATCAGAATACATAAAATGGTACCCGATAAACTAAATGGTCGACGAGTCGATATTCCTCAACTCAAAACCCAAACCCGTTCATGTTGTAGTTCTGGTTCGCCTGAGGACGAATGCATGCTGGATAATGCTGTGCATTGTGGAATATTATTGTAATGTACATGCATAAATGAAACAGTATGACAGTTCTGATTCAATAATGGAAAGGAAATGCAGAGAAATAAAATATGTGTGTATGCCATGTTGAATTTTACTGCGGTGTGTGTGTGTGTGTGTGTGTGTGTGTGTTGTCATTGCAAGTATGGCAAAATACAAAACTTTACCATGTCCTTTTAATTTACTGAAAAGCAATATTACGATTTGTGCATACAGCTATATCTCCATGTCATTCTTTACAGAACAAGTGACAAAAATGTCTTTCTTAATTTGTAAATTACATAATTCAGAAAGCAAATTGGGCCTTTCACATAGAGACTATGACATTCACAACCTAGATTCTAAATATTGATCAATCGGATAGTTAAATAAATGTTGCAAACCAAGCAGGGAAAATAAAAATCCGATCTCTGTAAAAATATTAACATCATGATGATCAAATAACAAGTTCCATTTATTAAAGAAGTTACTTTAATTTTTACAATTTCTGACATCTCAATGACAGCAGACAGAAGCCAAGGTGTACATATATAACCTCACAAACACTGTGAGCATCGTGTGACGTGCATGGTCCCAACGTGAACCAACACATGAAAATCCCACCGGTAAAGTTAAGACTACCGTGCCATGTTGCCATTTTGCATGCCGCAAAGGGCCTTGTAAGCCATGACAACTTGAGCAAACTACTGGCTTACCTTCGCCGTATTTCCTTTTCAAAATCTCTAAGATACCCATCGCTGGAAAGTAGGTTTTCTATCTGAGGCACAACAACTTTCGTAGCATCTTCTGCCATGACCGCAGTGTATGACATACGACCTTGACCCGGTGTAGGTCATTGTGTGTGAAGGTTGCCGGTGAGGGTTAGCTCCCTTTGACCACGCTTCAGTTTTTGAACCCATAAATGACTGACGTACATATAAATTTAACATAACTAACAATTTAACAATCAGTATTCACATGAAAATGAAAATGCTTTTTTAATTGAAGTTTTAAATGTGAATTACCAATCAGACCTGTTTATTTAGTTTGCATATTCGCTTCTTTGTGGAAATTGTTATATTTGACAAAAATGCCGCAGCTAGAAGGGGAAATATACAATATTTGAAAAATAATATGTGATATTAATTTAAAGTCGGCCTTACCCGAATAGATGCCCACGTGTGGATAGTGGTTGGGATGTGTGGTGCAAGGGTGACACCACTCCTTTTTTAAGCAACATGACATTTATAAATTGAATTTTATAGTTTTACAAGAGATTTGGTAGACTTAGTGTGAACGTATTACAACACTGTAACTAATTCATTTGGAGGTTTGTATTCAGTACAAAATGGCACTCCTAACAAACTCAAAGTACGATCAAAGACAATAAAGTGTGAGTCAAGCAGACCACTTGTTCGCTATTTGTTCGCGTGTCCTTCATTTGAAGAAGAGAGTAAACAACTAATTCATAAATATACTTATATTAAACCTAACACGTAAAACATGAATTTATCCTTTAATAGCCGAAGATTAGGAAAGTGAGAAAAGTGTCCAAGTTATGTAAAATCTTCATGATAAAGTTCAAACCTGGAAAGAATATTACATAAATCTTTGTGAAAATTTTCAGCTGCGTCCTGTACCTGATCCGACTGCTCGCAAAATATATTCATGACATTGTAATGGTTTTTTTTTAATGTACGTACATTTTGTATGATCAATACTTGAATTGTACCTCTAATGTCGCTGCTAGCGACCTGAGTGCAATATAGATAAGTTCAGTTGGTAGCACGAGTCGGGTACGAAGACACATTTAGATAGGTCACATATTGTAACCTGATACCATTCGATCCGCATTTGTCTGCTCCGTAAGAAAAGAGTGAGTGCGACCTAGCGAATGAGTGAGTATGGTTTAACGCCGCTTTTAGCAATATTCCAGCAATATCACAGCAGAGGACACCGGGAAATTGGCTTCACACATAGTACCCATGTGTGGAATCGAACCCGGGTATTCGGTGCGACAAGCAAACGCTTTAACCACAAGGCTACCCTTCGGCCTATTGTGACCCAGAATCCCCACCATGACAACCATAAATTCCTACATGGGTAGCCATACGGCTCTGGAAGCCACGAGTGAGATATATTACTTAAGTAGGACGCTTTGCGAAATAAATCAAAATAATCAAGAGACCAAATAAATTAGATACGAGTTCAGTTTTAGGACACCGTTAGAGATTCATTTTCTTAAATCGTAGACATCTTAAACGTGATATAATGTGTTTTATAAGCCATAACCTTTGTTTCATATTTTCTGTAGTTACGTTGCTGTGGGGAGTCTTGGGTAGACTAGGTCCCAAGTGTCGTCAGCTGATCCATGGGCAGACTAAAGTGGGGTACTGATTGATTTGGATCATAACCTGGTTCGTTTGGCTTATCCTCACCGACAACACGCATGCGCACGTTGATCGTTAGTCATGCGATCTTATCAGTCACTGATATGCCTGGCCAAGACTATTATGTACTGGTCAACATGGAAAAAACATAACTTCTTTTGCGTTTCACGTCTCTCCAATCACCGACCATTCTTATGATGTAAAGGATCGCTTTCGTAAATAAGTGAGTGAGTATGCGTATTTACGCCGCTTTTAGCAATATCACGGCGGAGGACACCAGAAATAGGCTTCACACATTATATTAATGTCGGGAATCGAACCCGGGTCTTCGGCGTGACGAGCGAACGCTTTAACCACTAGGATACCCGACCGCCCCTTTCGTATTTGAAAGTACAAAGTATGAAAAGGGTAACTATCAGAACTGTATAATTAAATAAAGAAAGTAGACAAAGTTATGAAAAGTTACAAATATGTTGATAGGAAAAAAAGCTTGTTTCAAACTTAAAACATTAAATGCAGAGGAAATACAGAATGTGAACCAAACATATTTTAGGCTTGCTGATACGTTTTTCAAATATTTGAGCATGAGCTTGTCTTTGACCTGTTCACTCTCTTTGGAGAGGTGGGTAAGGACGTTACATCTAAATATTTGGTCACAGACTTATATTTTATCCAGAAGTGCTCGTGCTTGTTTGTTCGTTGTAAAAACCAAGATGTCAGTTTACATTCATAACGTTATTAGAAAGTTTCACTTTATCTAAAATTTCCATTGCTTCTCGTTAGAGGGACTAACGGGATTGGATGCGCAGGCTCGCTGACTTGGTTGGTGCATGTCATCACCAAACAGGGTCGATGCTCATGTATCAATCACTGGATTGTCTGGTCCAGGCTCGATTATTTAGACCGCCGTCAAAAAGCTGGAATATTGCTTAGTGCTGTTAAAGAACAAACAAACAAATCTAGTGGTAAGAAAGGCTTGTTCTTTGCTCTCATGCAGTGCGTGGTTTTAATTTCGTGTCTGGAGTAATGATTAATTAATGGTGTACACCAGATAGGCCTAACTGCCCCGATATCCTTAAATTAGCGTCAAATTGAATATATATAAAAAATATTGGGGTATTTTGGCGATTCATTTAAACAAGGATACCTGGGTTGTTTCGGTTAAATAATATAGTACATGAGATCGTATGTACGTATGATACTGAGTTTATTCGTCGGGCGATAAACTCTTAAGAAGAAACGGCAACAGCTGATTTGAGAGGTCTGTGTTTTCATTGGTCCAGGTTTTGTCGGCAGTCTTTGCGACACAGGCGAGATCCGTTTGTTGACATCTCGACAAGCACGTGATTAGCCCTCTATTTTTAGAGCTCGCACGGCATCCTATCAACCAATCAGGGGTCCCGTAACACAGGGTGTGTGTCGGCACATGTGAAGGAAGTGATAGTAAATTGATTCACGGATTCCCTCCGTCCAGTATTCGTCGGTCTCGTGTAAAGGTAAGCTTGTACATGTCTGTTATTCTAATGCTCAGGTGACGTATAAATGATCATTGTGGAAATTAGAACTGATGTGATGTATTATGGTCGGATGTAGGCGGAGTGGATCTGAGCAGAACATTCGCGAGTTGCGACAGTCATTCGGAGCATCGCAAAACTAAACTTCTAAAAGGTCTGATTTTAATGAGATTTCGAATGAGTGAGTAGGATTGAGCACTGGTCACTTTACCGGAGATTTGTGTTTTGATTAAATAGCTGCCGACCCGTTAGATTAGCCGTAAAAATATAAGTATACGCTAAATGATTGTGTTTGTTATTCACGCATGAGTGCGTTTAGTCCCAGGTTTGGGCCGTACTTACTATCAAAATTACTATTGTTTGGATTCTTAGGGTCACGGCCATCCTAAGCTGCCTTCACAGTCCCAAGAGCTACAGGCCTAGTTACGCGTGAGGGCTTGAGTGAGTGAGAGAGTGAGTTCATATTTAGCATCACATAGGCCTTATTTCAGCCATGTCGTGACGAGAACAATTAAATACATGGATTTTATCTATATAAAAAAACCTGTCAACAAAGGACAGAAAAAAACAACTAGAGAATCACAGATTTGTATAGAAAAAAGAGCATATAACCATAAAATGCTATCACTATACATTACAATACATTATAAAAATGGGCAAAAAGGTTGGCCTTGTTTGAGGTGCTGGTGGGGGATTGTATGGACCAGACAATCCAGTGATTGACATTATGAGCTTTGCTGTATGTATTTGGGATATGCTGACATGAATGAACCAAGTCAGCGAGCTTGAGCACCTGGTATATTTAGTTGCCTCTTACTACAAGCATTGGTTGCTGGGGATCTATATTCTTACCCAGAAACACCACAGGTGTAACAATAGTTGTGTGACTACGTCTAGGTCTTTAATATAAACATCCCCCGCCGTGATATTGCTGGAATATTGCTAAAAGCGGCGTAAAACCACACTTACTCACTCACTCACTTCAATATAAACAGGTCTGTCTGTACAGTTGGTATGTCTGAAGTATCACCAGAGTTCGAGGACTGACGATGAAGTCCGTAAAGATGCAGTAATTGTGACAAGGTCACTGAAGGTGGAAGATAAGAGACGTGTCTGAGATGCAGGTTTTGTTAACCTAGTATGACATTGTGAAGGGAGATAATGGCCGGCCTGCTGAGATCATGGGGACACCATGGTGACATTCAGAGAAATAGGCAAGAATGCATTGGTAGCTCTAATCCTGATAATAGTCCTTGGTTATCCTGTTAATGATACATAGGGGTTTGCCCTCTGTTTGATAATCTTGGCTTCAGATCTTAAATTTTCAGGGTCATGGTGAGGGTGTGGCCAAATTACACAATGCAATGTCAAAGTTGACGTTCTTAGATATGACTGTAAAATGTAAACATGTTAAACAGTAAATCGTGATACAGTGTAATAAACGACCGCACCCACTAATAGACTGCTGTTTCTTGATTGTCTGATAATAGAATGGGCGGGTCTTGTCAGTGTCACTGACTTTGTATTGTTCACATTGTTTTTGTGTAATTGTCAGTGAATTTATTATTGTTGATATATTTATTTATAAGAGTTGACTTAAAAATAATTTTTGAATTTTTACAAGGATTTAGACTCACCATATTATATTTTACACTTATACCTCCATAAGGGACTGGTCATTTGTTGAGGGGCGCGGTGGGGGCAGTGAGATTCGGGGGGGGGGGTTGGTTGGTTCATAAAAAAATGACAAAGCAAAAGAGTGGGGCGGAGCTCGTCAAAATTATAAGTGGGGGGACTTGAAAAAAGTCAAAGTTTTCTTTTTTTCAAATGATGTTTTTTTGAATGGGTCATGAGAAAATGTTACATGTATTTTGGGGCATGAAAAAATATGACATAGAATGGGGGGTCAGCAAAATATTATACAGTCCTAAGGCCAATCTCACCCCCTATAAATTAAATGACCACTTCCTAAACACAAATTGAAGTCAACATGGTCAAGAAGTCTGTTCTTAAATACTTATACGTCAGTGTATGTACAGTGGTTCTACAGCCAGACCATGCATATGTGGAGAACCATGATTATCCATACTGAAAGTAAGTTTGTGTACTGCGTACAATTCTGGATATAAGATGTGAAACATTTGGATAATTGGGTATTCCCTTCACAGATACCTTCAATTAATAGATCACTGGGATGTCATGGTATATCATGGCAAAGCGCTCGGTTCAGTTTATATCAGAAGGGTAAAGGCGACTATGCGTGTCGTAAGGCGATTATGCTTGTCGTAAGAGGCGATTATGCTTGTTATTAGAGGCGACTGCAGACTAGGGATCGGGTGGTCAAGCTCGCTGACTTGGTTGATGCATGTCATCGTATCCCAATTGCGTGGGGCGATGCTCACGATGTCAATCACTGGATTGTCTGGTCCGGACTCGATTATTTACAGTCTGCCGTCATATAGCTGAAATATTGCTGAGTGCTGCGTTAAACAACAAATAGGGAAACAAACAAACAGAAGGGTAAATGTTTGGCTCATTAGTAGTATGTGGCTATAGACTCATAGTCAAAACTCAGACTGAACAATAATCCATTGTATCATCATACATGTCATATGAAGTTTTGTTGTATTAAGATAGACTTACTGTCATGTACAATTGACATTAGGGTTGCAGCGATACAGAGGGCCACGATACGATACGCATCTCGAAACACTTGAGTTGTCACAACATATACCACAATATGCCAGACATACATGAATTAAAATATGCAAAATGCATCTCCCTGGTGAATGGTTCGTCACAAAAATAACAGGGATTCCCAAACATCCCAAACAGCAAGTTATCCCTTATTTATCCCTATTTAGAAAGGCTATTCTTTTGTTAGGAGACTTAAAAATATGCATCTGTATCTTTATGTATCAAGATACAGATCTATGTATATCATGTACTAGGGCTGGGAGGGGTAACTCGGGTACCCGGGTCGGGTGGGTACTGAGTAGAACCCGGGTACCCACATGACTACCCGGACCTGTGGTTTGTCACGTGATATATTGTTGAATGACAAAAACTATCTAGAACTATATGGTTACACTACAAGTCACCAATGTTCGCATTTCTTTCCGACTATTCACCCATTTCTTCTGACTTTTCAAATCTTTGAATAAAGATATAACTTGAGTCAGCTTCAGTCACTAATCAGTGTATGCATGACCAGATTGTTTAATACATGTACAGTAAGCTACGGTTATAACGAACACGCTTATAACGAACTGACGGATATAACGAACTTATTTTTTTGGTCCCGACTATTTGCTGTAGTTATGCTGTATATATGCTTATAACGAACTACGGTTATAACGAACTAAAATTAGTAGTCCCCTTGAGTTCTTTATAACCGTACTTAACTGTATGTTAAAGGGCAAGTTCACACGGAAATGACCCTATTTTTCTTGTACTTTTTCCACATTAAAAGTGTTAACATAGAAGTGTCAAAGACAAAAATATAAAAATATCACAATTAATTAACATATTTTTCGCATTAAAACTATTTACATTTTTCACATTTACCAAGTGTTCTATTTCCACAACAAAAACACCATGGCTTATGCCCCTTGCAATATGACGTCATTGGTGCCAATTGATAAACATTATGACGTCATCATGCTTTGTTAGAGCCGCTTCACGTGGTGTAGGTCCAGGTGTGTGATTCTAGCGTCTCAGATGCCAGCCAGCATAGTGTTATGCTGAGTCACCACTGCGCCGGAGTGTGTCGTAGGCCATGTTGTTTTACCGCAAACTGGTACTTGATATCTTTTGCGTTGAGAATAGACAGGGACCCAGTTGAATTGGCACCAATTACGTCATAATCTAAGGGGGATAACTCAGGCCTGTTTAGCTCGAAAAACGAAGGCCTCATAACGGCATATCATTTTCACACTATTGTGAGCTTCCTACGTTCACTGTGAAAAAAATGAGTGTATATTTTCAAACACAGATACTAATTAATTCTAAAATTGCGTTTTGTTTAGAAAAAGAAAGAAAGTGATTTTTGCGTGTACACTTCCCCTTTAATACATTTTGTCAGTGCTATGGTAAAGAAATGCCCTATCGAACATTTTGTACCTCGTGAGACCTACACTGGGTACCCGGGTAGTAAATTTGGACTCGTCCCAGCCCTATCATGTACCATATCAAAGGTCAAGGTATCAGATATCATTCCATCGGGTGGTCAGGCTCACTGACTTTGCTACATGTCATCGTATCCCAGTTCGGTAGATCGATGTCCATGATATCAGTCACTGGATTGTCTGGTCCAGACTTGATTATTTACACACTGCTGTCATATAGCTGGAATATTGCCGAGTGTGGCGTTAAGCAACAAACAAACAGTGATCATTCTACCTTTCCTTCACATCGCCGTGATATAACTGGAATACTGTTAAAAGCGGCGTTAAACCAAACTCACTCACTCACACTTTCCTTCACATGCAATAATGATGACATTTATAGACCCAGTTGCACTGCCAAGCTGTCACATTTGTGCTACCTTGGATGTCCCACTATCATGACTATGCTGTCACTGTCAGTAGGTCTGGTGGTTCATTTGGAGAAATGTTGTATTGATTCATTGATTGTTGATCAAGTTTTGAAACCTCATGGTCGAACTAATATCTGATGAAAATCATGCTGTTGTCATAATTGAATGATTGTTCTCCATGTTGATAATGACAGCTGTGTCATTGTTAGAAACATATTACTTTTGTCATGTTCGGACACATGGGGGAACGGATGTACGGACGTCATTTCACAATTTGAAGGGTATGTTCATCAAATTATATCTCCAATGTTTAAAGTGACTGGTGCTTTTATTTCCCAGGAGCTTGGGTTGTGAGCAATGGGTGACAATCAGTGTATTGCCAGCAAGAAGCCACGAAGTATGAGTCAACTGGAAGAGTTCGACAGCCTGTTTCCGGATCTGGTGGATGATCTGACTAAGATTGGCCTGAAGGATGGAGAAATATCTGATGCAATGAAGTGGTTCAAAGAGGTAATGATTCATTACTTTGTTTGTTGTTAAATGCCGCACTCAGCAATATTCCAGCTATATGACGGCGGTCTGTAAATAATCAAGTCTGGACCTGACAATCCAGTGATTGATGTCATGAGATCGATCCACGCAGTTAGGATAAGATGACATGCATCAACCAAGTCAGCGAGCCTGACCACCCGATCCCGTTAGTTGTTTCTTACGACAAGCATAGTCACCTTTTACGACAAGCATGGGTTGCTGAAGAACTATTCTACCCTGGGTCTTCACAGGTATCCTCACTATGTACAGCCTTGTAACAATGTCTAATGTCAGATGTAACACATGATATAAGGTCTTACTTTTATGGAACAAATGTTTCATCTTTTTTATTGTCTGGCAGTGCCAAAGACGTGTCTTGAAAAATAGTCTGATTTTGTGAGTGCAGCATTTTCAGGGAGGAATCCACTTTAAAATTTAGAATGGACTTGCTAAGTTACTTGAAGTTTGAAATTTGAACTAATGATAAAATGCATAAACAATGATAAACCTATCTCTAACTCTTTTATAATTTTAAAAATTATGAGTGTCAGTACCCTTTGATGTGGAATAGTATAAATAATGGCTACTGGTCACCCAGGCCATCATGTTTTGTTTTTTTTTAATTAATTTGTTTACTGGTCGCATATTTACATATTATCATTTATTGTGTTTGTGATGGGGGGGGGGGGGGGGGGGGGCATTAGAAACAAATTACACAGTTCTACTTTTTCAATTTGAAAAGTTTTAAATTTGAACATTACCTTGGGCCTGTCATTAATCATAGAAGTTTGTTTCTTTTGTTTCATTTTATTGTACTCTGAGAATCATCATCATCATCATCATTTGATTATACATTGTATGTGACCAGGTGTGTGAGTACAATGTTCCATTTGGAAAGAAGAACAGAGGGATGTCAGTGGCCATGTCCTACCTGAGGTTTGTTCCTGATGCGTCTCAAGATGATCTGGAGCGAGCCAGGATCCTAGGCTGGTGTGTGGAATGGGTAAATAATCACTTAGTTACAATATACATGATATAGGGGATTTCACTTTTGAGAGGCAGCAAAGGGACACGACTCTGCTCAGTGACCTACATCCACTGACACCACGCATGATTAGTACATACCTAAAATAATTTGGCTCCCGATACCCAACGCTTCCACTGTCTGACCGTTGTTAATTACAAAACATATCAAATACAACTAGAGCTGTTTTTTTTAATTGTATAATTTAAACAGAACAGTAATACTTTAAACATTTTAAAGGCCTAAATGTGAAGCCATTTTAATAAATCTTAATTGTTTGATGTTTCTAGTTGCAAGCCTTCTTTCTGGTAGCAGATGATTTGATGGACAAGTCTGTGACAAGGAGGGGAAAGCCATGTTGGTACAAGAGAGTGAGTGGATCACTTGCTGTGCAAGAACATTTATTTATTTATTTATTTGTCTGTCTGTCTGTCTGTCTGTCTGTCTGTCTGTCTGTCTGTCTGTCCGTCCGTCCGTCCGTCCGTCCGTCCGTCCGTCCATCCATCCATCCATCCATTCATTCATTTATTTATTTATTTTTTATTGTGTTCAGTTTCTTTAATTAACTCCATGGCAGAATGACTTTAATTGGAATAAATAAATGATTGACATAGCTATTAATTTTTATTTATTTATCAAACTTGTGTGGAAAAGCTGGAATAAATCCATGAAACATAAAATTAAAAAAGTGAGGCCTTATTGGGAGCTTTGTCCCTGCCTACATGTCATGGCCATTGTGTGTTGTCAGGGACATGTGGGCACCATAGCCGTCAATGACTCCTTCTACCTGGAGTCGGCCATCTACCAGATCCTCAAGAAACACTTCCGACACCTGCCGTACTACACCAGCATCCTTGAGCTGTTTCATGACGTGAGTGACACTGTACCCGATTCATCATACTTCCATACCAGGCGGATGTTGCCGTGTGTTACGCACTACACGATAGCTATCATATTACTTTGACCTTAGTCTATAAAACCTATATATGTCAACAATTTGTGGATATTGCTACAATGTTTGAATTATCGCATGTGAATTGAAAATGATTTTTGTTACTGCTCTATAGATAAAGTGAAATAATAAATTAATTTTTAACAGTTTTATTACTAATGCAATCCTATTGCAATTCCATGATACAATCTCATTAAAATCAGACCTTAGTTCTCGCTACCGCTAAACAAAGATCTGAAGACATCTTATTAGGGGTCACGTCAGAATGACCTTTCATCCGACCAATGAGAGCGTCGCTTACCAGATCCTGAAAGTGACAGTCGGAATATGATTTCTAATCATACAACATCGAAAACTTTAACACGGGGTATTCGGAACGATAGTTGCAGGTTTAACGACTGAATCCATACGATCTAGACCATTTATCAGCCATTCCAGAATGTTTTTTTGTTTAGGTTTCAAATTTGTAATCGAGAATTTGTCAAAATATGTTCCGAAGCGTAGTCGCCAATTTGAAATTAGTGCCGTAAAGCACGAGAAAGCTGCCTTTTCATTGGTCATTCTACTGGTCGGTCAAAGTTCGCGCAAGGTCGGTCTGACGTGACCCCTAATGAGATGTCCTCAGATCTTTGTTTAGCAGTAGCGAGAACTAGGGTCTGGTTTTAATGAGATTGTTCCATGATAAGGCTTGTAATCAGAATGACATCGTTAGGCTTGGTTTTGTTTTGTTTTGTGTTTGTTTAACGCCACACTCAGCAATATGCAAGCTATATCACAGCGGTCTGTAAATAATCAAGTTTGGACCAGACAATCCAGTGATTGACATCATGAGCATTGATCCACACAACTGGGATCAACATGTGTCAACCAAGTCGGCGAGTCTCACCACCCAATCCCGTTAGTCGCCTCTTACGATGAGCATAGTCACCTTTTACAGCAAGCATGGGTTGCTGAAGACCCATTCTACCCCGGATCTTCACGGGTTAGGATTGGTGATTTGGTTGTCATAATATCAACCACTGGTTTGTCTCAATAATTTAGTGCTGGATTATACAAAGTCCCGTTGCAAGTTAGTATAAATGCCTTAGATAGTCACTCTGTGATGAATTCATGAGCATGATGAGGATGTTTCCCCACAGACAACTATGCAGACAGTCATTGGTCAGTGTTTGGATCTAACAACAGCGCCGCCGGAGGGCACCGTGGACTTCACAGGATTCACCCTGGACAGATACAGCGCCATCGTCAAATACAAGACGGCCTTCTACTCCTTCTACCTGCCTGTTGCATTAGCTATGTATATGGTAAGGTTCGATCGGATTTTGTCGACCACAAGTTATGTCTTCATATTTAGGCCCAGGGAACTAGTGTCCACCATCTGTGAACTTGTCTTAAATGTCTGGTGAAGAAGTCAAAGTGGAAGTATTACCATAACCATGATGCAGTATTTGTTTTGGTCGCTGAAACCATTTTGAAGAGTTGCATCCCTTTGCACTGGGTCTTATTACTGTGGTAGTGTCTGGCTTTCTTCCATGCCACGATATAACTGAAATACTATTCAAAGTTTAACCCATACAGTTCCAGACATCTTAGGCACCAGTGCGGTCAGATAGCCGTGTGGTTAAAGCAATTGCTCGTCACGCTGAAGGCCTGGGTTCAATGTGTGAAGCCCATTTCTGGTTTCCCCCGCTGTGATATTTTTTAAAATATTGCTCTCACTCACTCACTCAGAGCGGTCAGGTAGCCTTGTGGTTAAAGCACGCGCTCGTCAGACTGCGTTCGATTCCCAACATGAGTTCAATGTGTGAAGCCTATTTCTGAAGTCCCCCGCAGTGATATTGTTGAAACATTGCTAAAAGCGGCGTAAAACCTCACTCACCCTCACTCACCCACTCACCCACTCGACCGCCTCCGTGGTCTAGTGGTAGAGCGTCCGCTGGGAGAGCAGAAGGTCCGGGATTCGATCCCCGACTGCGTCATACCAAAAGACGTAAAAAGATGGTACTTGTTGTTACCCTGTCTGGCGCTCGGCATTAAGGGGCTAAAACAAGGACTGGTCGGCTCGGAGTCGGAGTTGTGTCTGAGGGGTATTCATGTTAAACTGCGGCATGGTATCTCAGTGGGCTAGCACTATAAATCGGCATCAGTCCGGACTAGTACAAGCAGCCACACAAACACACACACGTACATGCACGTCGCTATATAAGTACAATAATCTTGGACGCGACGTTAAACCCCATTTCACCTCACTCACTCACTCACTCACTCACTCACTCACTCACTCACTCACTCACTCACTCACTCACCCACCCACCCACCCACTCACTCACTCACTCACTCACTCACTCACTCACTCACTAACTAACTAACTAGAGTGGCATCCTTGATTATGTCCTTATTGGCTTCACCAAAGTGGTAAGCATCTCGGACCTGCATCACTTCAGGCTTTCCGCTCTCATGAATCTGACATGCCACACCTAACTGAAATACTGTTCAAAGTAGCTTGAGATTATATTCACTCACTCAAACTGCTGCCTTGGCTTGGCATCTGAGGTGAGATAACATGGAGTTTAACGTCGCACTTAAATAGCGACGTGCATGCATGGGTGGCTGCTTGTACTACCGATTAATGCCGATTTTATAGTTCAAACCCACTGAAATACCAAGCAACAGTTTAACATGAATCACCCACTCAGACACAGTATTCTGACTCCAAGGCGACCAGGCCTTGTTTAAGTTAGCCCCTTAATACCAAGCGCCAGCCAGGGAAACAACAAGTACCTTTTAGTTTGAGGGATCAAACCTCAGACCTTCCACTCTGTGGGTGGATGCTCTACCAGTAGACCACGGAGGCTGTCAAGAGGCATCTGAAATGAATGATGTTATCATTGCAGGCTGGGATTTCTGACGAGGCTTCTCATGCCAACGCCAAGACAATCCTGCTACAGATGGGGCACTTCTTCCAAGTTCAGGTATGTCACAATGACTGAGACTTTCATGAAGCCTCATACCATCATGTATGTGTCTGATCTGAAGTGAAACCCCATTCAGTTGATATTCATTTAACATATTGTAGACGATGTACTCTCTTGGTCCAGGGGGCGCACGGGTGGCCCGGTCGTAAAAATGCCGCAACTAGCTGTGCAGAGTTGCGTCCCTTTGGCACGCCAGAAACCTATGATTGTGGTTTCAAATCCCAGTTCACCCCGGTTATGTTTCTAGGTTTGTCCGCACCATACCCGTGCTCGTGGGTTTCACCGAAATGGTAAACGTCTGAGACCTGAATAGCTTAGGCTTTCCTCCCACATTAAGCTGACACGCGGTAATATAACTGGAATAATGTTAAAAGCGGCGTTAAATCCTACTCACTCACTCACTCACTCACTCACTTGGAAACCATGTCAGCATTCTTGTCTTAATAGTGGTATTCTGCTTGTCTTGAACTTTCGATAATGTGTTAAATTTTTATGGTTTCCAGGATTTTGAGTTAATAAATAATAATTTCTTATCCAAGAAAATCAAAATTTGTCAAAAAACATCAACAATCTTCAGAGTGACGCAATTCCAACCTTACGTCACAATGAGATTTAAACACTGTCAACAATGCCGTCCAGATGACCTTAACACTACACTGGTGTGCAAGAAGTGATACCGGATATTTGCACTAGTGCACATATGATTTTAATTAACTTTGGTAATATGTAATAAACAGGAATTATTTGTCCTTGCTGTCAGATTTAACCAATTCCATCAATGACAAGCAATCAACCAAGTCACAGACCCTGACCACTTGATCAATTTGGTCCCCTCTTACAGTCAGCATATGTTACCATGGTTACTGGGGACCTATTCTTACCCAGAATCCCCAAGGGGGCCAAGTTAGACGTTTCTTTGTGATGATCCACTTACAATGTACCATGCTTCCTTGCAGGATGATTTCCTGGACTGTTATGGTGACCCGGAAGTGATAGGGAAGATCGGTACTGATATAGAAGATAATAAGTGCAGCTGGTTGGTGGTTCAAGCTCTCAACAGGGCCAGCGACAAACAAAAGCAGATGTTAGAGGTAGGCAGCAACAACATGAATTGATGAATCATTATAAAGGCCTTGAGTCTTCTCAGCTTTCAGCTGTGTCGGTTGTGTTTGAAAAATGAACTAATCGTGAGATATTGCTTTTAGTTCTACTCTGCGGAATAATCCCAGGAGCTGAGAAGAATTGATAGGAAGTTCTGATATTTTTCAGATTATTCCAAAATAATAAGAACAAAAGTAACTTTTGAAAATTTCTCGTATTCATATTGTTCATATATTATGTTAATTACATCGAAATGTGACCATTTAGAAGGTTCAAAATCTATGTGGTTTCATCCAGCTTTAAAGGGAGATAATCCCAGGGATTTTTCTGGTCATGTTTAGAGGCTGATATTCAGCCACAAGTCTGCTGCAAATGAGAGTAAATATTCCCATAAAAACTTTCAGAATTTACAAAAATTGGAACATCTAAAAACTACAAATTTTGAACATTATCACAATCTGTTTTCCCAATTTGCCTACCAAAGGTCACATGTAGACATACAGTGTTTGTAAGCAGACAAATTTGCATTTGGATGACTTTCATCAAACTTTCTCAACCGTCAAGACTGAGGCTTCTTGAGGTGTATGAACACCTTGGTATCTACACCGACTTTGACAGAGACAAATAGCATCAGGACGTTTTCATGATTTAAGCAACTTTCTTCATGTCATCACCAAATTGAGAAACAAATCTTCAGAGCATTTTGATTTACAATCGATCAGAAAATGAACCAATCAGAAACCCTGTATCTACAGTGTGATTGGGTGGTGTATCTTGCCCGTTTCGACTTTGACTTTGACTTTTCACTGATGTGCCTTTTGTGGAATCTGTTTCGGCAGATTATCAAGCAGAGTTGTACCTCCACTCACAAAAGTGGGGGTTCAGGGGACCCCCAATAATTAGTTTAAAGGGTCCTTGAGGGCAATATGAGGGCCCTGTAACGTAATGAAAGTGTAGTGTAGTGTACGTTCTGATAATTACTTGAGAGCCTGGAATTAATCAATGATCGTGTGGACTGTAGTCATGATTGATGGATGAAATAACAGACATCGATAACTGATCTTGATGCGCTGTAGGTACTATGAAAATAATTGGGCATCCCAAGGGATGCAGGATATATTTGTGAGTACTGGACGCACATTTGTGCTTTGTGTAAAACCCTAATCAAGGCGGATTATTCCCAGGCATTGATCATGCTAATATTGCTGTCAACCACGAGGTTGCTTGACGTGTGTTCAATTATTTATATGCTGACATGAACTGAAAATAGCCCACTGTGGTGTAAAATCATAAATCTGCAAAGGTGTAACCATCCTCAGTTATGCAGGGTATTATATCTCCATTATATTATTAGTAGTACCTAACCTTTTCGCCACCATAGCTTCATTTCAGAAATGGCGTGACCATCTCGGCTGTCTTATCGATAGCTTTACCAGAACAGATATAAGGCCACACATTTTGTATTTTTCATTTCACTAGCCTGCCACAACTACTGAAAAGCAGCTGGTAAAAAAATAAATGAAACATAAAAGTATTTATTGTTATTATGTTCCCCGCTATATAGACAATTTTATACAATATTAAATGTTATATATATATTCCATGTCTTCATCACTATAAGTGATCAAAAATTCAGAGGCAGCTTTGACTCCATGGCAGAATGACTTTCATATAAATAAATAAGTGATTGACATAGCCATTTATTTTTATTTTTATTTCAACCGACCTTGAATAGTAAAGCTGGAATAAATCCGTGAAACATAAGATTAAGAAAGTGTTGCCTAAATAACCACATGATGACTGATGCTGTTTCCAGGACAACTACGGACATCATGATCCTGAGAAGGTGAAGAACGTGAAGGCGCTGTTTAGAGAACTGAATCTCCAGAAAGTGTATACAGACTACGAGGAGAGCAGTTACGCTGAACTCAATGTGCTTATAGGGAAATGTGCCGGAAATCTGCCGGAGGATGTTTTTAGGGACTTTGCAAAGAAGATATACAAGCGGCAGAAGTAAAATTGTGTTTTAGAAAGTTGTTTTTTTTCATATATGCTATTTATTGATGTACAGTGTTAGCATTGGATGAAGTCCCTTATGACGGAGCAAGCATCGTGTACGACCTATCTCTGTGGAAAAGGAACAAAGTCTTGGCGCCCAGTTTCAAACTGTTGATTCTTGCTGGAAAGCTTGTTCAAGTATGTCAACCATGGACTTCTCTAAAAAAATAGCTATAAGACTGTGTTCTGATTAAAGTTGAATTTTCAGAATTGTTCCAAAGGCATGAGATGTTATTAGGCCAGTGATAGCCACAACTTCGAGACAGTAATATATTCCAATTTATAAGTAACACTTAAGAAGCTAGAGTTGTTTCCCTTGACACGAGAGACATGACAAGCTCCTCACAGCAGTATCCCGTTCACGGAGCTCTCTATACTATATGCCACCAGTCAAGGCTCCCCACTGTGGTTGGGTGGCAACAACCATGCTTGGAGTTGAACTCGCAACCGACCGACCGTTATGTTTACAAACAAGTGATGACTGCCGGGATGCCGAATACTCTTACCCCAGCTAAATTATTTTCTTTGTTTGTCAATTTGAATTTCTGTTTCATTTCAACTATCATGTAGTAAGAATGTAAGGGAGAAGTTGGTTGATTTTCCATTCGTTTGCAATCTCGAACCAATCTGATCAAACAAACCAAATGGTTAATTCATCCGGGAAATATGGTCAGTCAAAATTAACTGTAATGGCATTTCCAAAGACATAAACAAAAGTATAAAAGTTACTACATATATGTTGAAGTAAGGAGTAGTGAGTGAGTGAGATGCAATATTCCAGCAATATCACGGCAGGGACACCAGAAATGGGCTTCACACATTGTACCCATGTCAGGAATCGAACCCGGGTCTTCGGCATGACGAGCGAATGCTTTAACCACTAGGCTACCCGACCGCCCCTAAGTAAGGAGTAAGTTTCTCTAACATTGTCTTACAGATTCAGATAAAGGCATTTGAAGGAGCACCAGTGAAATGAAGTCACTAAGTTAGTGAAATTGTGGGTACTTTCCATTGGAGTAGTGAGTTTGCTATCTGTCAGAAGCATGTATGTTGTCAAACAGTCAATGAGTGTTTCTGAAATTGCTCGTTCTCGATGTTTAAATGGTAGTCCTTTCAACCACCTTCATTGATGTGATATTCAAGTGCAGAGGACATTATGCAAGAATGTTTGAACTGGATGAATGTTATTTGTATAAATTTGTGTGAGGAAAGACTTTTTGTTATAGTTTTTTTGGTTTATAAATTTCTGACCCTAAAATTCAGGTTGGTAGGTCAGAAAAATACAAATAATTTTTTTTTTTAATATCTCTCTTGATTTCCTCAATATATTAAGCATGTTGAAAAATTTATAAAACTCATACAAATAAATTTGGAGAAGGACTTTTTAAGATAAATTGATAGTATTTTAATTATAGTTTTAAACTTATTTATCTATATTGATAGCGACAGTAAACTTATTATTTTTGAACATTTTACTTATTTAGTAAGTGGAATAAACAAAAAAAGCTTTATCTTTTTTTTTTTCCCTTTTTTCACATTCCAGTTTTTTGGAGTCGGCAGATTTGTAAACCAGGTTTTAGAAAAAAAAAGTCTTGTCTGGTAAACAATGTAATACTGTACGTGTGTGCAATATGTATCTGATGGATTTCTGTTGACATGTGGGAAGCTGTTACTGTATGACTGTTACTCTTCAATAGTGATGTCATCAGTGTATGTTCATATTGAATAAATGGAACATGTTCATTTTACACAGTCATTATTAGTCTGTTGATATCCACCATATCAGAGAACCAACATCATTTCGTGTCGCATGTTTCTAGCTTCGTCACCACCATACCCGTCCTCATGGGTTTGACCAAGGTTGTAAACGTCTTAAACCTGCATCACGTAAGGGTTTCCTCCCACATTGAGTGGATATAAGTGTCAAAAGCAGCATTAAACCCAACTCATTTGTATTTTGCCTTGATCTTTGCTGGGGATTGCAGCCCATGTTGACATGCTGAGACAGCATTGTTCGTATGATTGTCATCATAGTCTAAACGACCGCCTCCGTGGTCTAGTGGTAGAGCGTCCGCCCGGAGAGTGGAAGGTCTGGGGTTCGATCCCCGACTGCGTCATACCAAAAGACGTTAAAAGATGGTACTTGTTGTTACCCTGTCTGGCGCTCGGCATTAAGGGGCTAAGACAAGGACTTTAACGTCGCGTCCAAGATTATTGCACTTATATTGCATCATGCATGTACTTGTGTGTGTTTGTGTGGCTGCTTGTAATTGTCCAGACTGATGCCGATTTATAGTGCTAGCTCACTGTGATGCCATGCCGCAGTTTAACATGAATACCCCACTCAGACACAGTATACTGACTCTGAGCCGACCAGTCCTTGTTTTAGCCCCTTAATGCCGAGCGCCAGACAGGGTAACAACAAGTACCATCTTTTAACATCTTTTGGCATGACGCGGCCGGGGATCGAACCACGGACCTTTCGCTCTCCGGGCAGAGGCTCTACCACTAGACCACAATATTCAGTATGAAGAAAAAATACAGTGATTGTCACAGCCACTACAGCCACATGTTCAAAGTGGGTGGAAATCTGAAGGACTGCTCGGTTTCCCTTTAGTCTAGTGGTGTCGGGGGCACGGGTGGCCCAGTCGTCTAAGGCGCCGGGATTCGCTGTGCAGAGTTGTGTCCCTTGGGCACGCAAGAAACCTATGATTGTGGGTTCGAATCCCAGTTCGCCCCAATGTGTTTCTAGGTTTGTCAGCACCATACCCATGCTCGTGGGTTTCACCGAAGTGGTAAACGTCTGAGACCTGCATCATTTTGGGCTTTCCTCCCACATTAAGCTGACACGCCGCGATATAACTGGAATACTGTTAAAAGCAGCGTTAAACCCAACTCACTCACTCACTCACTCACTCACTCTAGTGGTGTCACATAAACCATTAGTCTGACTGACACTTGGGACAGATAATACCTAATAGGTAGTCCCTGGATGTGACGGCATACACCCAGATGATATTGATTATGAACATAGGCTGGTTTGTCAGGACAGTTAGTTAATTTGTTTGTTTGTTGTTTAACGCCGCAATCAGTAATATTACAGCTAAATGACGGCGGTCTGTAATTATTGAGTCTGGACCAGACAATCCTGTGATTGATATCATGAGCATCGATCTACGCAATTGGGATACGATGACCTGCATTAACCAAGTTAGCAGCCTGACCACCCGGATCCGTTAGTCGCCTCTTACACCAAGCATAGTCGCCATTTACGACCAACACCCCCACCCCCCACCCCCCACCCCCCACTCCCCCCACCCCGCCGATCTACACGGGTCAGGAGGGTACTAAACCAGATCAAAGCCATGTGATATAGGAAATCCTACATGATTGGGAGTATTATAGAAAACGTATGCCACTGAGGGTGAATGTCGTTTTACTTATGTGTTTTGTTTGTTGTTTAACACCGCACTCAGCAATATTCCAGCCACATGACAGTGGCCATAAATATAATCGCGTCAGGACCAGACAATCCAGTGATCAATATTATGAACAACGAACAAGAGTTCAGTGACACGTGATCAACCAAGTTGCCGAGCCTTACCACCCATCCCTTTAGTCACCTCTTGTAAGCAACAGGTCGCTTCGATCTTTTATAACTCGGATTCCTCTTGTGGACCTTACCAGTAGCAATGTTCCAGAGTGTCAGTCTTCCCGGGGCAAGGAAGTCAGAGGCTAATGGCATGAGTAGTGATCTGAACTATCTGGATACGATCAAACAAAAAGGCCCCACAGTCGACCCTTACCATCAGCAAACAATTACTGGCACAACTTTCCATCAAATTTGTTAAGTTTGATTGTCTGTTGTTTAACGCTGCACTCGGCAATATTACAGCTATATGACGGCGGTCTGTAAATAATCGAGTCCTGACCAGACAATCCAGTGATTGACATCATGAACATCGATCCACGCAATTGGGATACGATGACATGCATCAACAAAGTCCATCAGCTTGACCACCCGATCCCGTTAGTCGCCTCTTACGACAACATTAGTTGCCTTTTATGGCTAGCATGGGTTGCTCAAGACCTTTTCTACCCCGGATCTTCACGGGTCCATATTAGTTAAGGAAGATGATGATATCTTATAGTCTACCTCTTCAACTCTCACATTAAAGTTGAATAAAACTCAAAGTATACTCACGCACACACATTCACTTCAGAGAATATCTCTAAGGGACAATTACAGACAGTCGTGACACTTCTGCGGAAAATTTTCTGTTTTGTGATATCCACAAAATAGGTTCAACGTAAACATCGCTACTAGGTATTTCGTGTATGTTTTTAAATCTAAATATTGGATATTTACAGGTAACGTCGCGTTCAAGATTATTGCACTTATTCAGGACGCACCTGTGTGTGTGTGTGGCTTCTTATACTAGTTCGGACGAATGCCGATTTGTAGTGCTAGCTTACTGAGATACCATGACCCAGTTTAACAGGATACGCCACTCAGACACAGTATACTGACTCCGAGCCGACCAGTGGTTCATATCTCATTAATGCCGAGCGTCAGGCAGAGTAACAACAAGTACCATATTTTAACTTCTTTTGTTATTACGCGCCCGGGGATCGAACCACCGACCTTCCGCTCCCCGGTAGACCTATCCACTAGACCAGGGAGGTTGTCTAGGACCTCGGTAAATATGACGCATAATCATGGAAGATTGACTCTAAACCTTTGAGCCCATTAATACAACAGGCATTCGGCGTTTATTTGTGAGGCAGTTGCATGCGCTATATAAAATATTATTTACACTCCAGCTCTTGAAATATGGAGTTACACTGTCTCGCTAATCGCTAAGAGATTAAGTTTTCTTCACTGGATGACAAATTGCATTAAATAAACTCTGTATTTTATTGACAGACAATGTTTTTTACTTCTATTCTTTTTTATTTGAAGTATACACGATATAAATTATGATGTCTTTTCCATTGGGATAGAGGCCGGTCTGAAAGCGTCGAGACGAGAACAATGGAGTGACGTCAAACAGTACATTGTTACGTCATAAAGATAATGACGTCATCAAAATAACGTTTCAATGAGAATACTCAGAAACTTTAGAAACGTTCATATTTTGACAAATATTTACTGAGAACTTTAAAAGAAATAGAGACATATACTTTCCTTGCCAGTATGCACATTATTTCTGCGGAAACATGTTTATATTGTTGATACAGTCACTTAGCAACGGGTGCCATCTTTGCTGATTGTCTCTGAAGCGATTAGACGTATTCACAGACTCTGCACTATTTCTTGCTTTTTCTGCTATCCCTGGGTTCATTTAGCGACTTTGATATGCATCAGAGAAGCTATTCAGGTATTTTCTGTTCCTTCCTTTACTTCTTTTATGTTAAGTTCAGATTTATTTGCTTATTTCATGCTTTCTTCTTCTTGATTTCTTGAATTTGTCTTCACCTTTTTAGCAATGTACAATTACCTTACTTACGCCGGGCTTTATGAAAGGAATTTATTTAACTTATCTGTAATCCAAGACAAACACTATTTTCACTTTTGCTATATATGTTTAATTAAGATATTTCCCGATGTTTGTAATCTCTACGCCAGTGAAATCAATCCTTTAAAAATATTCACTCAAGAGTGATTTGAGCCTAGTCTCAGGTCACTCCCCTATACTACCCCAAAACAATCAGACAAGGCTCAGGTCAATCCTCTATACTAGCCCCAAAACACCCACTCAAGGCTCAGGTCACTCCCCTATACTACCCCCCAAACACTCAGACAAGGCTCAGGTCAATCCTCTATACTAGCCCCAAAACACTCAGACAAGGCTCAGGTCAATCCTCTATACTAGCCCCAAAACAATCAGACAAGGCTCAGGTCAATCCTCTATACTAGCCCCAAAACACCCACTCAAGGCTCAGGTCACTCCCCTACACTAGCCCCAAAACACTCAGACAAGGCTCAGGTCAATCATCTATACTAGCCCCAAAACACTCAGACAAGGCTCAGGTCAATCCCCTTTACTAGCCCCCAAAAAATCAGACAAGGCTCAGGTCACACCTCTACACTAGCCCCAAAACACTCAGACAAGGCTCAGGTCAATCATCTATACTAGCCCCAAAACACTCAGACAAGGCTCAGGTCACACCCCTATACCTGCCCCAAAACACCCAGTCAAGGCTCAGGTCAATCCCCTATACTAGCCCCAAAACACTCAGACAAGGCTCAGGTCACACCCCTATACCTGCCCCAAAACACTCAGACAAGGCTCAGGTCAATCCCCTATACTAGCCCCAAAACACCCAGTCAAGGCTTAGGACAATCCCCTATACTAGCCCCAAAACACCCAGTCAAGGCTCAGGTCAATCCCCTATACAAGCCCCAAAACACTCAGACAAGGCTCAGGTCACTCCCCTATACTAGCCCCAAAACACTCAGACAAGGCTCAGGTCACACCCCTATACCTGCCCCAAAACACCCAGTCAAGGCTCAGGTCACTCCCCTATACCTGCCCCAAAACACTCAGACAAGGCTCAGGTCACACCCCTATACCTGCCCCAAAACACCCAGTCAAGGCTCAGGTCAATCCCCTATACAAGCCCCAAAACACTCAGACAAGGCTCAGGTCACTCCCCTATACCTGCCCCAAAACACCCAATCAAGGCTCAGGTCAATCCCCTATACTATCCCCAAAACACTCAGACAAGGCTCAGGTCACTCCCATATACTAGCCCCAAAACACCAAGTCAAGGCTCAGGTCAATTCCCTATACTAGCCCCAAAACACTCAGACAAGGCTCAGGTCACTCCCCTATACTAGCCCCAAAACACTCAGACAAGGCTCAGGTCACTCCCCTATACTATCCCCAAAACACTCAGACAAGGCTCAGGTCACACCCCTATACTAGCCCCAAAACACTCAGACAAGGCTCAGGTCAATCCCCTATACTATCCCCAAAACAGTCAGTCAAGGCTCAGGTCAATCCTCTATACTAGCCCCAAAACACCCAGTCAAGGCTCAGGTCACTCCCGAAGACACTATCCATGTCAAACAAACATGTGATCAACCAGTACTCATGTCGTAAAACAACCATTATTATAGAAATATATAACGTCAGTGCAAGAGAATAATCAGTTTCGATTCTCCAACGAAACCTATTGGCTTAAAATGCTTAAAAACCGGTTAAAAAAATCTATAAACGCATCAGTGATTCTATAAAGGCAATAGGACAATAGGATGGCATCACTGGTCATTTAAGCTATAATGTGTAATAATTACATCGGAACACTTTTAATTACCACCCTCGATTCCATGTTCTGTCTCCTTTGTTTCTCTGAGTGAGTGAGTGAGTTTGGTTTTACGCCGCTTTTAGCAATAGTCCAGCAATATCACGGCGGGGGACACCAGAAATGGGCTTCACACATTGTACCCATGTCGGGATTCGAACCCGGGTCTTCGGCGTGACGAGCGAACGCTATAACCACTAGGCTACCCGACCGCTCCTTGTTTCTCTGAATTTCCTTCACTTCTGTTTCTCAATGTGTCTCCGAGTTCAACGAAATAAAGACTCACAGGACATGCGGGCTCTAGGCTCAATGTCTCTTCACCCAACCCATGTACGATTTTAGTTATAAATTTATTACTTAGAAAAAACATACTTAGAACGACATACAAGGACCTTTCAGTCCGACCCCGTTCATCATTATCATTGGTGCTCTGGTAAAAAAAAATCAGATACCCGTGATTACTAATATGCCATTTTTTCTAATATCCTAGATTTAGTAATATGTGAAAAATGGATTAACTATGAACCTAATCCGGATAGGAATAGGTCTTCAGCAACCCATGCTTGCCGTAAAAGGCGACTGTGCTTGTCGTAAGAGGAGACTAACGTGATCGGGTGGTCAGGCTAGCTGACTTGGTTGATGCATGTCATCGTATCCAAATTGCTTGGGATGCTTATGATGTCAATCACTGGATTGTCTGGTGCAGACTCTGTTATTTACAGATCGCCGTTATAAAGCTGGAATATTGCTGAGTGCGGCGTTAAACAACAAAAAACATGTTTGTGTGTGTGTGCGTGCGTGCGTGCGTGCGTGCGTGCGTGATATATTGGTAATTTTACTTAACGTCAAAGTGAGGGGTGTATATGTCCCTATGACACCCCGGGGCTAATTTCAGAAACTCCTCTTTCCACGGGCCCTGTTCCTCAAAGCGACCGTAGCTCCCACACTTTATCAAAGACGTATTGTGACAATTGTAGCACTCCGACTGGAACGGGCCCTGATCTAAACATATTAAATAACTCGCATATTTTACGATCGGAGAATCCACTTCTGTCTTATGGCCGACGATAGGCTAACATCTAGTCTCTTAAATAAACATATCTTACAGAAAAGAAATAGTTGTTAAATTATCTTGATTATCTCAATAAAAATATAATAAAAAGGAGCCAGGAGACTCTCTTCATTTTCAGATTCTAATACTTCAGTAATTTAGACTTGCCAAACATTATAGACTTGCATGGGCTGTATTGGATATATTTGTATCAGGGTCTGTATGGCAGACTAGGCCGCCGACTACGATTGCCAATGTTGAGAACAAACAGGACCCGTAATTAATTCGTACCCGCCCTACAAGGTTTTATCAGTTTTGTTATAAATAATTGTTGAGCATTTATTCGCTGGTGCGGGGGCATGGGTAGCCCAGTCGTCTAAGGCGCCGCGATTCACTGTGCAGAGTTGCATCCCTTCGGACGCGCCAGAAACCTATGATTGTGGGTTCGAATCCAGATTCGCCCCGATTATGTTTCTAGGTTTATCAGCACCATACCCATGCTCGTGGATTTCACCGAAGTGGTAAACGTCTGAGACCGGCATCACTTCGGGCTTTCCTCCCAAATTAAGCTGACACGCCGCGATATAACTGTAATACTGTTAAAAGTGGCGTTAAACCCAACTCACTCACTATTCGCTGGTGCCACAACACTTGCTGCACACATTGGCAGATTCAGGGTTATGAAGGGGACCAATTACAATTCTAAATTTCTATCTGCGGAGAGGGGATGTGGTGTCACTTGAGTGAGTGAATAATTGAGTGAGATTGGTTTAACGCCGCTTTGAACAGTATTCCAGTTATATCACAGCGTGTCAGCTTAATGTGGGAGGAAAGCCCGAAGTGATGCAGGTCTCAGGCGTCTGCCACTTCGGTGAAACCCACGAGCACGGTTATGGTGCTGACAAACCTAGAAACATAATCGGGGCGAACCGGGCTTTAAACCCACAATCAGACTTTTTTGGCGTGATCATGGGACGCAACTCTGCACAGCCAATTGCGGCGCCTTGGCTGACTGGGCCACCCGTGCCCCATGTGTACCTTGATTACAGGCAAAAAGATATTTGCATTTAACATCAAGGGTATACCATATGTCCATTGTTTAATCAGATTGTTTCTCAAGGTTGGACTAATAGATTTCGACCAAAGGGGTGTAAGCGTTACATCAGGGTTTTGCCTTATTGTTTAACAGTTCATCGAGTTCGTAGTCCATGATTGTAAGTAGGTTATCTCCCCCTCTGCGGCTGATTTGGATTCAACGCCTTCGGCTGAAAAAACCCTAGCGTTGTAATCCATGTCATCCTTAACATATATATAATACGAAGGTTCTTGTCATTATTTACATATACGAATACCATCTTAGGCAACATCGTCGTCGAGTTCACAGTCGCGGTGACCCGGGCAAAGTACAGGCAACTTACACTTGTAACCAGTGACTAAATTGCACAATTCAATACTTACAACTGCTATCCATTTACAATTTAGGTAACGACCCTTCTATACGAGGTCGGTCCCCCTTGAATAGAACCCAGGACGAGAGACGCGTGTGTCCCATGAACAGAACCTGGACGCGATTCTCACCCCAGGAGGCAGATGTTCATAGGATCAACTTGAGAGGGTTGTCTCCCCTGAATCGGCCCGACGGTACACCACCAACAAGACGTCGCGTTTCTCAGTTTCACCTTATCTGGCGCATTATAAATGGATTATTATTGTTGTTATTATTATTTACAATGAAGCGCTTCGCCCAATGCAGAATTTGCTCACGCGGGGCACTGTCTTTATCAGCTGATGAACGTCAACAAATACATCTTTACTCCTTAAATTACATTCGCGAAGACAAATCGTCCAGCTCACAGTCGTATGAAAGGCATTTAGCTCATTATGAATACGCCCATGTGTACGCGAAGACATGAAGATGTATGGTTTGAGGCTAGAAATGCCCGTTTAATGCCAGTTATCCATGCAAAGCTAATGTCAGTTATCCATACAAAGCTAATCTCATACATGAGGCTCGAAATGCCCCTTTAACCTCAGTTATCCATACTTTAGGAGCTGCTCTCATACACGAGAGGCTAGGAATCCATGCCTCCAATCATCCACAGTATCCTGTTTTCGTAGATGGACGACTATGCTATGAAGGAAAATATCAAAAGCTATAAAGAACAAAATGTATGCTGTGTCACAATGTGTTTAAATGTGTCATTAGGCAAAAGAATAAGCTTTCACACGTTGATGCAGTTTGACAGACCAAGTTGACTCAGCCATTAATTGTGTTTATCTATATTCATACCGTAAGTGATAAAATATAGCTTCTTATTTTGAAATTAGACAGTCTGGACCTAGCCTAGATGCCCATCATGCATGTTTTCGATCTTAAACTTTCCATAAACATACAAATAACAAATGATTTACAATGCAGGTCACGATCCTCCCAGACGAGGCGTGTCTCCACTCAACAGATACCAGGACCCCAGACGCGTGTGTCCCGGGAACAGACATCAGGACCCCAGACGAGGTATCTCAGCCCTATACTGTCAGGAAGAGGGCACCTATATGGGGAATCTGTCACGGGACAGGCTTTTTCCAAATGGAGCTGGACGTTACGCCATGAACAGAACTTGGACGCGACCATCAGCCCAGGAAGCCGATGTTCAGAGGATCAACTTGAGAGGATTGTCTCCCCTGAATCGGCCCGAGCGTACAGCACCAAGCAGACGTGGCGTTTCTCCCCTGAATCTCGAGAATGGAAACCAAGTCTCTGGACAAGATGCCACCCTGAACAACGCTGTGGCGATCAAGCCAAATCCCGTTGACAGGAGTCATGAGAATGGAGATCACGTGACTCCCAGCATCAAGCCTGAAACAAACAGGGACTCTCTCTCGGCCTACATCGGGATTCGCCAGCCTCGCTTCAAGCCTCCTAAACTTAACCTTGGCATCAAGTCGTCCACAAATAATCAGGTAGTCGTTCTTCTCAAGAGTTCTTATCCTCACTTTGAATCACCTTTACTTAGTGCGTACTCGCAACTGTTAGATAATACACTGGCATCGACAACAGATTCTCATAACACTGCCTTTAATTCATATTACTAATCCTCACTGACATTCCAGAATGTGCCGACACCAAAGAAGGAGACTGCCACAGTTCCTTGCGCATCAACCTCTGAAGCCAACAAGTCAGGACCGGTGAAAGTTATCTCCCCTGGCAGTAAGGCGGAGTCACTGAACCTGGCAGATATCGTGGCGCCAGAGATGCTGGAGTCGGCTAAACACGCCCAGTCTCCCCTCGAGCTGAAACACCTGCGCATGATGAGTGAGGTGAGCAGATGACGTGACGACATGACAGGTATGCATGTATGCTAAATGCACATACTGTCTTTGGATTAAGAATGAGTGAGTTGGGTTTACCCCTCTTCTGGCATTCTTACAGCCTGATCACGGCGGGGGACACCAACAATGGTCTTCACATTGGATTAAGTCATTCACAACTCAAACATTAAGGTACATTTGATCTATATGTCATTAAACGTTAGGAAGGTTTGTTCTGTGTGATGTAGCTGTGTGTCTTAAATTACAGTTCATACAGAGCGTTCGCCGGGGTGATGCTGAACTAAAACCTCTTCCGTCATCTTCAGAGGAGTCAGCATCCGAGGACCAGCCTCCAACTGTTAAGACAGTTACTCCAACCCACACAAAGAAGGTGAACATTTTGTTAATGTATACTGATATTTAGCCGTTTGCCAGGATCTTCTATGCAGATCAGCTGGGTTACCTGTTTTTAGGCCATAAATACAAGCAAGGCGACTACTAACTAGATGCAGAGTATGTTTGAGTTAGTGAGAGTCTTGTGAATAGATCCACAATTAATCTGGCGTCCCGTGCCGAATCTGTTTTAGATCACTGGCGCGGTTTCAGTGTAATAGTCACGTTTAACGTTTTTCCTTCTCGCCGCCAACCTTCTATCTCTTGTTGTCTGTGAGTGTGTATCTATATATGGTAAAGACCACGGTGCTGGAATCTGAATATTTCTGACCTCTATGTTTTCCTCTCTGACACCCTGGCTGTCGTTCTGGTCCACAGTCTCTGTCTGAGATGACATTGATTCTAACCATATTTCAGTCACACTGGGACATCATTCTGTTTCCGATTTTGACTCTGTGTTTTCAGTTCTGATTAGTTCAAACCATATCCCTTCCTTATGACCTGGCAATGTGTTGCTGTTTCAGGCTGTAGACGCGTCCACCGTGGCTCTGCCAGAGACTGAGTCGGATAGTGACACCGATGTATCCCGCTCCACCTCCTCCTCAAGCACATCCTGCTCAGCCTCCAAAATCCCGAACTCTCATGAGGAGAAAGAAAAAACCAAACAAGCCACTGCATGTGCTGATCAGGTAAACTTCACATGAACTGAAGAATGAATACAACGTTTGGCGTTTACACAAAAATAAGATTTTAGTTGTTTGTTATTTTAAGCCGCACTCAGTAATATTCCAGCTGTAAAAAAAATCGAATATGCACCAGACAATTCCAGTGATTGACACCATGAGATTTACGCAATTTGGGATAACAGGGCAAGCATAAACCAAGTCAGTGAGCCTGACCACCCAATCCCATTAGTCGAATTTTACGACAAGCATCGGTTGCTGAAGACCACCCCTGACCCGGATTTTCAAGCCTCAAAACTAAGAATAGTAACCATTGTATGAACATAAATAAGACATTGTTCGTTTCAGACTGGCGAAATAACAAAGACTTCTCCTGCTAATGTACGAACCAAGAAGGTCAAATTCAGCCAAGTGTCTTGGACATCTGACATCGATGAGAAAACCCTAAAACTAAGATTCTCACAACCCCAGGTCAGTGGACACGTGTATATTTCAACTCTGCAGCTGTAACATGTGTCAGTTCCATGGCAATACTGAAAACAATTTGAATGACACTCACAATATCCCTATGGAAGGTAGAGTGGTATGTGTTAGCTTTCCCGCCGTTACTAAGGTGCAGTCATTCCCTGCCCGTATCATTCAAGCACATGTGGTTATGGAAGAGTTGATTTATTTATGGGTGGCATAATAAAGGCTCTTTGTATTTCAGGCCCGAGCATCTGCACCTTGGTATGATGAGAATCAGGTAAACAAACGGAATACGAATAAATATACTATTGAAGTAACTGAAACTAAACAACGCTGCTATTTGGTTCAAGGAATTTTGAACTTTACTTTTATTTTATGAATATAGTTTGTTGTTAACCAAACCACATGCTTGTAGTTGAAGTAGAATTGTGCACGTCCTTCAGTTAAACATCTTACATTACAGCCAGAACAAGCCAGAGACAGGAAACCTCGTCTTCGCCCACCACCCCCTCCTCTCGTCCCCTACACCGGCAACGCCAACCGCCGCCTGGTGCCACCCATGTCCAGACTCAGTCTGAGGGACATCCAGCTGGTAGGTCGATCAAGGACCCACGTGTCAGGCTACTTCCTGATGTGGTCTTCGTTCTGGCGTTGAAAGATCTTGACAATAGCCAAACATCATGTAAATTCAGAAAACGTGTTCTTTAGTATGTAGTTGATACTTTACTCGCGTTATATTGATGAGTGTGATGTTCAGCAACAAAGAATAAGTTATTGATATTTCATTATCTGCTGTTTTGACAGATCACTGAATCCAGAAAGAGAAGAAGGAATATGCTAGATGTACACACGGGCGATTCTAAGAAGAGGAAGGTAGCATCTTCTGAGGACTCAACTGAGGTCAAATTCGTTGCCCGACCCAAGCAATGGTGGCTGAGAAAACGCCGTCAGCAGAGGAGGAAACAGGACAATCCACCCTCCTCTTCAACCTCTTCCTCTGCTGCCACCTCTACCGCTTCCACGGCCAGGGCTACCATCACCACGTCGACGACCACGTCTGCCTCTTCCTCGAGCCCAACATCTGCTACAACTTCTTCCAGCCCTGCTGTCTCAACCGCCTCCACTTCCTCCAGGAGATCAGTCAAGAGGAAGGCATCGGATGATGATGCTTGCTCTGGTGATGGCGTGAAGAGGTCTCGTTCCAACTAGACCTTGCAGAGACAATAGAGCAATAGAACAACAATGCTTCTGACAATTCAGTCCAACTGTTTGAAATAGGATGTATGTTACTTATGGGGGCATTACGTGTAGTCTGATAATTGTTAAGCTCATCTAAGGATAAGTATCTACCTAAATAACTGTTCTGATACAGTCATTTGGGAGAACGTGTGGTCAGTCATCTCAAGATAGGTCCCAGTACTGCACGCTTGTTATAAGAGGCGACACAGTGGTGGTCGGGTAGCACTGATGCCATGCAAGGTGCTTGAATTGGGAAACCACCTCGAAGACTGTTTCTCAGGTGTGTCATCTCTGCTTCCTCACACTATCGATCAGTGGTTTGTCTGCTCCAGACTTGACCACACTACAGGTCGCCGCGATGTAGCTGCAATACTGCTGACTTCGGTAGCCCTCCATTCTCCACTTAAAATAATGTATTGACCTCAATTATATATAATGACAATGTGTTCATTAATTGGTGATAAAATTCAGATTTTACGCCACCCGTGAGTGAAAGAATTGTATGTGTTTTTCCATTAAAGCGCGTAATGTAAATATTTGTTTGAAGTTGCTCTAGTTTATTTAAAATATTTAAATATATATGCGCAAACAATCAAAATATGTTGAACATACATTTACGTTTTTAAATGTATAAAATTGATAAAAATATCCTTGTTCTGAAATGTTTTATATGCACTTGTTAATCAACGGTAAAGTGGGTTTTTTCCTATCTACAAGCTTTTATTTCGTCATGTCATTTGATATATTTTACCATAAGCTTTAGGATATCCACTGTTTTTCTTACAATTTACACAAGGTGTTTCTTTGTACATTTTACTATTTACTTTGTTATTTAATAAATTCGTAAAACAGAAAATCGGAGTTTTGTTAGTTTTCTACACTCGAGGGACTCAATATGTCCTGTCAGACAGTGTGTGAAAATCAGACTCCTATGAAAGACAAGGATGGGTTGTTGCTGTACCTGTAGATCCCCAAACATGTATCACACTTCAGTTGTCAGTTAAAACTCGAAGTTTTTTCAAATTTGCATTTCAGTGATAGTCAAAATCATTTAGATCAGATCTTTGTACTCGCTACCGCAAAACATACTATTACGGGTCAAGTCAGAATGCCTATCAAAGACTTCTTTTATGGCCAGTTTTTACAGTGGGGTAATTAATATACTCGAAGTATATGCATTTACACAGGCGAAGTGAACATTGACATAAAGTTCTTTATATTTTCTTCAAGAACAATAGTGAGTACGCCGGAATAGTAACTTCCGCTCCTCGGTAGAGGCTCTATATCCACCCGACCAGAAGGTCGAGGATAATGAGGCGGTCAGTAAGTATGACGCATAATCACGGAAGATTGACTATATACATTTGGGCCCATTAAAACAACATGCATTCGGCGTTGATTTGTTAGGCAGTTGCATGCCCCTATTTACATTCAGCTCTTGACTTCGTACATAATATACACATCACTTTTTTCTGTACAAAAATCAGTTCAAATTTCTCAAGGGAGGACACTGACGACAAATAAAGTCATCTTCCCGAGGCAAGTGAGTTAAAGCCCCACCCTGACTATAAATAGCCCGCAAGGTGGCGGTGTTTCAGTTTCGAACAATGTCTGACAATGTAAACACAACCGAGTGTTGGGAGACGTTTTTTGAAAACCATACGGGAACAAGATCACCATTGACCGTCAAACTTCGTATCAACTTGAATGACAAACCATGGATACAACAAATGGCTCCATATCAAGATATAAGTCAATAAATTTTCTGTAGTTTTATCCTAAAAAATCGAATCGATCGTGTTTGGCGTCTGCATCGATCACAGTGGGCGGAGCTTATTTACGTTTGTGCTATAAATAGCAAAGCACATGGTCATGTGTACATGTGGCACATTTAATGCATTTGTGGTCAAAGTGTATTGTGTTGTATATTTTTACGGCAGAACAGCAGCAGAACGTCAGTTTCAGTTAATGTAACAGTAACGATACTTAAATACGAAATTGACGACGCGATTCTTTCAGTTCAATCCGAAAATAACAGATATTTGTTTAGTTTTGGTCATTTGCATTCAACAGTTAGATTTGTACCACACAATAATCAGTTTATATTCATAAAACGTAAATTATTACAGAGATTTTTCAACTAGTGTTTAGGAAGGGGCCTAATTTGAAGCACCAGAAGTTGCGCCAATATTTCTCAGCTTGACTACAATGGATGAATATGTTACGTGTATCAACATAACAATGCACATAAGCAACTGGTAAATAAGTATAACTGAATATACTTGATGTTTTGGCCTACAGAAGGCGTATCCGGATAATATTGTACTTACGATAAACGAAAACTCCAATACACATATTCCAAGACAACTTTAATTATGAATTTCCTTTTCTTTCACAGAATTTTCACACACAAAACTGAGTTTGATCATTAGATCCACACTTGTCCCATGTATTTTTTGTTCGGGGTATTTGGATACACTTCGCGCAAAAGTTTTAAAATACAATCTGGGATCCTTTTCCCGTTTTGTCCACACCAATCCTTCATTTGCTGCAACGTATAATTCCGTTTCTTCAAGTCCAAGTATCTACGATCTCTCCAAACACTTCGTTTATTTAGCTCAGTCCAGAAACAATGTGTTCGAATCGACGAATTTCTGCAACATGGTGGCCGCACCATTCCCTAACTGCGATTGTCTGTGCCGTGTCACGCATGGTTGACAAAAGAAGTGTGAACATACATATTCGGCTTCATCTGGTTCCACAATGAAATCTCGCTGTGACACTGATTCACTACTCCCAAGAATCGGCACTGAATTTGTCAAAGTTTCTGTTGCACTTGCAAGGGCGGGAAGAGAGGCGCCATCTTGTCGATTCGAGTTGTGAATCGGAATAAAGTCATCTTGAATTGGAACTTTCTCCACGATAAAGTCACCAATGTCACAATCGAAATGACCAAAGGCTTCCTGATTATCTCGAACAACTCTTCGTCAAATTAGGATTTACATGAAAATGTTTTGTTGCTCATATTGAAGACAAGCGAAATTGCAAAGTTCTTGTCAGTTGTAAGCAGCAACTCGATGCACTCATGGGGCGGGGTTGCTAGGAGATCGCGAGGTCAGAAAGGGGAAAACAAAAAGTTTTATAAAGTAATAAAAGAAATCCGCAGTGCAATCCCAAAGTACCATGTACAGGATATTTTTGAATAATAATATTCACGAAAAAAAATCTTTTCTAAAAGTGCAAATTAATTTATTAATTCATCCCAAGGTCGTCACCCTGATCACGTGGTGGGTATTTGGAAGGAATCTTGTGATGAAGCCGTGAATGAGGCCGTGTGTATAACATTGTTGACTTCAACTGACCAGGAAGGTTGTTGAGGCACATTATGACAGATGCTCGTCATGGATGGAGAGAAAAATGTATCTGAGAGAAACATTGTTGCTTTGAGCTTCGCGACAAAACATGTGTTCATGCCGAAGTAGTTTACAAGAGAGGATGATCTGTGCAGCCAGCGACCTGAATAAGCTTGATGAAAATAATGTTGAAATCCATTTTCTCGCACATGACAGAATTAATGTGAACAAATATTTATTTGAACATCGTTTCGAAGTCTGTGAGGCTGTCCGTATTTTAATATTCTTATTTCCATTGCGACGTGAAATAATATAATGTTTTCGAGGCCTTTATTTTGCTGCCGCTGTGGAAAATTGCGCACAGATCTATTAAAAGAAATACTACTAGCTCAACTTTATAAAAGAACCAGATCAACTTTATCTTTGTTCCGTTGTTTATTAAAAATTCGCTTCCGAAGCAAAGCGAATCGATCTTCATAATAAACAAATTCATAGACTAGATTCTAGTACCAAGTGTTTAAACTTTTTTTTTAAATGTCATAACATAACTTACACAATTATTGAAAGACATTTTTAGATAAGTAACATATATTTTATCTCGTCCGGCCGCTCTCTGGTTAGTTTAGGCTTGAGGGGAGAAACACATACAAAAAATATGGATGGCCTTATGCAAATGACACTTGGCATGCCAATCAAGAGGGATCTGGGTCACTGGGACCCGCCAAGTTTCACGGATCGAGTTACTTCGGCACGAAGAGCTTCATCGGACAAGTGTGACCTTGCCAAAATACATTGCTACTGGGCAATGAAAAAATGTCACGGAAACGACAAAAAACTACTTTGATCACGTGAAAATATTTTTGACCATTACCAGGGTTTTTTACACGATCGTTGTCATCCAGATTCCAGATAAAGGCAAGACGAACACAATGAAGAAAAACACTGTTGAAATCACCGATTACCGTGTATATGTGAGAAATGCTATTTATAAACTGCAGATATACCGTACACCACAGGATAACGATTCTGCCGTGACACATATTATGTTTTTTTTTTGTTCAATTACACTGTTCATATTCATCACGACAAACGTATTAATTCGTTGTCGTCGGGAGATCTAGAATAGCTCAGAACAACCCAGCAAACAATTCTACGTTGTGACAACGTTGTGACAACGTTGACTTTTCGTTGCTACAACGTTGTGATGTTACGTTGTCACAACGTAATTCTGTAGACTCCCAGATTGGTTGCTACAACGTTGTGCGTAAACCAAAATACAACCAAATCAAGACGTTGTCACAACGTCCATTTTTTACGTTGCTACAACGTTTAACCAAAACGTCGCGACAACGTACCCAGCCAACAATTCTACGTTGTTACAACGTTGTGACAACGTTTACTTTTCGTTGCTACAACGTTGTGATGTTACGTTGTCACAACGTAATTCTGTAGACTCCCAGATTGGTTGCTACGACGTTGTGCGTAAACCAAAATACAACCAAATCAAGACGTTGTCACAACGTCCATTTTTTACGTCGCGACAACGTAGGTATCGCATACTGTTTACATATGGCGACACTACAGGCATTGCAGCACGTTGTTGCAATGTCCATGTAGATTAACGCCTGTTTTATTCCTCAATACCTCCCAGGCAGCCTGAAAAGTTTGTACCAATCTAGTTAAGACGTCAGGTACAAAGAAATACATTCTGCAAACTGAATTCACTTTAACCCTATCCATGAAACAGCAAGTCAATGAAATGCACTCTTTTTTGGCAGAGTTTGAAATACGGCCAAGATATAAATCTAAATGTTTTAAATTACATGTACAATTTGGTAATATAATATTCATTTTCCAAAACAATTTTCAAGGCTATGTGCAAATTGTTCACAAATGTTTCAACACAATTAAAAGATATTGGATTTTCCCACGAATTTGCAAATTAAAAACCATCAAAGAATAAGCCCTGCACAAATTGAAACATTTAAATTTTCTTGGCCTTACCTCATACATTCAGCATTGAGAGCAACACTGTGACAAACAGAATAGTCTATGCATCTGATGTCCTAAGATCCATTAGGTAAACGAAATGACAATAGAATTCTGGTTGAGGTGACCTTTATTTATTTGTTAAATGACAAGTCAGAACATGGGCTGAGTTGCTGGGGAGCCTTTTCAGTCCTCAAATGAAAAGTCACAGGGATGATCTTCAACTGTATCCTCAGTCTCTCCTTATGCCTTGGTAACTGAATAAAAAATGACACACATGTTATAAAATGGCAAGGCAAGGGACATATTTCTGACATAACAAAATAACGGTTGCATTCCCCAAAATAATGTTTTGATGTCTGATGTCAGTCTTTAAACAGTTAAAAACTGCTGAAAGTGCGAAGGCGCTGACACTAATACCATGATGCTCTTGGATCATACATAAGCAGAAAAGCTTTTAGCACTGAATCATTGGTGTAACTTTATACCCCCGCCCTTTTAGATTGTGGGTATAATTAAATAAGAATCATCTAAATTTTAATTCTTGAAGATGTTTGTATATATTATTGAATCAGACATACCTTTGTGTCAGTGATATGTACTTTAAACAAATACGCTCCCACAATACTGTTTTCTCCACCTGAAAGAAAAACAGAAACCACAAAGTATCACATTCTTAAATAAACCAGTACTGTATAGATAAATCCCATTTACTTAGACTAATAGAGTATGATGTAACTGATAGTAATATTGGCAAATAGTTTTATCAGTCAACAGATCAACTGTAGTTTTTCAAAAGCAGTAACTTTACCTTTCTGCTGTACACTCAAACTAGTGATTCAAGTGAATATCATGGCCAAGTTTCTAAAACCTTATTTGAAAAATATGTACATAAATGAAAAATATATATTGCCAAATAAAATAAATAGTTCCCATATTTGAAGCAAGAATGTTGAATATGAATTATGAATTGGCCCACCAATAAGTGATAAAAGTGTTAACACTTTGGGGTATTTATCCTAATTAAAACTGTGATTTTTTTTAATACTTAGATCTACCTTAATATTTTCCATATTAATATGCCAGGATAGTTATATATGTTCTAACATTTACAAAGATTAGAAACATGGGGAAATAAACAAAATGCAATAGCTTATACAATACCAGACGAAGTTGAAACAGCTCTAAATATTTATTGAAATTTATTTGTCACTACGTTTATTAACATAGATCTAATACAGTTAAATATCGTTAAATATAATTCTGTAGTATGGTAGCCTACGTGGCAACATATGCAGATCGAAAACCGAAAGAATATGGTTGCTATCAATTCCATTGTATTTTTCATTGGTGCACATTGGCTACACCTATCTCACTTTAATCATCAACAAACGATGACCAACTCACTGACAATATATGGTGATATTTAACTTTTGACTATCGACTAGATTATCATCACCAGAGAGGACAATACCGCAAACACCCCGTTATAGCGCGCGACGAGAGACTCGTTTTACTTTTGCTCGTTTTCATTAGAAAGGAGTCGGACATAGATCTAGTTATCGGAAAATGATGAATTGATTCTTTTTTCGGAAATAATAAAAATACACATGATAAGCACCTTGCTATGATAAACTTTATAGACAGCAGCAACAACCTGATGATCCACATTTAGGCTACTTCAGTCAGTGCTAATTAGGCCTTTTCGGAAACATCAAGTATGTTTCTGTCTCTTCCCGAAAATACGATTTTTTTCATAACATCATTGATCACTTTAGACTAGGGCTATAACTAGCAGCCTACAGAGAGTCGATCTGAATACTTCCATTGTTTTGATTCCCTCTTTTCGCTGTATAAGAGAAATCTACTTAACCATTCCCATGGCCTGGATGAGCCACATTGTTGCACAAAAATCAAAGTCAGAAGATTAGTACATGTAAACTTTAAATAGTAATGATTTCAGAAATAACACAGAAGAAATGGCGATAACTGTCAGTGCGGTCAGTAGGCGATGCATAAGTTAGGCCTATTTACAAATCTACACGCTTACGAACGAAACCCGAACATAATATGACGGCCACAAAACGCCACCAGATTGAATTCTGGTCAAAAATATACCGCTTGCCCTTGGCAATTACCCTTGGTATCCATAAAATAATAATATGGAAAAAAGTCTTGGGCCCCCTTCACCTCTATCATCAAGTTCTGTGTATCATATTAATATCAACACTGACGCTCAGTGAAAATGACCGGCAAACTGCATTCTTAACCCTGCCACTTCTGAATAATACGATACATTTAGATCATTTGACGCACTGCATGCACAGAAACATATCAACAAGCGCAGACTATTTTTGAAAAATTTACTTACCTCAATCGAATTCACAGATCATCTGTCCAGTTCCAGTTGCTGCACAATCACTTGCTTGTAATATATTATGTCCAGAGTGAGTTTGAGCTAAGATGGCTGGTGACAACAAATCTTCCGCGACAATGTGACGTCATTCTGACGTCACTTCACGAGGCAACAGGCTAAACTTTTCTGCAGTCGCTCTCACGCCGCAAAAAATACGCGCCAATTGTTTTTAACTGTAATATTGCTTGTGACAACATTTAGTTCGTTAATAGATATATATGTCATTATATATGTCATTTACAAAAAGTACTGTAATGTCCAAAGCACAACGTTATCACAACGTTAATCTGCAACGTTGTTGTAACGTTGTCACAGATATACGCAATTACGTTCTCGAAATATTAGTATTAAGAGATGAAAATTCAAATGCCGAATATATAGAAAGGTAATGCATTACTAACTTGGTTTTCTGACAAATTCATGTTGATTTTGATAAAGCAGTTCTATTCCTTCTATTCTATTCTATCGAGAAGCAAACTCAATAACGTTTTTACCGACGTTTCAGAAACGTAGTTACAAAACGTTGTGTGATGTCCAATGCACAACGTTTTCAAAACGTGAATGTGCAACGTTGTTATTACGTTGTGAAATAACGTTGCAGGTCGACGTTAAAATAACGTTGTGACAACGTTATATCACGACGTTACCAATCCACAACCTTTCAACAACGATGGAAGTGCGAATCATGCATGTATGGCGAAAATGTTATTGTCATTGTTTGTTGTTTAATCGCCTCTTACGACAAGCACGGGTTGCTGAAAAGTGAAAACCAAATCTAACATTATTGTAATTTTCTGCCAAAATGTAGTTTATTTCGAGTAAACACCTTTGTTTTTACGCTTTTCGCGATGAAGACTATTTGACGTCGCACCAACGTATGAGAAACGTTGTCATCATAACGTTGCATGGCGCCCGATGCACAACGTTTCCACAACGTAATTTTGCTACGTTGTGATTACGTTGTCACATAACGTTGGAGTGACGTGATAATAAGGTGTTTACACAGACTTTAGTTTATTTACGAGATGGAAATCCTGATTCCGAAGATATAGGTAAATAATGAATTACTGCCTTGTTTTTGGCAGAAATTGTGTCGATTTGTATGTAAAACTTTTGTTCATACAATTTTTGTTAAGGCGACAGTTGACGTCGCACCAACGTTTCAGGAACGATGTAACAAGACGTTGGGAAATATTCGATGAACAACGTTTTCACAACGTAAAAATGCAACGTTGTTATTACGTTGTGAAACGACGTTGCACAGTGACGTAATAATAACGTTGTGACAACGTTGTATCACTACGTTACCAATTCACAACTTTACCACAACGTTGTGAAAACGTAGTGTGTTAGCTGGGAAGAACGTCTATAATTTCTGTGTTGGACTGCGTTGGATATATCGTGGACATTCCGCGGTATCATTTTATGAAGATGTGAAGACGACATGGCAGGTAGGTTTTGAAACCAAAGACCTACGCGTTTGTTGAAAAGTCTTGGAATCGTTTGATAGATATTTATTACCATTAAAACTTACGTCCTTGTTGTCAAACGGCCCACGTGGGTGGGTGTTTACATGACGTCACCCGTTTACGCAATAACCAATGAAATGTGTGTGTTATCATGACGTCATATTGACCTGTCAGATCACTCGTATAAGCTCCGCCCACTAGAGTGCGGTAGTTCCTACCGCAGATGGGGCTTTAACTGACTATAAAAGTCCAGTTTCCACCATTGCCGAACTAGGCTGGAATTACTGGGTTCGATCGTAGCGCCACCAGTGGCTATTACCAGTTATGTCCCCTCTAAGCCTCTCCTATGGACCAATGAGACTCCACCTCTCGTATCACTTGCGTTTGCTTCACCCAAAATGGTGACGCCCAGTCAGGACGCTCTGACTAGACTCGTTAGTCCAGCCAAAATCTAACTCCATAATACCAGCCTAGTTCTGCAAGGGTGGAAACTGGACTTTTATAGTCAGTTAACTCACTTGCCTCGGGAAGATGAATAAAGTATGCATTAATCGACCATGCTACTCTACCACGATTTCAAAGAGCCTCATTTGACTCTTGCCCAATAGTTGTTCGATCCCTTCACAGCATCCAAGGTCTCAGTGGGACTTTCAAAACGTTTTATGGTATAGGAATGTGAAGGACATTTCAAAATTTGACGCATCAGTGACCACGATGATGCCGATCAACTTTCCTATTTTGACTTGTACACGTTGAATATTGACAATGTCCCAGCTTTTTACAGAATAATTTCATGTTCTCATCTGGTGTATGTCCGTGGTACATGACATCCGTGTTTTGTTTCGCATTGACATTTCATATTGGCCGGGCCACACATTTATTCAGGACAAAATAGCTAAATATCACGAATTTAATATATTAATACACAAACTTGTTTGACAAACAAAAGGTGATGTTTGCTGTTATGCTTCCCTTCAATGTTGTATATATGTACTGTACAGTGTGAAATTGAATACGATATTGAAATAATGACCGTGTTCTATTATACAAATACTTAGTATTTACTGACAGCTGCACACAAGATCCAGAATTCGGAAAATCAATTGGGTGCGCACATTGCATGTCGGGCGGTCGTTGTTACGTATATCTCATTACGACACATGTGGGCTTTAAAGGTGGCTTCGGGGACAAAGTGGAATCGATTTGAGCTTGCTCAACACTCTAATCCCAAGTAGTCTACTCCTGAAAACTAGACAGAATATATTCTGAAAATATTCTGAAGTTCTACAAACATATTCAGAACGTTTCAACGCGTTCTGATGATAGAAAACTTTTAGAACGCCTGTAAAGTGTTCTTAGCCGAGATGCAGAACACTAGCGTCTCAGACAACTGCTTCAACGGTACTTAAAGGCCAAATCTTCTTGCTGTTGGATACAAATTGGAAACTTGTTGGTCTTTCAAGGGTAAGAATGCAAACTATAGCTTCACACCAATGTGGTTTCGCTGGTATAAAATCACACAGACGACAGTTCTGAATATGTATATGCATTATCTTCACTTGTTATGATCATGTGGATATTAAAGTCCCACAGATATGTGAGTCCAGGTTCTACATAAAGATTACAAACTATTGAGAGAAGCAGGCGATCCATAGTTCGCTTGAAATGTTACCAATTGTGTCCATCCTTCTTTCTCGCCATCACGGTCAGCTATTTGTCATCACCGAAGTTTCAAGTCTTTCACGAAGAGTTTGTGCTTCACAGATGTTTCTCATGGGTAAATCTCACCAAGAAGTGAGTGAGTATGGTTTTACGCCGCTTTTGGCAATATTCCAGCAATATCACGGCGGGGGACACCAGAAATGGGTTCCACACATTGTACCATGTGGGGAATGGAACCCGGGTCTTCGGCGTGACGAGCGGACGCTTTCACCACTGTGCTACCCCACCGCCCCCAATAACAAAGATATCTCCGCTACATCGTACAACACGAAACATTTATTTGGTCATACCCAAAGTATGCACAAGACATTGCACTAAAACGTTTGTTAGTAAACACAAGATTACCGTGACAATCGCGTTTGTTATATTATTTACAGGTTGCAAATGTTTCGCAAAACATGTCATTTGACTAACCGAGTCCCACCGTACATTAAGACCTTTGTTTCCTTTCCTCCTTGGCGTCGCCCTGTGCTGTGTCCAATAATTGCCATTGTTCTGATAACCTGCAAAGCACCCTGTAATAGAAACAATAAAACAACGTGAGTCTGTTTCTCTGAGATATGTAACATTAAAAAGCCAAAAGCATGTCCTGTGTGGGTATAGTTCTGTATTTTCATTGTCTTCAGCAACCCATGCTTGCCGTAAGAGGATCGGGTGGTCAGGCTCGCTGACTTGGTCGATGCATGTCATCGATCATCTTCCTGAGGCAAGAGTGTTAACCGACTATAAAAGTTCAGTATCCACCCTTGTCGAACTAGGCTGGTATTATGGAGTTACATTTTGGCTGGACTAACGAGTCTATGCATAGTCCAATCAAAATCGCGCACCGAAATCGAA